CTCCCTCTTCGGCAGCACAAAAATCTCATCCGACTCCAGTCTCGCACCAGAAGGCATAGCACGTAAACCCATCACCGATCTCACACCCGCCCAACGCGATCAGCTAAACGACTACTACGTCCGCCTCCGCTACAATGACAAGATTATGCAGATACCTGGCTGCAAAGCTCCCGGTAAGCATTTAGAGGGCGATACTACTTTCTGCACGCTGGACGCATTCAAAGCTATCGTGGATAAGTATACACCAAAGAACTGGAAGGCAGCTTGTACGAGTCGGCTTGGTGAGCCGGCTTTCCCCGCAGTGGTCGAGCCGGCCGGTTTTGAGTAGAGGGTATGTGATGAGTGGAGGTGATTGGCTGAGAGTTGAAGATATAGGGGATGCGAATAGACATGACTTCTTCTTTTTAGAGAAATATATATGGCCTGAATAGAGAAAGAGAGTATATCCTGCAATGTCCCTAGATATATCCTACACCGTTAAGACACTCGCTACATTATCTGCTGGTAGAAGCACAACACGAAACCAGGGCGTAAGACATGCACCCTCTAGTAGGCTGATGTCACCATACCATATTGAAATTCCTGTGGGAAGCATCGCATTATTGGATTCTCCCGATTATCTATTATATGCATCTTTCATATCTTGTACATGGATGGATTTGGTCGTCTTAGAAAATCTTCGGTCGGACTAGGACCGTCTCCCATAACACAGGTGATCCACAACTACAGAACTCCAACCGCCAGTGTACACACTTTAAGAAAATGGCTTAGACCACCAGCATTGAACTCCATACTCTATACAAGCATCGTAGTATCACAGCTCATAAGCACTCATCCTAACGTTTCATCACAGTTCAATCCTTTGAAACCGTGAGTAAAGCGCGCAGAGACCTAGAGCACTTGTCAGCATACATACAACAAGACCAGAGTGTCCAAGCGCATTCCACTAACTCGTAGAAGCCTCATCGACAACTCTATCCGATTGCCGTATGATGCCTGTGAAACGCCCTGTACCACCAGCGAGAAGACCGTCGAACTCGACAGCCTGCGCAGCTTCAGTATCATCCCAGCCGGTACTCAAATTCCAACCCGCATTGAGCGCAGCAAGCTCGGAAGGCTCAATCTCCTGCACAATCTCTCCCAAATAAGCCCACTTGTTACTTAGCATAGCGGGAGACAAAGCGATTGCTCGCTTGTTGAATGCTGGGTTGCGCAACATGGCTGCGATATTACGAGGATCGATGTCAGATTGATCAAACGACGCGTGAGTAAGCTTTGCATAGCCACAAGAAACAAACTCGACCGATCGCAGTGAGGTGATACGATCGCTGTCGGCTTTGGAATGATCTGACTCAAAGTCAGAGAGATTAGTGCCGGGTGAGATCTGATCAATAATGTCCATCCAAGAGCCTTCACGGGGCTGTGCCTTGAGTATCGACTGTGGATTCCCAGCAGTGTGTCCGGTCGCTGGCGCGGCAACAGGTGGAGGCTGAGCCTGGCCTGTAGCAATCTGAGTCTGCAATTGATGGATCTGAGTAGCCAACTGGGCAACATTCGCAAAGTGCTGAGCAAATGTCCCAGGCTGTTGTTGTTGTACCTGCGGTTGTGTCGGGGCTTGAGCCTGACCTTGAACCTGACCTTGATGGTGATGCTGATGTCCTTGATTGTTTTGGATCTGTCCAATTTGCTGCTGCAATTGATTTTGTAAAGCAGCAATGTTGTTGTTGTGTTGGATGCCAGCTGCGTTGGCCTGTAGATGCTGAAGTTGCATCTGGAGCATCTGGAAATAAGCATGTAAGAACTGCGGTTGATTTGGCATCAATTGCGGACCATGAGCACCAACAGCACCCAACAATGCGCCCACTCCAGGTGGCGGCATTATGTTCTGAAGTGCTGCTGCCTGATGAGCTACATTGTTTGGGTTGACATTCGGTGGGCGCAACACAGCCGTAAGTGATACGGAATCCAGTACCAAATTTTGCAGCTTATGGCGATCATGTAACTTAACGAATTGCAACAAAGCTGACGGTGTAACCCAACAGTTGTGCAAGACTAGCTGCTCGACATGAGGGAGTCGTAGCAAACATTCTTCCAAGCAAGCGGCGTCGGTTGAAACCAGCCCTGCAGGGTGGAAAGAAGAAGGTTGTGCACGAACTCGCAGATCCACAACGGGAGCAGGGAACAACAACTTATTCCTTGCGTGAAGTCCTTCGGCATGCTCACCTCCAGTGACGAAACCGACTTTCAAATGACGAATATTCGACCGAAAACTAATATGATCATGAAGAAGGTCGAAAAGCACACCGATGCTTTGGGTTGGATTGGTCTTTGGCGTGTCCACGAAGCCAGCCTCGTCTTTCTCTACTGTTCGCCAGCCTGGTATTAGCATGAGAGTGACATTACGAAGATTGGGCAGTGCGTCCCAGAAGTCCGAACGGTTTAGCATTGGCAGATAACGATCAGAGAGTCCTGAAATGTTGAAAGTGTGTACTGGCTGGAATGTAATCGGATTGTCGATGACAGAGAGCAAATACGAGGACATGAAGGCCCGCTGTGCCCATTCAGTCTCTAACAACCATTCCCTCTGTGCTGTGGTAAGGTTGGCAGGTATGACAGGGTTCACAAGCTGCGCCCCTTCCGATGGCAATTTGGTCGACGAAAACAGAATGCCTGTGCCTGAAGGTGACGGTGTTGACACAAACTGGTCCAGGACATATGGGTCATCAAAGCTAGGGGGAACAGGGATGTTAGCAGCATCAAAAGGAATTGCTGCGCGTAAAAGCTGAGGATCCAGATAGGGCATTTGCGGTTGCACGTCTGCTAGCTTGTTGGCTTCTTTCAGCTTGGAAAGAGCGGGTTGTCCGTCAATCCTGTACAACATAGCCAGCTTGACTTCGCTGGCATCGTTCTGATGACATGCTTCAATGTGTTTCCAAAGTTCCTGCTGAGCTTGCGCTCTGCGATCTGGAACAGCTTTGGTTGTGCCAAAGACTTGGGGAGGTCTATGCAACACACGTGCCCGAATGGATCTGTCCGGGCCGTTTAGCCACCCTAGGCCACTGTCAAGGGACAATGCTAGTTCTTTGACTTTGGTGAGCTCGGAGAATGCTGTCTTCATTCGTGGTGTTTCGTCAGCGGCAGTCTCAAGGCCGGCGACAGCAGCAAAGCGGCGATATTGTTCGTAAGGCCAATCGTAACTTCCCCAAAAGCTCGTCTTTCTCTCTGTGAGTGACTTGACGGGCGGCATGGAGAGTGAGTCTTCACTGACTTCGAAACTCATACCAAACTTCCTGATGTGTCCACCAAAGCCGCGGAAAACATCAAGGCCATGGCCATTATACACTTCGTCTCCGTTTGCATTTTTCCACGAATAGCTAGGCTTATCTATTCTTGCTCGCCTTTTGCCCTTGAGGTCAGGCTTTGTTTCTTGTCCCAGCATACCGTATATCTCGGTGTTGAAGGGAACGACGACTGTCTGGAAGATGACCTGCGAGACATATTGGTTCAGCTCGCGGCTTACAAGCCGCAGTGCTTTGATGTCGTCACGGTCAAGGTGCTCCGCGATGAGCTCGACTAATTCCACAGGCAGTTTCCATTCGGGGCGATAAATTGGGGCATCAGGAAGAAGGTCCTGCGACCCTTTATCTGGCTGAGCCTTTGCTGCCTTTGCTGCTTTCTTACCATTCTTTTTAGATGAACGAGGCTTTGATATCAAGTCGGATGCAGGTTGTTTATTCTGAGGTTGTCTATTCTGGTCTAGTAAGAAATATTTGGCGGGTAGTTTTGCTGAGCTGCGGCATTCGGGCCAAATGTCGTTCGCGTTGGGATTTGGGCTGACGCTGTTGTATAGCATGACGGCAGTGGCACCCTTGCATTGCAAGGAGTGTGTAACATCCATCTCGTCGACACCCTCGTATTTGTCGAGTGATCGCTTCCGAGCATTGAGTTCCGTAAGGCCGCGATACACGTGGTAGGGTGCAGGTAGATCTGTTCGAGGTCTTCTCCTTACAAAGTGCATGCCTGATGAGGTGGTTCGCGCGTTTTCGAAGTCGTGGTCTTCAGGGCGATTGCGCGACGAGTAAAGACGGGGAACAGTTGCGGGATGGTCAAAATCCTCCTCTCCCAACGAGTCCGAATCGTCTTCACCTAACCAATCGTACTGTAACGCGAAAGCAAGATCTCGTTCGTACGAGTCGGCTGAATTTGAATCTTGGCCGTCTTGTGTTTGGGCTGTAGCAGTCTGTGATGTAGAAGCCCAGGGCGAGTTTCTATCGGTTGCCCCCGGTCCACGCCGAAAGTTCTCTCTGTGTATGCGGTCGCGTGGGGACAAGGGTCGGGAAGGTGTCAACGGGGTTGAAGATGTCGCCTCTTCGGGTGCAAAGAAGGAATGAGTGGTAGGCTGGAAAGGGTTCGATGAGGTAGTCGCGGCTTCTGGACGTGGAGAGGGCGTGGGACTAGCAAAGATGGATGCAGGCTATTGCATGTGAGCATTCAGACAGGAGCAAGGGGACGTGTGATAGCGGCGGCTGCAGGTGAAGTTTGACGTACCTGACTTGACGCGTTTGCTTCAGGCAGAGGACGCACTCCGTTTGTGGAGCGCAACTGTCTTCTCGACGGTTCCCTTTGTTCGGAAACCTTGCGCGCTCTGCCATTGTTTGCCATAATGTTGCGATCTGTTCTGTCGAGCCTTGGTTGATACAGGATATCGCATCAGTTCAGATGGGCGCTGGAGAGTACGCGGAACAGCGGCAACACAACGCAACACCCATCAAAATGTGACGTTACGCTGTCATGTATCGGCGTGGATGTTTGAATGAATATCAGGGAGAGAAGGCACAGAGATCAGCACGCATGTCTGTGGTAGGCGGTGAGGTTTGGCATGCCTCAATCACAAGCTCGAACCCGCCAGGTTGTTTGCGCTGGAGCCGCAAAGCAAACACGCCCCGCTTAGACCCTGCACGATGTCATCCCACTCTGCGAACCATCCCCAGATCTCCGCATCTGCGCCCCAGCCGCATGTGAAAACGCCCCCCTGACACCGACATCGTCTTAGCAATTGCATCTCCAGTACCCGTACTGCCGGTAGTAATTTCAGCATGACATCAAGTTTCCGCGACGATCAAGGTCATATCTTACTTTCACTGTGCATCTCTGTGAGCATGGACTGGAGCGCACACCGCGATATTTGTTCGCGGAACAGCCCTATGACCCCACTGCGAAGCAGCCGTGCCTAAGAATGCTCATGCGAAAGTAATGTTCTGGAATGTGTCGAAAGATCAGGCGTCCTTCGACAGCCTCATAGACCATGTGCGGACCGCGGAAATCCGCTCCGCAAGGCTGCAACATAAACAATCTGCCACCGCTAGATATACGTACCTCAGAGCCCCAACACTCAACGTTGTAACAAAATCCCAAGCACATGATCACGGTCCGTTGAAACAACAATGTCTGTCACTCCTCACTCACCATTTCTGGCTCTTCCGCGCGAGTTGCGTGACGAGATCCTTGGCTACCTTATTCTACCCCAATACGTTTACACATCAACCTCGACCAAGGATACACAGAATCTGTACAAATCACGCCAAAGCGCCATTGACACTTACCTCGATACGCGTATCTATCTGCCTTCTCGTCCGCCTGCGAACATCTTGGCCACTTGTCGGCAGCTGCGAGAAGAGTGCCTGGAACACCGTCTTGATCCAACAATATCTGTAGCACTCTCAACCCCCGAGAATCGACCCCTCAGCAACATCCTAGCTGAACGATTAGGGACCGAATTTGCTGAGGAAGCAGAGCGTGCCTGCGATGATGGCACCCCGCGAATCACGCTGGAGATTCAGAGACAACTACGTGGGGCTCATGGTTACTATATTCCGACACGCGACGAAGTTTCGCCTCGGTTTTTGGCACTACTCCCAATAATGGAGAGGAACAAGAAGCTGAGATTGACCCTGTGGCCCGGTTACGACTGGTGGAACGGTGGCCCACCCGTCTTCATCGACAAGCGTGGAAATGCTCGAATCAACCCTGGTGAGGCAGCGAAGCCTAACGCTGCCTCGGTTGCCATTAGTCGAATGCTTCAGCACTTCCCCCATGTCGAAGAACTCAGTGTAGATGTGCTTATGCAGGCATCTGACGGCGGCAGATGGGACTTACCGGACAAGAAATGGGAGAATATTCAATCATGGCTGGACGCACCGATCATGCCTAACACGGAACAGACAGTGAAGAAGGTGACCAGGAAGCTCACTGGTTTCTGGAAAGCATCAGATCCAGAGTCCTTTTACGTACAACAGGAAATCCGTCAATCGGGCAATACCTGGAAGGTCGACCGGAAGGGTGATATGGGCACTGTGAGTAGCCCAAGTTACATTTGTTCGCTCGTCTCTAACACTTGCAGCCCACAATGAAATCCTTTTGCGATACCGGCAATGAAGGCGACATGGAATTCCTTCGATCGCTCGTAGTAGAGGAGTCTTTCGTCCGTACCGACTAGAGACTGCCCGGCTGACGTCAGGTCGAGATCCCACGCATGAGCGCCGGAAAATTATTGTGGCCTCATTTCCTTAGTCCCACCGACGTTTATATTGGCTTCATCAAGCATCGGCGAAATGTTTCAGGCGCATGGCATGACTTGTGGAGAACCCTGACTTGCCGGGCAGGGATCCATCGCCTCGGAACATAACCGTCGCAACGCAGAATCGATGCACATCACCAACAAGGCCATATGTGAAGATCTCATAGCTGATCGGTTTCTGGGGTTCTTCCGCCGGTTATATTATCGCTAGTATGCTGTCAAATCCACCAATCTTCCAGGTAGCCCTCACACCTTACTCGGGTGATCGACAAGTACGCGGCCTGACCATGGGACACCCTGGAGAGGAGTAACGGCTCCTTTCGGAATAGTCGCTTGACATGTACATACCTTCGAAACAACGGAGGTAGACTACCATTACAGATACTCCGTGGGCACGTTCTCCTCTTTTTATCTCCTTGGCTCGTATGTATGTTTGGCGTTGTACTTAAGCATGATCGAAGCCTACCTAAATATCCAACTTTGAATCTAACATCCATATCGACCACTACACTCCTTACATCTTACTTCTTCTACCACATTTCAATATGAAGTTCAGCGCACTCCTTATCGCCAGCACGGCATCGCTTGCCCTCGCTGTACCTACCGCTACCATCCAGAAGCGTGCGGACTACTGCGGACAATGGGACAGCACCGTAACCGGTGACTACACCGTTTACAACAACCTTTGGGGCCAAGCCGATGCCACCTCTGGTTCTCAATGCACCGGCGTTGACGGCCTCAGCGGCAGGTCCCTCAAGTGGCACACATCGTGGTCCTGGACTGGCGGGTATGTCCTTTTCTCACTCTGCTATTAATTCCAACACTGACAAAATCCGCTTCTAGTCCTGGACACGTCAAGTCCTACGCCAACGTCGTCACCAAGATCACCCAGAAGGCAGTCTCTTCCATCAAGTCTCTCCCCTCCGTCTGGAAGTGGACCTACGCAGGCGATGACCTTGTCGCAAACGTCTCCTACGACCTCTTCACCTCTTCAAAGGTCGACGGCTCCCCAGAGTACGAGATCATGATCTGGGTTGGTGCCCTTGGTGGTGCTGGTCCCATTTCCGCTACGGGAAGCCCCATTGCTACCGTCAACCTTGCTGGCAACACCTGGAAATTGTACAACGGAAAGAACGGACAGATGAACGTCTTCAGCTTCGTTGCAGAGAAGCAGGTCAACAACTTTAATGGCGACTTGATGACATTCGTTAAGGAAATCACGAGCAAGCATGGTCTGCCTAGCAGCCAGATCTTGACTAGTGTCGGTGCTGGAACTGAGCCTTTCTCTGGTAACAAGGCGAAGCTCACTGTTACTGAGTACAGCCTGAGCCAGAGCTAAATGCGTTGTCATTTCTGAGCGTGACTGAAAATCAAGTAGTTGTGGAGGGACTACTTCTTTGTACATATCTTTCCTCCTTTATTCTGCACATACATTCAATGCTGCATATATTTACTGCAATGCATATTTGGGCTTCAGCTCCTCATGCTATCGCGATTGTGAAACTCGCTCGATTGAAGTCGTGGTTCGCTCTTCCGCCTCGCTCCGAAGGGCCGACGTTCCTGCTCCATGTTACACAAGGCAACCGCAGTTCGTATTGCCCGATCCTAGGCACATTTCAGCTGCATCATTGGAGGCCTGACGGATAAGCTTCAACAAGCCTTAACTAAGCTCTTAAGCCAAGCAGCAGGTGGGTATGAACAATGTATTTCGACCCTAATCATCGGCCTTACTGACTGAAACAACACTGACCCACATAACGAGGCGGCAAGGAGATGGCACCTAAGATAGCGATTATCGGTGCAGGTCCCGGCGGCTGCATACTCGCACGGCTGCTACTCACCCAGTGCGACTGCAGGACCATCATCTTCGAAGCCGAAAGCTCGATCAATTACCGTTCGCAAGGTGGTACCTTGGACTTGCGCGCCGATACAGGCCTCGCTGCAATTAGGATGGCAGGCCTGTGGGACGAGTTCCAGAAGTACGCCCGTTACGATGGCGAGAGTTTGCTGGTCACCGATAAACATCTTACAACGTGGTTGAGAAGAGGTGGCCGGAAGACGGAAGATGTAAAAGGAGGTTCAGGTGATGCACCGGAGATTGATCGTACGGATCTGAGGAAAATGCTGATGGAGAGCCTACCTCCTAACACAGTTCGTTGGGGATACAAGCTGTCGCGTGTTGAAGAGTGCAGCACGGGACTAAGGTTAATATTTGCGAACGGAGATGTGTTGGATGGTTTCGACCTGATCGTGGGTTGTGACGGCGCATTCAGCAAGACTCGCAATCTATTGACGTCGGAGAAGCCTCATTACTCCGGTCTAGGTGGTTGGACAATGTTCATCGCCAATGCCGAGCACACAGCACCAGAAGTGTACAAACTTGTCAACAGAGGCAGCGTGTTCGCATACTCGGACGGCAAGACTCTAGCTATACAGCAGCTCTCCGATGAGTCAATCTACGTATCCTACTACGGCCAGCATCCAGAAGACTTCACTCAAACATGCGGTTTCGATGCCCAGAGCGACATCGAATCAGCGAAAACAGTATTGAGGAAGTCATTGCACGACTGGCGACCGGAGCTTCTGGACGCCATCGAAAAAGCGACAACGGGAATCGTGTGGAGGAATCTCTACCAACTTCCCGTAGGATTCACCTGGCCGCACAGGCCAGGCGTCACGCTCTTAGGCGACGCAGCGCATGTCATGACTCCATTTGCAGGCATCGGTGTTAACACGACTTTCAACGATGCTATGGTTCTCACCAAGCATATCGTAGCATACAGCTCGTCAACTTCGTCCAGTGAAGGAGTCGACCAGGTGAATGCTCTTGGCCAGAACGTCGAGAAATATGAGACGGAAATGTTCAAGCATGCACATGCGGCCCAGCGACGCACCGAGGGAGCGAAAAATGCTATGCTGTTCACGCCCGGTGCTCCGCGGACAAGTATTGAAACATGGGTTCTGTGGCAAGCGGGAGATCAAGTGCCTGTGTGGTGTCGACCGGTACTTGCGATAATTGTGTACGTGGGGTTTTGGGTATACAAGCTGTTCGTGTAAAGGTTGTTTGCACGAGGTGGAAGTGTTCTGGAAGTGTTCGCGGTGTTGCTTCGGAGCGGTTTGACAGCCTGTCGCGTAAGATAACATGCGGAGCTGTGTACTCCGACCTTTCGACGCCACTTTCGCTTCCGCTCTCAACCATGACTTATCTTGATCATACCTCGGTAGACACTGTTATTTACCGTTTTCGATCTACAAATGTACCTTCTCAATCTATCCAAGTCGACCCGCGAAGTATTGGGAAGCTTTTCTTACTACAGGGCAAGCTTATCCACTGCGGCCCATATTGACCAATAGGCACAGAGCACTCACGCATGTGCACCGGCGCCGTGCTGCATCTCTACTGTAGCCCAGCTGCTACAGCAAATCAGAAAAGCTGCAATTCTGCTGATGACGAATGACTACTGGGTTGCGTCCTCAACTTTCCTACATTGCGATGTTCGCCCCGCTACCGCGAATCCCACCATCCCGTGCCTACCTTACAAGCATGGCAGCATGCTGGCTCCACGAGCTGTGATTGGGATGCCGCTACTCAGGAACAGAAGTTCCTGCAGGCATGACGCAGTAAAAACATGAGAATACATGGGCATAGCTTACTTCGAGTCGGATAGCTCGAAAATGGCTCAACATTCTTCAAGCTACAAAAAGGCCCAGAGAGCCGGTAGATTCGGGCTTGCATGTTTGATCGGCGCTCTACTTAGCAGCCGTTTGTCAATATGAAGCTTCAGTATCTTTCTTTGTTGCCATTGGTATCAACCGCCAGCGCTAGCTGGTCGAAGAACCTCAACTACCGTTCGCCTTCAGAACACCGTTAGTAATGTCCCTGTATGAAGTCCGTGTGAGACATATACTGACTCCCTACACCCACATTCAGACCCAGCTCTTGGTGTTTCCATTCACAAGGTGGTCAAAAGGAACGACCCAGCAAGCAGCTATGCCGCCTCTAGCCTGAGCTTTACCCATGGTGTCGCCTCAGGTGACCCATACCCCAACAGCGTCATCCTCTGGACCCGTGTCGCTCCTCAAAGCGATAACTCGCAATCCAACCTTACGGTCACAGGGTACGCACCTCTATTCGACCATGACAATGAGAAGTACGTCAAGATCTCCAAAGCACCGGTGTGCGTCGAGTACAAGGTCTACGACAACAAGAACGGTTCCACGGTTGTCGACTCCGGAAAGGTCTTCACCAGCTCTGACGTAGACTTTACCGTCAAGGTCGAAGCCAAGAACTTGAAGGCGTACAGCACGTACTACTACCAGTTCAATGTCTGTGGTTCGGAGAACAAGAGTCCTCTTGGACGCACGAAGACTACACCAAATGCCGACGACGATATCACCGATGTCAGTCTTGCGGTGTACAGTTGCGCAAACTATCCATTTGGTTTCTTCAACGCTTATGGAAATGTTGCCCGCAAGGTAAGTCTAATGGCAATGACGCTACGTACGTTGAGCTGAGTTCAGGACTAGGATTCTGTCGATTATGTTGTTCATCTTGGTGACTACATCTATGAGTACAAGAATGGAGACTACGGGTGGGGAAACTCGATCGACCGTATCCCTCAGCCAGACCACGAGATCTTCACTCTTTACGACTACCGAAGGAGGCTCGCTACATACCGAACCGATCTTGACCTGCTCGCCAGCCACGAGCAGTTTCCGTGGATTCCTGTTTGGGACGATCACGAGGTTGCTGATAATACTTACCGCGACGGCATGTCTGAACTCAACAATACCGAAGACTCCTTCCTCCGCGACGGCGGTGTATCTGTTGACCAGCGCAAGATGAATGCGGTTCGAGCCTACTATGAGTGGATGCCAATTCGCCAAGTCGACATGGACGACAATCTCCGCATCTGGCGTTCTTGTAAGGGTTTCTGTACGAACTGGATGTGAGACATGCACTGACTTCGTACACCCATATTTAGTCTCCATTGGAAAACTTGTCGATCTCATGATGCTTGACACCCGTCAATACGACCGTTCCATCACTGATCTTTACTGGAACACAGACTACGTGCACGACATCTCTAACGATGCAGGCCGTTCCTTAATGGGCTCTCGTCAAGAAAACTGGTTTTACCGCAGTCTTTCCGAGTCTGCCGAACGCGGCGCAACGTGGCGCATGGTAGGCTCTCAGATTGTCTTCTCGCGCGTCAATCAATCCGCTGCGTATGGAGAAGAAAACCCCCTGAACTACGATGCATGGGATGGGTACCAAGCAAATAAGAACCGTACTCTCAACCACTTGTACAGCAACAACATCAACAACAACATCTTTCTTGCCGGCGACAGCCACGCATCCTGGGTCAGCGACCTCGTCTGGCTCGACGAAAAGAACTACAGCTCTGCAACCGGCGCAGGTAGCATTGGTGTCGAATTCGCTGGCTCAGCCGTCACGTCTCCTTGCCCTTACGGCGCCAACATTACTCTCGCAACCGCCAACAACTACTCTTCTATCATCCAGTCTGCCAACGCTGAACTTCAGTGGCAGGATCTATACTACCGTGGTTACTTCGAGTTGCATTTCTCCCACGAAGAACTCACAGCGAACTTCTTCGGTATGCCAACTGTCGTAACGAGGAATGGCTGGGAGATTCCTATTGCGAATTTCACGGTCAAGAGTGGCGAGAATAGGTTACAGAGACCTGTTGCGGGTGGTGTTGTGGAGAGTGGAAGCTTGAAAGGGGGAAAGACTGTGCAGACCAATCTGACAATTGATACTAACAACGGGACATGGTTCGTCAGTCATGCGGATTTGGAAGTGTTGTAGAAGGGGTAAAGAATCGACGAAAAAAACTGTCCACGTAGCAGAATCGCATTATATTCCAAAGGTTTTTCATGATTGAGGAATTGCTTGATGCTTGGCCGGATGACTCGGCTTATTCGCCCAGCATCCCTAAGCCTGAGCTTCCGCAATCCACATCATGCGTGACGAAAAGACACTCTAAAACGAGAAAACATCACAAACAAAAAAGGCTCCCAAGCCTGAAGTGTACCGCATAACCGACACACATACGCAGCATCTGTTCGCCGAAGTGTTTTGACTTTCAGCAGCGCAAGCACTGAAATGGTAAACAGCCTGGGCAGTCTTGTCGCTAGCCTTCCGAACCCCGGGTTAGCAACTCGGTAGCGCGCGGAAAGAAGGGTAAAGGGTGAAAAAGGCGGAGAAGAAGCCGCTGTTCTGGGATCTTGGCAGGTGCCCGACTGGTGATGTCATTCCATCTGTTTGGAGCCAACGGGCCTTCTCCATCCCCAACATCACATCAAAAGTCTAACGGGTCACGAAGCGCATTCAATAGCGTCGTGAACTTCGATTGTAAGCAAACTCAGATGCATGACCCTGAGCAGATCAGGAGATGAGCGGCATTCCTCCAGGATTCTCACATCACTGCAGCCAAGAACACCCAAGAAAGTTCACTAAACTTTTCCGCTGCGGGCAGTAACGCGAACATCAATCGAGACCCCGCGATCTATTTCGACGTTTTGAGGTACCGATAGCGCCTGACAAGTTAAGTTAGGCCCGCATCGAGACCGGTATATGATGGCGCCTTGGGCACGGCGTCCCTTTGTGTCGTGCACAGCCACGCGGATATGTGGATCATGGCTTGAAAAGGAAGTCTTGGTGAAAGATTAAGCCTGATTGAGAGCTGGGGTAGGACTACGGATCTTGCTCTACCCGCACCAAGATAGCTAGGCGATATCTTGGGGGCGATCACAGGCTTGATCGATGCAAGCTCGCCTTACAAAAGTATGGAAAACTCCGTTACCAAGACAGTGGACGGTGGATTTTACGGCACGATTGAGCGTTACGATCATTGGACGCGCACACTAGATTTCGATGCGCCTCCACTCTTGTTGGTCGGAATCACATAGCGAGTTGCTTCCACATCAGGCCTCACTATTTTCGTCTCGGCATGTTGTCAGCAAATCGAAAATACCAAGACCACTACATACACTGCTGGTCACGCTTTCCGTACCCTTTTCGAGCTCGGCCATGGCGGAGATTATCTCAAATACATGCTGCTGGCTTGGCAAAACCTACCGTCAGGACTTCACCAAGACACCAGCATGCATCTCCAAGAGTTTACCACCGAGTGAGGGGCACTTTGTGCCGTCCACCGATGTCATCGGACCATGTCAAAGGGGAAATGAAGCTGTGCTTTGAGTGAGAAGTGGAGAGCCGCAAACGTATAAAGCACAGCACGAAATGGCCTCAAGTGTTCTCCATCAGCAACTCACATCTCTTCCACTCCATCCAAAACCTGCAAAGCTACCATACAACCCTTCAAACTCAAACACCACCCACGATGCATTTCACCACTCCCGCCCTTCTCGCTCTCATCTCGACCCCCCTTGCTTTTGCCGCTCCCTCAGGCAGCAAGAGCGACTACAAGAGCGACTGCAAGAAAGATTGGGACGCGAAATGGAACTCACACGACAACAGCTGGAAGAAGAACGAGAAGCTCTTCTACTTCGACGCAGAGTATGTCGTTAAGGCGACTCCGGACCAGGTCATCGCGACCACTGGCGCCCCTGCTCCCGGTCAGCCCGGTGCCAAGGGTCTTTTCAAATACGGCATCAACATCGCTGAGAACACCATCTGCTACAACATCACTCTGAGCGGTGTGACCGGAGAGTATGCGTCGCCTGCGCTTACCGCGACGCACATTCATGAGGCTGCCAAGGGCAAAGCTGGCCCACCAAGACTCGTAAGTCTACTTCCTTTGTGTCCCTTATCTTCGACTCCCCAGCATGCACCACAATGATTGAGACAACTACTAATATACGATCACGCAGGCCTTCCCGAACCCCTCCGGTCCAGATGAGCGCCGCACCTCCGTTGGCTGCTTGAAGGGACCCTTCAAAGTTGGCGTTATTAACATGGCAACTGGAAAGGATCAGGCCGACGGCTTTCACGTGAAGCAGATCGTAGCGAACCCCAAGGGTTTCTTCACTGATTCACACACTGCACAGTTCTCGTCTGGTGCAGTTAGGGGTCAGCTTGGATACTAGTGCTTGTTATGATGCCGTGGCAGCGAAGACGAATGGTAATCAGGGGTATGCCTAGTACGTCGATAGTGTGTAATGTCTAAGAAATGAACATATTACTTCGTAGATCTAGCACAACGTGGCTCTCTTGATAGTGGTTACTGGGACTGATGTAATGAAATGATCTCGATTCGTGGTGGCCGCAACAGTATACGATGGTCAACAAGTCACATTCGTTAACACGATATGTAGTCAGCAGCGTATCCAGAGCGATTTGTTGGTCTTGAAAAGACGTCACAAAACCAAAAGGATAGGCTGCAAAGACTGAACATGGAAGAGGGCGACCCGAAACTCCGAAATATCAAAGCCCAAATTAGACCGATTGATATTTCTGGGATGCGCGTATATACTTTGTTCAGGATTCACTGGTGTGGCTAAGATTTTGTGCTTGGTACTGGTGCTAGCCACCTCATCCTGCATGTAGACGCGTTTTGGCCATAGTTCCATTCTCCAATCAACTCGACTATCTCTTCATCTCATTCCGTCCCAACGATCTGCATCAGCTGTGTTTTCTCCTATGGTTATTGGCTAGAACGCGGAAGTTGTAATTCGCCTGGGGTAGATAGAACCAAAACACGGCCCTGCGCTGGATATGGTCATGGTCGAGATGAATATTGGAAGGCAATCTAGAGCTAGTCACTGGGACTCCGAACTGCAGCGTTTCATCATGTCGAATATGATGTGCCTTTGGAGTGCATCTTACTAAGCATCAGACGAATCTAAGAGAATTAGCTCATTCATACAAGAGCTCGGCCTGGGGTGTGCTGACATGTATGTGATCTTCACCCCTACCAGCAATTCATAATTTGAGACGGACATGCATCGTGCGTGCGGACATGGTAAATGTCTGATGATGTGGCACCCATAGATGAGGATGTCGATGTGGCTGTGTTGAGAGGTTGTTAGCAGCTGCGGCGTAAGGCGATCCGTTTCAGGTTGCCTCCTCAAGTCGTATTCGCAAGGCATCAATATTGGTTACCTTACCCTCAACTACATATTCCTCACTCGCGCATTCCTCCATCACCTTCCACTTGCACCAACACACATCGGCTCATATTGATTCATCGCGCGACCTTGCATTACGCATTCGCGCACGATCCCACTGTACGAACGAGCGAACAACGCGGTACCCTTCGGACTCTTCGTCTGACCGATCGACACACCCCGCAATTAGCCATCCTCGTATGCGAAGGAAGGGCCACTGTTTCAGTATCGCGCAGTGCCCGTAAGCCGACGTGTTTTCGTTGTGCAAGGGAAGTTGGACAGCGCCCTTGGCCTGCTGTTCTCCCTGGACAGTTTCCGTTAGCGCGTATTGCACACCCGATCAAACGGTACCCCACACGTTACTACAAGCGTCGTCATGGCGTCCACGTTGACAAAGGCGAGCGCATTGTCGCGATGGCAGGCAGGCCTCTCGGAATATGCTCTTGCTGGCTTGGAACTCAAAGGCTGGGTGACCCTACTAGCACTTTTACTCCCCCTACTGTCCCTTGTCGCTCTTAGCAAGTACCATAAGATGCAATACCAAAGCAAGAAGCCGTTCCCATTCCTTGAGTTACCACAAGAACTTAGAGATATGGTGTATGAGCACTTTCTCGATGATCCTGCATACCCGCCACCAGCGCACAACGAACTCCAGCGCTCAACATTGGATTGGATGAGACCGGCACGCTGGTCATCTGCATCCACGTCTCCAGGAACGCGACAAGAGAGTAAAACCATCTTTCTAGCAAACAAGCAAGTCTACGGAGAATACATGGACATGATCTGCAAGCGCAAGACCTTCCACCTCAGCGTCACCCTACAGACGTACAGGCCAGCTACCGCCTCTCCATCATCATCTCCATTTTCCCCGACAAACTACACCCCAGTATGGGAGATTTCGCCCACTACACTGTCCAAAGTTCAGAACTGCTCTCTCAAACTCGTCACCACATCTTCCATGCTCGGCGTCACTGACCCCCGCTCCATGACTTCCTCATCCTGGACCCTCGGCCGCCGCATGCGCGAACAACTCAAACACATGTCCTCTGTCCAAACCTTCACTCTCGACGCCAAGGCCCTCGGTGATCCCCTCTGGAACCCACTCTGGATCTGGTACCACGCTTCACAGTCCCTCAAGCTACTGGGCACGGATTTCTCGGACACGGTACCACGAGGCCCGCAGCTCACGCAGATTACGTTTAGTTTAGACACTTGGAGTCCTGGAGAGAACTACCTGAAGAGGAATGAGAATTATGGGGGACAATGGATGTGGTATTGTGCGAAGGATCATCTTGTGGGTGCTGACGTGGGAGCCGAGATGACTGTTAGAGAGTTTTGCGGAAAGTTATATCAAGAGTGCAGTATCTGTAGAGTAGATGACGAGGAGGATGGAACTGTGATTTGAAGACGGCTTATCGACAAGCCGATCTTGGGGTTGAAACATATCGCGGAGCCGGTCCTCGAGAAGTCTGGTGGGAAAGCAGGCTTGTCTCTTGTACTATTATTTCTATCTTTTGTTTGTGGCAGCCTTTTTTGCGTATGAGATGCGCTCGATTCCATTCCTAATATCATCTTCTTGTCGATCTAGTGAGAGACCCTCCCTTTCTTATTTCTTTTCCTCCAGCATTTCCTTCGCAGGTATTGTCGCAAACCGGCTCATGACCTCCATGTTCTTCTCCTTGCTCATCTTGTCATCTGTCTTACTTATCTCAGCCAGGATTTTGAAGTAATCGATGTAGAACGCCGGCGTGAACGTGTTGAAGAACTTGGCTTCTTCGTTTGTAGGATTTGAGAAAGTATGAGGTGCGCGGATAGGTACGGTAACATAATCTCCGACGTGGGCATCGTGTTGGGCGCCGTCGGGGGCGTGGAACTATCTCAAGTGTTAGTCTTTTGATCTAAAGAAAAAAAGACAGGAAGGGTAGGTCAAGACGTACCCGCACCATTCCCTGTGTGACGAGGAATGTCTCGTCGTGCATCTCGTGCCAGTGTGCTGGTGGGCCAGCCGTGTTCGGAGGTAGCGTGAACTCTGCTGAGCCTATGCGGTTGTCTGTTCGTGATCCGTCTTCCATGATTCTGCAAGTGATATGTCCTAGTTTGAGTATCTCCCCCGACTTCGCAGAAACGAAGTTTATAGGACGGCGCGGCATCTTCATGCTTGCCATTGCTTGACGGGCTTCGTCGTCCATGATGGGCTGGGCAGTTCGGTAGCGTGAAATGGTAGGCTCGGGGTTGGCTGTCCTCTTTACTTGTTTACTTGGAAAGTTTGGATTCAAGTGTCTGATATTGGAGACTCTACTGCAGCTATATAGATACGTGTGGTGGGTAAAAAGGCGTAAGTATAAGCGCTGGACTTTACTACTGCGGAGAGCCGGCGGAAGCCACCAAAGCTTTCAGATTGCTCGGAGGTCCGCGACGTTAGATGCGTGCGGGGAAGCACCCTTCGACTAGAACAAGATGGCATACATGCATAAGATGGGTCTCAATACATCAGCATACGAGACGATGTTGTATCATCTGGAGCTTGATGGAATGCTGCTGCTGCCGGGAGTGAATGCCCCGCACTTAGCTCAGGGTTAGCGCAGGGTCTCATTCCCCTCCCCTCTGAGCGGGCCTGAGCCTTCTCCACTTTCGGCAAAGGTCTGTCCTGCGCGCCCTTTGACTTACCTGCAGCGTACCTGCAGTGGCTGCCTACACCAATGAACAACGAGGCTAGTTGTTACGCGTCTCATCGCTGCCTGGTATCCAGCGTGTTCATTAAGATTGATAATCTCAGACCTGCCATCAAACACAAGCCAGCTCGTCTCGATCATCTGTGATTTACAGTTGTCGCAACTACCACCAACATGACGCCAAAAAAGATGTTTACTGTTCTTGAGAACAACCCAGAAGTCATGAACTCCTTGGCTCAAAACCTCGGTCTGGACACGAATGCGCTCTCTTTCTACGATGTCTACTCACTTACTGATCCGGACATGCTGGCTTTCATCCCGCGACCAGCCATAGCACTACTCGTTATCATACCTCTGACGCCTACATGGGATGAGGCGCGAACGGTAGAAGACAGAGACAAATCTGAGTATGAGGGCAAGGGCGACACAGAACCCGTCATATGGTTCAAGCAAACTATAGGCAACGCTTGCGGAAGCATAGGCTTGGTGCACTGTCTCCTCAACAGCGAAGCTGCACAGCACATCCAGCCATCCTCGACCCTCGCTAAGATCCGCGATGATGCGCTACCAAAACCCATCTGGGAGCGGGCGAAAGTGCTCGAAGACTCTGACGCATTTGAGAAGGCTCACGCAGACGCAGCAAAACTTGGAGACACAGAAGCACCTGTAGCAATAGAGGAGTATCATCTCGGTCAGCATTTCGTGGCGTTCGTCAAAGCAAAAGATGGCCACTTGTGGGAACTCGAAGGTGGTCGTATGGGTCCACTCGACCGAGGTGTGCTCAACGAGGATGAGGATGTGCTTAGTCCTGCGGCGCTGGAGAAGGGCATTGGACGTCTGATGAGGATCGAGTCTGAGAAAGGTGGCGACCTGAGGTTCTCTGCAATCGCGCTGGCTCCGGCGATGAAATGAAGAGTGGCACACCTGCCGACGCCCGAATGATGCGTTACACATGGGTTCTTGTTCGCAACACGCCAGGGCTGTCCACAAGCAAGATACGTCTTCTCTTCTTTGTCTTGATATTTAACAATCATCAAACGATCTTAACACTCAATCTTCGTACCCCGCTTCACTCATGAATGGGCTCTTTCCACGTATGCTTTTCCCAAATCTCAACAATATCAAAGGAATGAAACTCAGTGCTAATGCAATGAAGCCCAACAAACTACTCGCCCATTGGAAGCCCAACGTACGGTACATACTCTGGGTTGCAAGCGGTAAGAACGCTGCCATGAAGTTCTCAAGGAATGCAATGCCTGCAATGGCACTAGCAGCGTATTTTGCGTACGCATCAACCACATACGTCGTCACTCCAGCCGTGCTGCAGAACATACCAAAACCAATAAAGGCGAGCGATATACTAGGTACAATCCATGATATAGAAGCGTAGGACGTCCACGCGAAGTAGAACAGTCCGCCGCTTAGACCAATAAACGAAGCTGGAATACTGAGATAGAGTCGTGCTTCAGGAATCGGTTTTCCTGGTGTATCCGTGTTGCGTTTCGCGGATGCGAAGTAGATTCGATCTTGAACTAGGGATGCGACAAGGCCGATAAGCTCCCCAATCACGACTGCGGACTGCACAAGACCCGTGCCGAAGAAAGACCAGCCGTACAACTCCGAGAAGACTTGCACGATGGACTGTGTGAACATGAACGCTGTGCCGATGCAGAAAGCGCTCCACATTCCAAAAGACAGAACTACGCCTTCGGTACAGAGCATGCGTGTGGGTCTGACAAGCGTCTCCCTAAGGATCTCACCAAAATTTGTATGCTCTTTCTCCGCCTGTGCATACACCTCTTTTCCAGTCTCTGCGCGAATACGACGTGCACGCTGAGTGAGGATGACATCGGGTCGAACCTCGGGGAGGAGGAAGAACAGCACCGGTATAAGGGCGCTATAGAAGATGATCTGGCTTAGGAAGACCCTACATTTAGGTTAGTTAAAGTAGAGAAGGCAGTAGCCAGAGCATGACTCACCATCGCCAGGTCGTATACTGCACTACCAAACTCCCGAAAACAGGCCCCATGTTAAGACCCGCAAGCAGGGCGAAAATATAAAGTGAGGTACCGAAACTCTTCGCTCTTCCGTCTTTCCATATATCACTCACAATGCCCGACGTTATATTGGCAAGCACACCCGAGCAAGAACCTGTAATGATCCTCGTTACAATGATTGTCGCGAAGTTTTTGGCTAACGCTTGTGGAATGATGAAGATGATCAGAACTGCGTAGATGACCAGATAACTCCACCGTACCCCAAAGTTCTCCATCAAAGGCAGTCCCAAGAGTCTAAATGTAAGCGTACAAAGTTAGTATGTGTCTCACATGCAGTTCGCACAGAGATACTTACGGTGCTGCGGCGCCTCCCAGGTTCCAACTCAACACTGGCCAGTAGGAGTGTGGGAATGCCTCGTCGCTGATATTGAAGCTGGTGTTGATTTGCTCGGCGGCGGATGTGAGCATTGTTCCTGAGACTTGTACGACGAATGTCATGGTACAGGCTAGAAGCGTCGTGCGCCATTTTTTCGAGGAAGAGAAGTTGAAAGGATTCGAAGAGTCGGTCGATGAGGCCCAAGATATGAACGTAGGACTAGACTTCGAATCTGGCTGTGAAGGATGTGTTCCTGAGATATCTGGACTCAATGGTCGATCGCGCTTCTCGTCGACAGCTTGCGAGCTCAGACTTGTCGAAGACCTCGAAGTTGATGTTGGGGAAGCCATGGCCACGGACGATAAGCCAAGGCGAAGACGGAGCTAGCGTTGCCGGTCTGGCTTATAAGCTGTATCGACGGATGTAAAGATGGCGACTAAGCATCAGTCACCCAGTTGCTTACACACGCCTTCACACTCTTCGCTCTGGTTGCAACTTTTCTCTGTCGTAGTTTGAGTGCGAGTCGTATGGCCAGAAGACGGGACAACGCAGCTATTCGCAGGGTACACGTCGAATACGGTGAAACCGACCTTGCTGTCACAGTACACCAGGGAACAATAACCTCTAAGTGCAAGGCTTCTTGGGAGACAAGCTTCTGACAAGCACCAAGCCTAAAGTTCGTCGCAGGTAGTAGCTAGGGTGGTCGAGTGGAGATGGAGCCGACAGAAGCTCGCCCCATCTTCGCTCGGCGGTCACCATGAGGTGCAAACAAAACCTGAACCTCTGACATCACGGTTCATAAGGGACTTGACTAACAGCTCGAGGTTGCTAGGCGGCGTTGCTAACTATAACGTAAGAAAAAGCGGATGCGAGTTAGCGTCGGCTTGGCGGGCATTATGATCTTCTTGTCAGAGCGGGAGATTCTATAATTGGGTGCGTGATGCTGGAGAACAAGACCGATGTATATTCGAGGCTGTTCTTACAATTGTGATGGGTTGTAACAGTCAGATTTGTGATGGACGGGAAGGTATGATGTAGATGTTTTGCCATGAGACGCCACAGCCGAAGATTTCCACGCTAAACTTTATCCATTTGTCCTGTCTCCCGAGAGCTACCAACGTTTCTGAACCGCCTTATACCCTCTGAACCAGAGCGACTTATGATAGCCTACACATAATCCTCCTTGGTACCCTTTTCCGCACTTCTGTAGATCGCCTCAATCATCTTATGCCTAATAACAGCATCCTCCCAGGTCGTAACACTGCCTACACCTTCCCCAGCCCACGCATCCCAGGCCCTCCCCACATTAAACGACGTATCCTCAGCCTTCTCCACTTCAACTTCTCTGAGTTCTTCCTGACCCAGTGCGATCTTGACAGTAGGCTGGAACATCTGCACATGTCCACCCATCTTCGGTCCTTCTAAGACAAGTGTACCCTCGGATCCGATAATCTCCCAGTAGAAATCTCGTCCACTGCGCGACAAACCCGGAGCGTAATTGACATCTACGTTGCCGCCTCCGTTGACAAGTTCTGCAGTCATGGAAATAAAGTCGTGGGAAGTTTTACTTTTCTTTTCACCCTTGGGCTGGTAGGTCTTCTCATCGATCAACTCAAGTTCTGGGTAGCGGTTCGATAGCACGGCGGAGATTGAGCGGAGTTCGCTAGAAAATACGTAGCAGAGCGCGTCGACAGCGTGACCAAAGGGAATGGTGAGGACATTTGCGCCTGCTTCGACTGGGAGCATGTATAGATGGGAGGGAAAAATTGTGCCGCCGAATATCATGCCCTGTTGTTCGTCAGCAAGTTTATTCATGCCAATGCATCCCTCTTCTGTCATTCAAATCTGAAGGATGTGATTGACGATATTCTTACATGACCGAACATCGTCGTCCCCAAGATTTTCCCTAGTTTTCCTGACTCAACGATTTCCTTTGTTTTGAGAATCGAAGGGTTTTGACGGGCTTGCAAGCCCACCATCGTTCTCACGCCCTTTGCCTGAGCCAAAGCAGTCAATTCCTCTGCTTCTTTCAAATTCCGCGCTAAGGGCCATTCGGAGAATACGTCTTTCCCTGCCTCGAGAGCGGGACGGATGAGCGCGTAGTGTAGGGGTACATTGACGCTGACGGCTACGATGTCTACATTGGGATCCTGAGCAATAGAATTGGGGGAGTCGTGGGTGGAAACCGAGTCTAGAGAGTACTGTTTGGCTGATGCTTTGGCTGAGTCAAGAGAGCTATTTTGGAGAGCAGTAATAGTATAGTGAGGGGTGCGCTGGAGGTGGGGAAGATGAGAGCTGGACGCCCATGATCTGAACGTTGACGTCAATTGAGCTATCGTATGATACAGTTCCAAATACATACTTACCCTTTGGCCGAGAGACCGATGAGTCCAACTCGTTTCTGTGAGCTAGTCATAATTCTCAGTTGAGCAAGCGAATCGTATTACTTTTCTTGAGTTTGGATTGCAATAATTGGATGATTAGATCCCCGACAAAGATGGATCAAGTTGAACAGAGGACATTAGCTCAATCTATACGTCTAACTACGGATATACATGTCACTCCGCATACCCCGAGACCCTGCAGCTAAAGCGGGTACAGCCGATTGCAGCCCGAGGTATGGCATGGGTGGTTGTTGCAGTACGGATGACGTAACTGAATAGTTCGCCCGTTTTTCGTGCGCGCGCACCAAGCTTCTTCACTTCGCCAGGCAGAATATATGTTCTCTGTGAGCTTGCGGCCCTGGGCAGCTTCGAATTCTCATTTTCCGAATGTGATTCTGACGGCGTTTCTCAGCTATTATACAGTCTTTACTCATCGCGGTACTGCTATCGATGATCGGAAGGGTGGACTAAACCCTTCCTATGCCGAGATAAATGTCAAAAATACAGAACAGAACAGTCTATTGGTTTCTCTATTTGACTTGTACGAAGCACTTATGAAGCAATACGCATTCGTCTTGGAATAACCTAGTTCCAAATCGTTCGTTCCGCGTTATACCATGAAGGTCATGCAGGGTCTTATCACAACTCAGTGGCATTCTCGTCTTCCTCATTGCCCTCAGGCATCTCCTCATCTCACTCATCAGAGTAGCGCCCACACATCTGCGCATTCTCCCACGCTTCATCGGCAACATGCTGGTACTCGTCCGCCCTAGTATAAGCCTCCGTAACAAAGTAGGGGCGCGACGTCTCCAAACCAAGAGAAGGCTCAGAGCCCACCGCCAGACGACTCGAAACCGCAGCATCTGTTGCAGCCGTAATGCCCGGAATGAACGGTTGAGCAAAGGGGGAGAGCGCGTTACTTGTAGCTGACATTGCAAGACCATACGGATTCGCAACAGCCTGGAAGTTACCCGTGTTACCAAGTATTCCCGCCATCTCGTGCCCAGTAAAAGGCATCGCAACCTCATTTTGCACCAATCCTTTTCCAGACCACCCATTGGTTCGAGATAGTTCCGCATAGTAGTTTTCATTCTGGCACTGCTCACAGAGGTAGGTTCCATGTCTAGCTTGTAATTTGCCACGCGTGCTTAGGCAATCTTTGTGGTACCAGCCTACTTTGCAACCCTTGTTCACGCATTGCGTGATTGGAACCTCATTCGTACGCGCGGGCTTGTGGCAGGAGCAGATTAGGTCGCTCTTTACGGGCAAGTGTTTGTTGTATGTCTCGAAAGCTGCTTGAGTGACACCAAAGGGTGGTGAGCCGTCGGTGGTAGGGTCGTGCTTGCGGTAGACGGGTGCGTAGAATTGTTGTGCTTTCACTGTGGGCTTTGACGGCGGGCTTGGTCTTTTTCTCTTCTTACTCGGCGATACAAACTTTGATCTAGCTTTTCCCTTGTTCTTGATAGGTGTATATTCCCCATCCGGTGTGTCTGGATCGGCGTCTTCATTTACAGCGTCAGACGCATCATCACTCAGATTCAACTCTCCGTAATTTATGTTGTTGGTCTTGACCGAGCGTTTGAGTGTTAGAGGACCGTGTGGATTCACTACTGTGAAGATGTTGCAGATATTGGTGTCCTCGGGTTTGGTCATATTTTCGCGTCTTATTCGGTGGTTCGTGAAGAAACGACAGACAAGGTTGGTTTCAACGTCACGGCCAAATTCACGATGACCACTCCCAAAATCAGGTACACTGTTCTCCAGGAGGATTGCGCTGCCCAGTTTTTCGTATTCGTTTTGCTGTACTGATGTAGGGTCTCGGTAAACCAAAGCGGAGTTTTCTGATGATCCCAAAGTCAACAGTTGGAAGTTGCGGGAAGGGAGAGGGTAATAAGAAGAGCTGCCAGTCGATGAATGGGAGTGGACGCTGTCAACTCTGCTATGAGCGACTGGTGGAGAGTAGGGACCTGGAAGGCGCTGTGAATGAGATAGTTCTTTGCCGCTCATTGTATGCGTAACGAAGCCCGTCTTGTGCTCAACCGCCCAAGAGCTCTCGCGCTCATTCATCTTGGCGGGTGCATAGTTACGGGACTCTGTGTAGGGAGCTTGTTCAGTCACGCCATCGAGCTGTAGCGAGCCAGCAGTCGAGGGAACCAGCCCTTCACAGCTCGAAGCGTCGTCCGACCCGCCGCCCTCCCTCATATCGTAAAGTTCGCTCCTAGAAGTTGGACGCTGGATAGGTCGAGTAGGAACATGGTGATATCTACCTTGTTGAGACTGACCCGCGGACCGGTTGGTGGTAGACTGCGCCTCTGCCCGTCGGTTCACAAGCTCTTCCAGGCAGTCCAAACAGTAGGTGCGTGTCTGCTTAGGTACCAACTTTTTGACCTGTTGAGTCCACAAAGGATCATTTATTCTCGGTCCATTACGGCGAAAAGCGATGATTTTACCAGAAGCCACGCACATGTCAGAAGCCGGCGTGACGGTTCCCCAATCAAGGAGTGGTTCAAGTGTGATGGAAAGAGGGCCCCTCTTGATTCTTTCAAGTGTGTCTTCTCCTACTTCTGGGCAGGAAAGATTGTCGCAACCTTTCTTACAATCATCTCTAACGATGAAGACGAGATCGCCTTTGGTTTGATATACTTTGCCAGAGCCTCTACCTTCGAGCGCATGTAGAACATACTCCCTATGCTCAGCTAAATCCTGGTCGTCTGTCCAGCGGTATGTCTGGTTGGCATTTGGAGGCTCCGAGGATTGATAAACCATCTCGTCGATACCGGTAACTTTCCGCCAGAACAGCGCTTGTAGGTTAAGTAGTTGTTCATACCCTTCGTGGAGGGTAGGGAGCTTCATGCCCCAATTCTGAAGGTATAGATGAAAAGCTTTGGCGCTTTCTTCACCAACCTTGGGAAACAGGAAATGTGAACTCCGAAGGTCGTTCTGGCATGTGTAAAAAATACCGGAGGGCTTGGTAGGAGAAAGTTCGTCTGGCGACGCCATTTTGCGCGATCAACTACCATGCCGTTAGCATGGAGCAGATTGTTTAAAATACCAGGATACCAATCACACTTGTGGCAGCCCGGCAGAGGGTAAGAAAAGGCGTGAAGTAGACTGTTCTCGTACGCAGGGCACGGCTACGGCGCCAAGGCCTGACAAAATCCACCTGCAGCCGAACTGGACGTGACGGCAGAAGCTAGTACCAGGCTCTGAACGTCTTTTTGTTGAGGGTCTGAAGACGACTGCATACTCTGAATGGGCGTTTCGCAGTGCAATCAATGGTAGCGAAGTCCGACAGCGGGCATCCATGGATCGCGTGGGGAAGAACCCTGAGACAACTACGCGCCGTGAAGATACATGTCGTGAGATGAAAGTGAAGAGTGAAGAGTCCAAACCGGATGATTTCGCGTTGTATCCGGTTCACTTTTGTACATTTCGGGACTGCTCAGAACATATAACCACGACGCCACATGTGTCCTTCGTCTATCTTGTCGTGTTCAAGTCACCAAAGAATACCAAAGTACACATAGACTCGGAATCAGAGATTACTTTTGTGGTATTCGTAGGGTGATCCAAGAGTGAGGCCACAGAGCATAATGATTGAATTCTAATAAAGTCCATGCTTCGTCAGGAGCATAGTCAAACACGATTCCGTGGCGTGACGCAGAAAGTTGCTAGAGTCGTCGGTGGCTGTCGGTGCCGCAAGATATCTATGTGTTGGAATTGCTCCGAGGTCAGCGACAGAAGTATAGTGTCGGCGCCTCTACTGTGTACGTTATGGGTCATGCTGTCAGAGAATGACGTTGATGTCGTTGCCGCTCACATATCCCTCGATGGTCTCTTTCAGAATTTCACCAAGGTTCTTGATTGACCTTGTCGAGAACCACGCCAAGTGAGGACTCAAGGTAATGTTGAGATCTTTTATGTCTTCCTCCAGCAGCGGTGAATCCTCAGGTCCACCAACAGGTTCCACCTGATACACGTCAGTAGCATAACCCGCTATGCGCCGTTCCTTCAAGGCTTGCACGACGGCTGCCTCGTGTACTATGCCGCCTCTCGCGATATTGATCAAGACGGTGTATGGATGCATCTTCTCGAGCTCTGCGGTGGAGATGAGGTTGAGCGTCTCGGGGTTTCGCGGCAGAGATAGGACAAGGACGGTGGAGTTACGGAGCACATCGTCAAAAGGTATGCGGTCGTCTGAAGCATCTGGGGCTGGTAGTGGTAGTCCGCCGTCAAGGGGAGGCGTCGCCGGTGTCTTGCGACTGGCGATAAGCACGCGCATGCCCAATGCTTGCCCGAGCGCAGCCACTCGCTTCCCTATCGTTCCTCGTCGTCAGCTCAGGATCTCGCATCCCAATTAGGGCATGGAGACCTACCTATGCCCCCATAGCCGATAACACCCATAACCTCATCTTTGCAGGTCATCGGAGGCATGCCATCCGGCAGGCGCATGTGCTGATTGACACTACCCTTGGTCTTCCATTCGCTAGGCTGCGCACGAGTAACGCGGTCTAAGAACACGGTTCGTCGTCTGGCGGCAAAGTACAGGCCTATGGCATGTTCCGAAACAGCGTCGATATTGGCCCCAGGGCAGTTTGTAACACGAATATTGCGGGCCCGGCAGGCGTCGAGGTCCACAGGGTCTGTTCCCGTCGCAGAAATGGCAATGTAGCGGAGGTTTGGAGTAACACTGGGGCGCAATGTTTCGGCATCTAGCTTGATAGTGGTTGTGATGACTATCGTGGCATTGCGGATGCGCGAGTGGAGCTCTTCGCGTGTCGACGTCGTCGCGTAGGCTGTCAGGTTGTGCGTAATGGTGGCGGGGAAGTTGAAGCCGTCAAGTGGGAGAGGCTGCTGATGCTCCTCGAGAGCGACAATCTCGTGATGCATGGCGGCAACGTTACACAGCTTCCAATGCAAGGCTGTCGAACATGACGCATTTCCATTTTATATCACTAAAAGACGCCTCTAGACGACAAGCCTGGCACCACTATTACCGCATTCGACATCCTAGGGCGCGTTTTCCCACCGGAAGGAAGGCACAGACAAAGGGAAGGAGCAAAGGAACAGCTCTTGGTAGCAGCAAACACGACTCCACCCTTCCATGTTGATATCTCCGTCTCCATCTCTCCCCTATCTATACACTCCGCAAACCTGCCCAGCGCGTTAATGCACACGCGACCATTGCCCCGGACCGTATCCACGAATACGGCTCCTAAGCCGAGGTGGACGCCCGCGACGCACGCCAAACGCCCTCGGCGACTCCCATTGGCTGCGCAAATCTGCAATTGTCAAAGTCACGCCCAACCTCACCCTCCCCCCACGCGTTCACCAGCGATTGCCCTGCAAACTTTGCGCACCCGAGTGAGGCTCAGTGTCTTGCGACATGCTTCAGGGACCAGCTCAGGGCCCTTCCCTCACCGGGTTTTCGTCGGCAGACAGCGGCTCAGCTTCTGGCCCACTTCTGGAAAAAACCTCAACACCTAAGCGACGGAACGCGGATGCATTAGACCATAGTTTCCACCCGATCGGTGATTTTCTCGGCGCTGTAAAACAGCCCTATCCGGTCACCTAGCATCAGCAATTGGCCCGCCAAGCTCGGCGTCTGTTGCCATCTGAAATTCGGGTGGGTAGTCTGAGCCGTCTTGCCTCCAAGGTGGCTAGCGGGCCTGGACCATGCGCCGACTGACGTCCCTCTGCAGCCCTTCAAAGCCTGCGCTGATCCGCCGTAGTGACCTCTCTCAGAGTTTTGCTTTGCGACAATTATCACAGTCACTTTCTCTCCCCGGACCCCAAACCACGGACGATAGCGACACGCCCCTCATGTCCGACTACAGGTATGGCACGCAGTCAGATGCGTACGCCGCTGAGCACGACCACTCTGTCCTTCGCAACGGCGCGTCTGACAAGGAGACCAAGTTGGGCAACACCTACTCTGGATCTGGAGACGATGTCGTTCCCGCCGATGCCGACAACCTCCTAGCTGCCATGGGCTACAAGGCCGAGTTGGTTCGGTCACGATCTACTCTCCAGGTCGCCTTCATGTCCTTTGTCTTGGCCTCGGTTCCCTATGGTTTGGCAACAACCCTCTACTACCCAGTAGTCGGTGGAGGTCCCACCAACATCATCTGGGGATGGCTCGCCGTATCTCTTATCATTCTCGCTGTCGCTGCATCTCTCGGTGAGATCACCAGTGTCTACCCGACCTCTGGTGGTGTCTACTACCAGACCTTCATGATCACGCCGCCCGCCTATCGGAAAATCGCCTCGTGGATCTGTGGTTGGTGTTTCGTAGTTGGCAACATTACCATTACTCTCTCAGTCAACTTTGCTACCGCGCTCTTCCTTGTGGCATGCGTCAATGTCTACGAAAGCGAACCTGGTGTTGGTATCATGGAAGGATCAGCTTATCAGGTCTTCCTCATCTTCCTTGGCATCACACTCATTTGCAACGCTGTGTCTGCCTTTGGAAACAAATACCTACCATGGTTGGATGTGAGAAACCCCCCAAGCGACTACTGGATGTGTTACTTACAGACGATTAGACCTTTGCCATTTTCTGGACCTTTGCTGGTGTGATTGCCATTATCGTATGCATCCTTGCCATTGCGAAGAATGGACGCCACAGCGCCGAATACGTCTTCACTGAATTCGATCCCTCCAACTCCGGATGGGTCCCAGGATGGTCTTTCATGGTCGGACTATTACACGCAGCCTACGCGACTTCATCGACTGGAATGATCATCTCGTGAGCCTCCCCTACTCTGCCCAAGCAACTTGAAGCAGATTTTCTTTGCCCAATGCAAATTTCCCAAGCGACCTTCCCAAGCGACATTTCCTATGCGACCCTCCCAAGCAACACACTCTATCGCGACATTTGACGTGTCTACATGCGGTAATGTCAAATGATGATTGTCCAAACGCTAACAGTGTACAGTATGTGCGAAGAGGTTCGTGAGCCTGCCACCCAGGTCCCCAAGGCCATGGTCGCTACCGTCGCCTTGAACACCATTGCTGGCCTGGTCTTCCTCATCCCTCTGGTCTTCGTACTTCCCGACCAAGCCATGCTTGCAGGACTACTTTCCGGCCAGCCGACACCTGTTATCATCAGGGATGCTGTAGGCTCCCCCGGTGGTGCCATTGGTCTGCTCATTCCTCTGCTGGTCCTCGGTTTCCTCTGTGGTATCGGGTGCACCACCGCTGCCTCCCGGGCTACCTGGGCCTTCTCTCGTGACGGTGCTATTCCCGGCTACAAGCTGTGGAGGACTGTCAACACGAACCTCGATGTTCCGCTCAACGCCATGATGCTGAGTATGGTTGTTCAAATCGCTCTCGGTCTCATCTACTTCGGTGCTGCCGCTGCTTTCAACGCTTTCTCCGGTGTCGGTGTCATTTGCCTGACCCTGAGTTACGCTGCCCCCATCTTCGTTTCGCTCATGACTGGTCGTAAGCAAGTCAAGGACGGCGCGTTCCACCTTGGCATGCTCGGTACCTTCTGCAACGTTGTTGCACTTGGTAAGTTTTGTGACCGATTCTTTTGGTAACCAATTTCTAACAAACATAACAGCCTGGTCCGCTCTCGCCACTCCTCTCTTCTGCATGCCTACTTTCCGCGATGTCACACCAGCATCGATGAACTACGCCTCTGTCGTTCTCGCCGCCGTCGTTGTTGTCTCAACTATCTGGTACTTTGTCTGGGGAAAGAAGAACTACGAGGGTCCTCCCACTCATGAGGACGCGGTTCTCGAGGCGAGAAGAGCCAGCATGGCGTCTCGTTAAGTCATATTGAACCAAAGATGACATGAGAGGAGGAAGAGATGGATGAGCACGCTCTCTTCTTTTCGCTACTCGGTGATTACAGCGAATGAAGTGGGTAAAGTCATTGTGTTTTTACATTCCTGCATCAGCAAATTCGATACCCCCGTACATTGAACATTCCAAAAGAGTTTTGTGCCAACGTTACCTCTCTATGCATTGTTTGTGAATCTGTTGCTCTTTCCGGCATATTGCATATACCGATCACGGGCGCAGCCGTCCCGATCCTTGGCCCAGGCACAACTACGTAAAATGTCACGATGCGGGAAAAACGGCATGCTGATTTCTCCACAATCCATGCCATGGTATGTCATAGCCTCCACAGCCTCCACAAAGCCCGCAAAGTATAAGCGCCCGGTCAACGTGCGGGCTCTTTTCGGTAGAAACCGGGACACGGACGACTATTGATTAGTGAACACGAGCCCCATCCACTAGACAACCATGCAGCACATAATGCGCAGCAACATAGCTGGATGGGACTGGTGACTGCGACTTTCGTGCTAGTGGTATTCCGCTGACCTGGAACCTTTTTGGTTGCATCGCTTAGCGAACTCGATAGCTGGATCCGCTATGACGTACGGGTTTGGAAGAATTTCAACAATGGTATTTGTGTTAGGTATAGGACGTTGTTGCATGTGTCTATGTACTGAAGTCGAAGTCTTTGAAAGGATCCCTGTTAAGACGATCTTCTTCGAAAGGATCTCTAAACACCACACTGCCACCACCACCATCTAGACCTGTCGACTCAATATCACGCCTCTTTTTCTTTCTCTTCACATCGACAACCCCGTCAAAAAGTTTAGCCGTAGAATGTCTGCCTTTGACCAAAATACTTTTCCGTTTGTTTCCGTCTTTCTTCAAAGTACTGTGCGGACTAAGGCCATCCTTGAAACTTCCATCTTTTCTGTTTCCATGATAGTAATCATCACGATCACTCTCGTTGACAGAGGCGCTTGGCAAACCCATATGTCTCACCGTCCCAGAATTGCTGCGCGATGTGCCACCCATTTTGACAGACGATCTGGTATCAATCGTCTTGATCGATTCTGTAGCAATAGACTGCGTGATGATTGGTCGTTGATGGACAACGGTTTCATCTTCTGTTGGCGAAGGAACTGTGAGTCCAACGTCATAATTGATCCAGGGTGCCACTTCGTGGATGTTGATTCCAGGGAATGTGCTGATGGATGTGTGTGCACTACTGGCATTTGAGCCAACTGGGCTAGCTTTTCCGCGCTGTTCGCTCTGTGGATTATCGGGTTTTCTGTGTCCTTGATGATGATGAGTGTTTGTGCGGATGAGTGATGCGGGGACGGCGAGGGTGTTGCTTTTACCCGCTGTTGTGGCTGCGAGGGTAAGAGGGTCGGTCTTTGGAATGGATTTGGGGGAGAGTATGACTTCTTTCTCGAGCATATGGACGTGGGCTTCTTCGTCGAAGTGGAGATGTTTGAAGACAGCCTTGCGGCGAGAGTTCAAAGAGGTATCCTCGACGACCGGGAGAGGCGCTGGGAGCACTGGAGGAGCAGTTTTGAGGGGTATCGAGAAATCATCTTTAATAGGTACCACGCTTGGTTCCTTACGCTTTCCGTCTCGGTTCACCTTGCGAAGTCGCTTGTATTCGGCGTAGTCGTCTACTTCGGTTGCGGTAGGTCGTTTGGTGACTACATCCATAGGTACGGAGTCTGTACGTTCGAATTTGACGTCGAATAGGATATCGCCTTCCTTCCATTGCTCGCCGGCGAGATCACTACTTTTTGCTTGTTTTATGGACCATCCTTTGACGCTATACAAGCCTTCATATCTTACACCGGCCTTCGGGCCCCAAACGCTGTTGATACTGTGGCTGCGAAGTACTCTTACAGGATCACGGCTTTTGGGAGTGGCAGAGGTCAGACGAAATTTGCCTTTGTCGGTTTGTGGTACGCGATAGGTGAAGCGCTGTTCAGATGCGGCTTCGATCTCACCTGTATCCTTGAGTAGTAGAGCATAGGCGCCGTGCTTGTCGTACGTCGTGCCACCGTTACAAGCTTCGAGCCCGATGATGCCAGCATGGTGCGCGAACAATGGGTTGATCCACCATCTGCAACGACGATCAGCATAAACAACTATCGGAACGGAGCGTCAGTAGATGTACTGGCCAGCTACGAAACCCAGGTCACCCAGCCTGTGTGAGCGCCTGGGATGAATCTTCTCAGGACATGTTTCAGCCCACCGCTTGAGCAATGCCTACAGCCGACAACCATCAGTTCAGTGTCGAAGATGGTGTATGCCTCCATTGCATACCTCCTGGGAGTACTCATGTATACTCGCAACCCCTTCGAGGCGTCCTCCTCTCCCGTATAAAAACGGATGTATTTCACTGAACGGCCCAAATTTCGCGGTCCATATGTCGATTATCTTGTCGCAGTCGTCGCATAATCTGCTGGGCCATCGCGTCGCCACGCCTGCAATGTCTTGAACAGCTTTGTGTATTCCGGTCGCTCGTAAGACGGAAATCGTCATGTTTTGTGCATGTTGGAGAGCGACAAGGGTCTCGTGGAGAGTCAACACATCGTCCGGATGAAGGACGTTGGGACCATCCCGAGCGACACGCAAGTCCAGCTCATCGCGGATCCATCTCGCTATGTGTTTCAATCTTGGACGGGAGAGATCGGGTTGCGCTGGAGGCGTGATTGGGATGGTAGCAGTAGACACAGTTCGCGGACTGGACAGGCTGTCACGGACGGTTTGCGTCATGATGGATCAGCGAAATCAGTGTACAGGATTGTGTTGCATCGACTGCGTGTGGAGAGTTTGGCAAAAGGAAAAATAGGTAAGACTGCTCTATTGAATAGCGCAATGAGAAGAAGTTGTGGGTAATTGTTCAAGGCCCTAGTATACTATTCATCTGAGAGTCACAACACAAGCTGCTCTTTCCCTGAGTTTTTAACGACTGCCTGGGTAGGCTACGCTATCGGATTTCATTCCTCAGTGTTTGCGCTTCTTCTTCTTCCTCTTTTCCGACCCTTGCACTGTCCCTGTCTCTACAGGCTCTACTTTCTCTTCAACCTTTTCATCACCACTAAACCCATTCCATTCCTCATCTCCGGCAATCACAGCATCAGTAATTCGTGTCGGGTCCTCGCTACCATCTCGAACAAAGGCAGCAACGAAGAAACCCATCGTACCTTCTTCCGTGCCCTTGTCGCATCGAATACAAGCTTCTAGCACATCACTCTTCGAGGATTCATCTACATCAACTTCTAGCTTCTCGTCCTCCCAAACACCTCGTCTATGCCACTTCTTCATTCCCTCGACCTGAGCATCGCGCTTCAGAATTGACCATCCCCGTTCTTTTGCAATAGAAGATGCTAATGCCTGGAAGACAACGCCCTCGTTTTCTTCGAAATGAATTGAACAGGTCGAGTAGGTGATTTTATGTGCGCTCGCAAATCGCATAGCATGGGTGAGGATGTGGAGCTGGAAAGATGATAGAGCTGCCAGCCGCTCAGAGAGCTTGCCCTGCATTGATGTGTCTGTCTCTTCAGGGGTTGAGTCATCCATGTCCAAGTCAAGGGTTGCTGAAGCCTCAGCCTTGCTTGCTTCATCATCTCGTTTTCGCTTCTTATCTTTCTTCTCGGGCTTTGGCGCCACTGGTCGGCTGTTCGGCGCTTCTGGTAGGTGCATTTTGATAGCGTCGTCTCGCCCAACTATACCGGTACCAGAACAGCTTGGATCGAGTAATATAGCACCCACATTGGCGTACTCGTCAGCCCCAGGCTTCGCAGCGATGAAATCACTACTGCCTTTGACCTGAACAATACTGTCCGCTGACGCGAGCTTGACCATCTTCTGCAAAGTGAAAGACCTGCCCTTGTCGCGTTCGAATGCTATGACCTTTTGTTCGTTACCGGGTTGTCTCCTGTCAGATACGATAGCCGCTAGGTGCGTTGTCTTATTTCCTGGTGCCGCTGTCGCGTCGATAACATCGCCATCGTCCGGCTGCGGATTTAACAGATAGGCAGGAAAGCATGAAGCTTTATCCTGGAATATGATCTGACCCTTGGTATACGCGATCGACCTGCTCAGGTCGATCTTGGACGGTAGGGCAAGTAGGTTTGGTATGTTCGGGTCTTCGTAGTATATTTTCGACTTCTTAGGCGCAGATAGCACTTCGCTCAGATCGTTCGTCTTCACAAACCCGGCAAATGTTGTTGAAAGCTGTTGCTGTAACGTCGTCTTTACAGTGTTGACGCGTACCCACCGTGGGTGCCGACTCTTGGGCGCATCGCTGTCGTCCTTGTCAAGCTCGCCGTCGTTCACAGCCTCTCTGAAAGCCTCTATAGTCGCGTATCCGTATCGTATGCGGGATTTGGTGAGTTCAGCGCTTAGGCGGGCTTTGTGTCGAGTTATTGCGAGTTTAAGGACATGGTTGGTGGCTGCAGCAACGCCGTTCTTCGCAAGCAGCAGGTCGTGTGTAAGAAGAAGAGCAAGTATTGGGGTAAGCTGTACAAGACATGGTCAGTGAATGAGCGCAATTCAACATGTTTGACGATAAGCTACCTTCCGCTCCTCTGCAAGCAATCTTGTCTTTTCAATCACATCTTTGAGCACGATGGACCATTTTGACGTTTCCGCAATGAGGGCAAACAATTGGCCTGGTGTGCTCTTCAAGTCTTTTTTGTTGTATATCCGCGACTTCAGAGATCCACCGGTATTCTCTGTGTTTGCGAGGAGCGCCGCGGCTTCGTAGTAGAGTGACATGGAAGCTGTCGCATGCGACGAAAGAGTCGCGAACTTTTTGGCGTTAAGACCGAGCTCCGACTATTTCCCCACACATTTCCGCGAGCCCTGACCACACGCGACTTTGACCTGGTCCAGACATGCTTTCTACTCCACTTTCATTTAGGTGAGGGATTGCAAAAAATCTTTGGTTTTGTATGTTTTCCAAGGCAATGAATATCTCATGGTGGTACTAATCATATCGTAAACCTGCATCCGTCTACGGTCATTTGGCATTATCATAACTCGTCGACCAGCATATCGCAACGCCATAGTATGTGTTTTCATGTCATGTGAAAAGATATCCAACGCCATATATGACCTTCATCTGATAATGTTGTATTTGGATTTGCACCAGAGTGCACGAATGCCGCAGGCAGAATATTGGAACTGCAAGTTGCAAGGGTATAAATCGACTATTGTAGGCCTCATAGACGAGTCGTCTATGCCTTCTTGATCCTCTCCTCGTAGGCTGACCAGGCGGCCTTTCGGTATCTCTCTGCTTCTGACTTGCGATCTTGAGCGCGCACGATGCCTCGTCCGACGATGATGACGTCGCAGCCTTGCTCGAAGATCAACTTGCGAGGAGTGTTGTATTGCTGGCCTAAAGCGTCGCCCAGCTTCTTGCCTTCCTGACCCGGCGGCGGAAGCTGGCAGCCCGGTGTCATGGTGATGAAGTTGTCCTCTGGCTCAGTGTTCAAGCTGCGCTGAGCAATGAAGCCCATGACGAACTCGCGACGGCTTCGAGCGATCTCGACAGTCCTCTTTTGGTATTCTGGTGTCATAAGGTGGCCTTCGGAGCTCATCTCCGCAAGCAACAGGAGGGAGCGGAGGAAGGGTGGTGGGCCAAGACGAACGAGCTCGGTAGCTACGTCTAGGTTGAAGACTTCTTCGCCGTTGGCGTTGGGCTCTGGACGGGGCGATATGCTCTCCGTCCGCATGGATATCGAAGTTGTCACGCTCACAACGCTGTGCTTCCGGTCGGCAGCCTTGATGCTCAGCCGTCTCTCTTCGCCCTCCATCTCAATTGGCGACTCGATTGCCGAATCGCGTGCCACAGGCTCTTCTTCTTCATCGTCATCGTCGGCGCCATTGGATTGTCGCGTGGCAGAAATCTCGGTGTTTACGGATGTGTTGTACTTGGCAATGGTCGCTTCGGCAGCTTTCTCGAGCGCGGTGACGATGGCTGGGCCGGGGATGACGTGGGCGTTGGTGATCTCGGCCCAGAGTGCGATTCGGTGGTGTCCAGAAGTGTACTGCTTCTGTACGGTTTCTACGGGTGCATTAGGGACAATTGCCCGGTAGGAACTACAGGCTCCAGCGTGACATACCACCAATATCCGCAAACTTTCGGTCTTCGAAGATGAGGAACCACTTGCGCTTTGCAATTTCCCTCAGTGCCTGGGCTGTCCTGTCGGACCAGTCGGTGACAATGTCGCAGTGCGTCTTGAGCAGGCAGATTGAGTCACCGACATCTTCTGCCAGTTGTAGGAGTTCGGCTGACGTCTCGACATCGGCGGAGAGGCAGAGGTTGGTCTGCTTGACGGATATCAGGCTCAGCAGGTACGAGGCCAGGGGTCCAGTCGTGGGGAGGGAGGCGCGCGCACGGTACGTGCTGGTGAGACTCGGGTGGGAAGACATGACGGCGATCGTTAACGGTTGAGGGACGAAAGCCGGATTTTGGCTTGTGTGGTTGAAAAGGGCCGATGTATCTTCAGCGCGTGTGAAGGAGCTGCAGAAGATCGGCAGTGTCGTCTCGTTTGGCGGACGTCTCTTCGCGGGGATGGTGAGGGGCAGAGCTGGCGACGGAGGAAGGAGCGGAGGAGGCGTTTGGCAGGTGCGAGGAGGCGTGTTATACAAAAAAGAAAGCAACTCAGGGAGCGACGGAAATAGCAACCAAGTAGGAAATATAGAAATTGGAAAGCTAGTGTCGACGGTCCCGTCGTCGAGTACGCGAGCACTGCGAGACACTGAGCACAAAAATTGCGCCTGTACCTGGCACGGCCCGCTCAACGCTGGTCGCAGATCCTCCTGTCTAGACGCGCATTCGAGCCGAAACCGTCGTGCACTGCAGCCAGTTCCTCCCCCAGCGCGGCCATTAGACGCCAGAACTGCCACACAGGCTGCGGCATGCCCGTTTACCGCTCTGAGCACTACTTGGCCCTAGACATGCACCGCCTGCACTGACCGGAGGTGCCTCCACTTGCTCGACATCGAGACTCGACGACGCAGTGCCACCGGCTTCCCGACTGCTGCTGCATACCGCTCCAACCGCTTCCTCCGCTTCGTCTAGACCTCGTCTTCCCGTCCTGCCTCTCTGACCGCTGCCCAGGGCCCGTCGGCCATATTCCTTAGCGTTCCCAGCAATCCAGCTGCCCAGACGGCTGGCTGCGCATATTGCTTCCTCCTGTCATTACCCCAGCCACCATCCCACTGTATACTGCATCATGCAGTGCCCTGCGTTACGAGCGCCACGGTAGTGCTGCTGCCAGGCACCCCGCAGCAACTCTATCTCCTATCATAACTGATTATGCCTCTTCCTCGCCGACTTGCTCAACCTCAATTGCGCCGCACCGAGACGTGAACACGTCGACTCGGCACCTTGACAACGTCGTCTGGACGCTTGCAGCTCGCGCCAACGCTGCCTATTCGTGTGCTGCATCGGAAGGTGGGGCCCCAGACGCTACATCGTATCATGCCTGCATCGCGAACCCCGACAATGTGATAAGTAGGTCGGTCCGTAACTTGATTGTCGATATTGCCTTCCGTCACCCTGTACTTCGCCCGGCTCGGAAGGATATCCCGTTGCTATTCCAATACGAGCAACCTTCTTGCTCCGCTTCGGTACGTTTTGTTCCATATATCCATGACCAACAGCAATGTCACCCGGGATGATATCAGAGTACACGCGGCGAAAGCACATTCGTGAACATGTTTCCTTAACACGCCATGTCACTGATTCTATACATCGATTTTCTGTACATTCTGAGGCGATTAATACTTTCTCGCCATGTTTTCCTCATTCATAATCTCCAGCATAGGATGTCACAACTATGTTAAAAGTTCAGTCATAAAAGTATACCCTATTTTTCGAGCCGCAATACGGAAAACCTCGTTGTTTGAATTGCACCGTACTGAAGAACAAGTACACTAAAGGTGTACGCTGTGGCTTTTCTCTCAAGTTGATAATATAGATGTTCATGAATACCTTCAGCGTAAGTCTCAATGTTCACGGCTATTACTCAAAGATACTACTGTTTCGTGTAAGCACACGTCCTGAACTACTCCTTGGATGGGACTTCCGCATTGGGACATCACTATGCGGAGCGAAGGACGCAGTTCATTCTCACCTCGAACAGGTGAGAGCAGAATGAGGACGATGCTTCGGCGAATCAGAGCGCTGGAATCCGGATATGGCAGTCCAGGTGCAATCTCCCGTTGACCGCGTGCACGAATTTCGACTTCACTGCGTCGTTTTCCAAACATAACGACCCCGCTTCCGTTGCCTCACAACAGCTTCCTTTTTCTCTCCTTCTACTCAGAGTCACCGATTTCTTCTGTCCGCATTTGCAGCTTCACGACTTCTTTCTTATCTTCTACACCTAACGACTACATCTTCACAATGCCGCCTAAGAAGGACGCCGCTGCCGGAGAGTCCGACGCCCTTTTGGTAGGCTTCACAAACAAGGAGACCAAGCTCTTGGCTGCTGCCTTTGTCAGTTCCACTGCTCCAGATAAATTTGACTATGACATTATGGCTACGTTGACCGGCAACACTGCTGGCTCTCTCAAGAAGATGTGTACGTAACCTTTCATTAATGACACTACTCAAAGTGTTCTCCAGTCAGAGTTACCCTCGAGGTACACCCGGCCACGTTGTAGCTGGAGGTGCAACGTAGAAACCGGTGTATACCTTCAGGGAATGTCTACGTGTCTAGGAATACGACCCAGACAAAACGGGCTCTTTCTTGTCAACCTGCACTTCAAATCTATACTAACATCATTTTCCATCGCTTAGGGCCGCCGGTAAAGAAGAAGGCTGCTGAGGGCCATGCTTCGTTCGCCGCCTTCCTTGGACAGGCTGGTGTCGCTGCTTCCGCAGCTCCTGCTGGTGGAGAGCCTAGGCCCAAGCCCCAAGCTCCTGTCAAGGTCGTCAAGAAGCGCAAAGCAACCGATGAGGCCCCCGAGGATGCCGAAGATAGCGCCAAAGACCTTGATCCTCCCTCTGCCACCGAAAAATCTGAGGGCGACAAGTCAGACTCCAAGAAGAAGAAGGTCCCGGCTGCCAAGAAAGGAAGGAAAACCCCAGATCAGAAGAAGGAGCCAGCCAAGGCTAAAGGACGTCCCAAAAAAGCTGTTAAGAAAGAGGAATCGGCATCCGAGGAAGAAGTCAAAGACAATTCTGTCGAGAACTCCGCTGATGGCGGTGATGGTCCTTGTAAGTTTTATTTCAACAAAAGATTGAGACATTGCTGGACACGGCTGACTGTGACTTAGGCGGCGAGGCTGAAGACGACATCTGAGACGTTCCTGATCGCTGGCTGTATTCATACCTCAACGGGGGATGTTTCTTCGTTGCACGCATGAAAGCACCGTATGTCCTCTAGGTATATGATGTTCTGTCGCTCGGCGCAAGGAGTTCCTGGATGATATGGCATGGGATGATATGATACCCCTGGTTGAGGCTATGATGGCTCTTAGAACTTACGTTGATCATGACATGCACTTCACGTGGTCGAATCAACGATAATACACTCTGCTCACGTACACTCTTAATGTGATATGACTGCTGCATCATACACTCTGTGAATGGATTCGCGACTGTACAGCCTACCAAGTGTGCTTCTCGACAAAATGCAAGCTTGAACATTTCAAAATGCGTAGAACCTCGGATGCTGGAACACGTCGTCGCGTTCCCACGTGATCGGGAAGCCGCAAGCCGACACGCCGCGAGGCCTCGTCGGCACAATTCCGCGCTCTCAAACCACATCTTACAAACCGTCCAACATGCCACTTACACACCGGAGTCATGCCTTAACAATACAAATGCCGAGCGCCACAAGGCGCTCTCTCCTTTACAGCATGCATATATACTGCGTCCGGTCTCTACCGCAGCCAAGAATATGAAAATCGTTCGTACCTCATCGTTCCTCGCAACATTCTTCGGCCTCCAACGAACAACTTCCGCGGAGCTCTCGTCCAGCAACACGACCTTCAATCCCCTCCAAGGCATTCAACAGTTTCCAATATCGTCCTACAGCGGCAACATGACACGCCTCGCACCTGTCGTCTCGCTCTCGCACGGCGGAGGTCCCATGCCTTTGCTCGGAGACCCATCGCACGCCGCCATCACCAAGTCGCTCAAGACAAAGGTGCCCAAGATACTCAAGCTGGGAACATCTGAAGCCCCGAAAGCTATCGTTCTGGTGACTGCGCATTGGAGTACAAGCAAGGTCACTGTCTCCAGCGGCTCCAAGCATGAGTTGTTGTACGACTACTACGGCTTCCCACCAGAGTCGTACAAGATAAAGCATGATGCGCCAGGAAGTCCTGAGGTCGCTGAACAGGTAGCGCAAGCCCTGAAGGAAGCCGGTATCGAGTGTGAGAAAGATGCCAAAAGACGTATGTCCTCTCAGGTCCCTTCGGCTTAGCACATACTAATATACTGTTAAAGCATGGGACCACGGCGTCTTCGTTCCCATGAAACTCATTGACCCTTCGGCCACCACTACCATAGTCCAACTCTCAGTCCTCTCCTCCGAATCCCCCACACAGTCCTATGCCATCGGTCGCGCCCTCTCCACCCTCCGCGCCCAAAACATCGCCATCATCGGGAGCGGCTTCGCTACCTTTCACAACCTACGTCTCATGTTTGATGGCACATCGCGAAACCCTGAGTTCAAAGCTCTGAACAAGGAGTGGAGTAAGGCCGTTACCGATGCTGCCATGACAGAGAGCGACCAGGAGAGGGAAACCAAGTTTGAGCATTGGAGGAAGTGGCCGGGGGCTTACACTATGCACCCCAGAGGTGGAGCAGAACACTTTTTGCCATTGGTAGTTTGTGCGGGTGCGGCTGGGAAGACAAAGGGCAGGAGTTATGCCGATGATTTTACGGGAACGGATATGTGGAGTTACTATTGGGAGGAAGGGCATTCGCTGGGCTGGCTGTAAGATTCGAGAATTTTGGCTGTATGAAAGCCGATGGACTCCACAGTGAACAGCAAAAACGTGTCGTAGATCTGGCAGAAAATATTATTGGCTTCCTTTGTACTCTACATTGGTATCATTACTCCCATACACATCGAGCTCCACCCACCCTTCTCTCTCTCTACATCTTCCTCACTCATCACCCGCTGATAGGTCTCATGCCATACCAGCCAATGACGCCCATCCCCATAAAAGCACTCAAACAACTAAACACCAACGCCACAATACCTCTCGCTGTGAAACCTTCTGGTAATCTTCCTGGACTCTTGTTCTCACCCGTAAGATCTGAGTAGTCAACTGTATTTCCCGCTGCGTTGCCGCGTGTGGGTATGCGGCCAGCTTCGCAAACGTCCCAGTGTGATTGTGGGATGGAGTTGTTTGACGAGGAAGAGGAGAGCTGGTCCTGAATGGCAAGCGGTGCTTCAATCATTGTGGCGGTCAATCCAGAAGCTACATGCCATTCTATGTGACAGTGAAACAGCCATACACCTATAACTCATGTCAGTCTCCAGTCATCTACCAACCAGCCACCCCACCTATACTGGCACGGGAACGCATGTCTCCATACTCGAAGGTTGACTTACCAGGATTATCAGATCGAAACCGCAGCACAATATGTCCGTTTGGTCGAACGAGAATAGTATCGCGTCGCATGGGTGTTGGATGTGGGTCTGGAGCATTGCCTGGGTCGTAGAAACCTGCGTCATCGGCACTGCGGGTTACCACTTGGAAGACGTGGCCATGGAGATGGAAAGGGTGTTTCCCAGGATCGTTGTTGTTCAGCACAATCTCCACGACTTCGTTCTGAGCAAGTACAAAGGCGTTTGTGTTACTGCCGTAGATGGTCGGGTCTGTAGCGTTGGGACCAGTGGACAGGACGGTGTATAACGTGGGTACTTTGGGGCTGACGTAGGTAACATCGTTGAAGAAAGCGCTGGATTGGATTAGCCCTGTACTATCATCAAAGAACATAGTGTGCATTGCAGATTTGGAAAACTCACTAATTCGCCCCATCATCCAAGTTGTCCATCTTCAAGTCTAGAGTAATTGACCGATCAACATGGTCAAACAGTCCCTCCTTATCGTACGGCACCAGAGCAAAATCATCAAAGGGTTCGAATGCCTCGACCGCCTTTGGTGTTGGTAGCTCTTTGCTATTGTCGTACACAAGCCAGCCCGTGACATTTGGATTCAGACCTTCTGGTACAGCGTCGAACAGGTCCTGATCCATGCTTCCGACAAAAGCAAAGTTGGAGTTGGTATCATTCTTAGCGGTGACAAGGACGCTATATCGTTGCGCCGCGGTGATATAAATCATCTCTGCGTCCGTCGGTTCGGTGTACACGCCGTCGACTTCAACAATGCGCATGGTATGGTCTTCGAACCAAACGTACTGCGCAGCGAAAGCGCCCATATTGACCATCCGGAAGAGATATGTTTTTCCAGGCTCTATGCTGACAGTCAAATTCTGGGTGTCGTTCAACAGTGCTGCTTGAGGTACGGGTTCTGCGCCCGAAGGATTGGCGATGTTGATGAATTCTGCGAGAAGGTTGTGCATAAGATCATGATACCAATCAGAAAGCGTTATGACAACTTCTTCGTCGTAGAGATCTTTGTATGGATCTTCAGGATCATGTACAATAAAAGGACCTCGAATACCATCTGGATATTGGCCGCGCTCATGGCTGTGATACCAATATGTGCCCGGTTGGTTGACCTGTACTAGTAAGAAATTGGGACCACTTTCCCTCGAACATTGCTAAACTCACAGTAAAGTTGTAGGTAAAAGAGCTACCTGGGGGGATCCCACACTGTGAAACAGCTACTGGACCATCCATGTGCGTAGTACCATTCATGTACAAGCCGTGGAAATGCAGACTCGTAGACTCATTCCCCAAGGAGTTCTTGACATTGACAATGACTTGGTCACCTTTCGTGACGACTATAGGTGGCAGAGGCCATTGTCCGTTGATGCCAATGACTGGTCGTGTTTGCTGGCCGTCGGGATTCGCGTGGACCCATCCTATGTCGAAGTCATGCGTGACAGTCGCACAGGATGTGATTGATATTAGTAGTGAGAGTGGGAGGAGAAAGTTTGATAGTGAGATTGCCATGATGGCGTGCGAGGAGAGTACTGGAGACTGGAATTTTTCGGATCCTGTTACGGGTGATCAAGCTGCTTGGAGTACGACTGAACCTAGGAAGCTCTCGTGCTACCATTCAAGTTAGTGCCGATGCAAGAATGCACTCGTCAAACACATGAGGTAAGATGCGACGTGCGGAGATCAGATAAGACGACCTAAGTATTCCGACCCCCACCTCCTCAAGCCATCATGTTCGGAGCCGACTTATCAGATCATCAGCTCATGTTCTCGACGGGGGCTGGAGGCGGCCACAAAGTGTCGCAAAGTGGGGCATATGTGTTTTCTCCTCATGAACTAGGCTCAGGAGGGGTTGACTTGTGCAATCGTCCCTGCATCATGTAGAATTTTCCTGTCTCAAGGCAGCGGCAAGCGAGCTCCTCTACCTTGATTTGCTGTGTGGAGTGACATTCACCGGCGATTATCGGTCCATCTGATAATCTGGACCATGATCGACCCAGGTATTGGGGTAAGCGATGGCGCCGAAGGACCAACAAGCCCGCACTAGCCTGCGCTACAGAGTCTTAATCTGATTAGGCGCGCTGGGCGTGCGGAGAGGATAATCGCTCATGCAGAGGAGTTGGGCTCTACAGAATGTGTACTGAAAGTCCTTTTGTTCATGGGTTCAGTTATGATGGAACGTGGAATTGTCGCATTCGTCCAATGACATCAACGCCAGAAGAACCCGACTACATATCTTATTGATGCGGCGGCAGCAACACAGCTATCCTGAAGCATGATCGGTCCGTCGTGATATCGGGAGGTAAACTCAAATTCACAAGCAGGGTCGTCGTGCATGCCCGACTTTCGGCTGTTGTCTAGCGCCATCTATACGAACGGTAGGCACATGTTAGCACACCCTCTTCTTCGGGAGTCTCTGCATGTCCCTTCATCTGATTAGATCCCCTCCTTTGTCCTTTATCTATACTCCAGCGGAAACAACAGATTCAGCAAATCTGGTAGTCTGTTCAAGATGCCAAACGTCTTTGCTGTGCCAGGTGCGTCTGCAAGAACCGTCATCATTGACTTCGTAACATGAGTAACACCGTCTTTGTCTAACTTCAACCAAGTTTTCTTCATCTGCTTCCGAGAGTGTCTGGAAACGAGCATTATCGTCTCCGTGCTTCTCGCGTTCCTCAAGCAAACTCTTGGCCCTGAACATGATGCTATTGTTCACAAGCGACTTGTTCGACAGGTCTGGTACGGTGTCGGCGCGGGTATTCTGATCTGTCTGGTCATCTGTGCTGGAGTCATTGGTACTTTCTACACGGCTGGACGCAATACCTTCGACAAGGCAGAAAACATTTGGGAGGGCGCTTTCGCGATTCTTGCAAGCGTCATCATCACTCTAATGGGAGCTGCCCTACTCCGTGTTAGCAAGCTGCAGGATAAGTGGCGTGTGAAGATTTCCAAGGTCCTCGAACAAAAGGACTCGAAACTACCCATCAAGGGCAGACTAAAGCGATGGACTGAAAAGTACGCCATGTTCATTCTGCCCTTCGTTACTGTGCTCCGCGAGGGTATTGAGGCAGTATTGTAAGTACTTCTGTTCACCCTGAATAGTAGATGCTAAGTAGTCAACCAGGTTTATTGCAGGTGTCGGACTGGGCGCACCGGCGACCAGCTTTCCTCTCGCCGTCATTTGTGGTCTTGGTGCAGGTGCCTTGGTCGGATTTCTCATCTACAAGGGTGGCAACAAAACCTCTCTGCAGATCTTCCTCGTCATCTCCACATGCTTCCTTTACCTCGTAGCGGCCGGCCTGTTCTCCAAAGGTGTCTGGAATCTTGAACAGAATGCTTGGGTCAAGCTTGCTGGAGAAGGTGCAGCAGAAGCAGGTGCAGGGCCGGGTAGCTACGACATCAGGAAGAGTGTTTGGCACGTCAACGTAAGTTTTGGTCATTACTGGTCTTCTGGGTTTGTGTGCTGACTGCTACGACAGTGTTGTTCGCCACTGGAGAATGGTGACGGCGGGTGAGTAAATGTCTCAGTCTGGTTGAGTCTTATCGCTAACGATTTCGTCTCAGTTGGGGTATCTTCAACTCGCTCTTTGGCTGGCAGAACAGCGCAACGTACGGGTCCGTCATTTCATACAATCTTTACTGGCTAGTGGTTATTATTGGCTTCGCTTTTCTAGGCTGGAAAGAGGGAAAGACGGCCCCCTCTCAGCATGCGCAAGTCGAGAGTATTGCTTCCAGCGAGGAACGTGAGACCACGGGAAAGAAGAACAGCGGTGAAGGCATCATGACCACCACTGCTGTAAGAGAAGTGGAGTAGGCGGGTTTAGGGATCCCCGATTCGGATCCTGAGGCTGTACAATTGCGTGCCGAGTATTTATGGACATGGTGGGAGGCCTGGCCGTCAGCAAGGAAGCTTGTTCTGGACAAAACAGCCGCTAATGCAATCCACTCTAAACGAAGCTAACGCCGCACACCCCCATGGCCCCCAAGACACCGCCCCTGAATATCATCCGAAACCCCTCAGATTGCCTCTTCGCAGTTTGCGCATCGAACGCGTGTCGTTGATCTTGGATGTGGGTCCCGATTGATGGTTTGCGTGGAACTGCTGATCATGGAGACGTTGAACAGATTTCTAGATTACTGTACTAGTAAGCCCTTCTCAACGGTCGCGCTACTTTTAAAAGAAATACGATCCAAGACAGCGCAACGGCAAGATGACGGGCTGACATGATTACCCATGCTCGGGAACCGAGTTTCGTGGCGGAGCATTCGTGTTCTGTGTTGATGCACAATATTGAAGTATACATAAGTGGAGGCCAGCTGCTCTCCCACGCGCTTGCTCACTCCTACCTTCTCGCTTTTGCCTCGTGTCAATCATTCGCTTTTTCTGTATCCTTCAGTCCACTTTGACTTCGGACGTCATTTCTCTAGAAATCACCCACTACGCGTTGAATCAATTCACAATACCGTAAAAATGCAGTTCAAGAATCTCGCAATCCTCGCTGCCGCTGGCACTGCCGTCGCTGAGTTCGCTATTATCACCACACCTATCCCCACCAATCTGGGCGAGGTTCTCACAAACGTACGTTCCCCGATCTACGCGTCCTCTTTCTCAAATCTCTAAAGCTAACCTATTTATTCAGGCCGACGGCTACGCCTCCTCAGTCCTCAACGAAGTCTCAATGGGCCTCGCATCCCTCACCCAAGGCTCCGCTCTCTCTGCTGCAGCATCTGCCCACAAGGGTCTCGCATCCTTTGTCGCTACAGCCTCATACTCCATTCCCAGCGAAGTTACCAAAGTCGGTGCGCTTGAGACTTTCTCCGAGACACCAGCGTGGTACAGTGCGCTCCCGAGCGACATCAAGAGCTACTACGACAGCTACAACGCCGAAGTTCAGAGGCTGGTCAACCAGGCTATTCTAGGCGAGAACGGCACTACTGCGTCTACAACCAGGTCGGGATCGGGTGGTGCGACGGGTGCCAGTGCGAGCTCGGGCCCAAGTGAGACTGGTGCGGCTATGGGTAACATGGTCGGCATGATGGGTGCCGGTGTTGCTGCGGCCTTTGCGGGTGTCATGGCTCTGTGAACGTCGGGGTGAATTGCGCAAGGGTGATGGGTAAGATTGGGCTTTATAGAGTATGCTGTTACACCTTCTATTGGCTGCCCTTTGCTGGGATGTGGTTTGGTTAAGAGGAAGCATGATGCCCATGTTTGTAGTTGAGTTTTAGTATGATACCTCGAATTCTTTTCTTTAGACGCCTGGATCCCGAAATGAAAGGCATGTTCTTCACAAATTCGCATCTATTGTTCGCCGTCTATCTTCTGCATCTATTCCATCAATATCTCGTTTGCTCAGAGACCGTAGAAGAAGTCAACAAATACCAAGCAGACCTTAGCCCTACTACAGTTGACTCTCACCCTTCGGCTGCGCCAGCTTCGCAACCTCGGGATCTTTGGTGACTTCCTCATAATCCGGTCTCGGGAGCTCGAACGCCTGGGTCACTCTCGCATACGTAATTCCACCCAGCCTAGAGACCGGCTTAAGCACAGCAGGATCAACAAGCACGCCCTGCTCATCAATAGCATCTTCCCTAACCCAAAAGTTCACCCCTTCCACAAACGCTGTAACACCCGTCTTTTTGTCAGGCGTAGCAGGATTCTTGCTTGTCCATTCCACCGTATCAACAAGCTTTCCTTCAATACTGAACACGGCCTCTTTCACGCGATCAGGCTTAACATACTTGCTCTTCTCCGCATGCAACCCACTGAACGCCCACTCACTCACACCGACTGGCGCGTTTATACTCGTATAGTTGGCCGCTTCGATGTACTCCTCAGTGATGATGTTGATGACAGCCTCCTTGGTCTCAATGAGATTCTTTAGTGTATCCTTCGCTTTATCCATCCCACCGGCAAATCCCAAAACGAACATTGGTGGATCATGGTTTACGAGGTTAAAGTAGCTGAACGGAGCAAGGTTTGTGGATTTCCCATCTGCACTGATTGTTGAGACGAAACCAATGGGGCGGGGTACAATCGCGGAAATGAGTAGCTTGTAGTTGTGTACTACAGGTCTGCCTTCCTCATAAGGGTTGATAGAACGGTGTGACTTTTCCAAACTGGAGGGCTCATTGGGACCAGATCCGGTTTTCCAGTCGGGCTTTGGGGTTTGCGTGTAGTGGAACGATGATGTTGCGTCAAAGGGTGGGCGGGAGGCTTCGACAGCTTTGAAGTCGCCGTGAGGATTGCGTTTGATTTCCTTTTCGGCGTCTGCTCGTCCAGATGCCATTGTGGAAGAGGGGCGTAGCAAAAACTTGTGATGGGACGTTGCGATGGTTCTGCGGATTTGGTGGCTGAGCTTGGCTCTACTAGTGATCACGGGAATGATGTTCTTATACGTCGACATTGTAGCTGCTGTTTAGTCAAGGATGATCAATCGCGCAAGAAAGGTGCTCTACGGCAATTGGCGGATATAATTCCGAGCCTGCATAGAGACATGAGGATAGCCGCGGAAGTGTACCGAGACTTTTCAGGCCCCCATCGTAAACTTCTTGCAATGACTGCAGGGATTCAGAAACTGCTGTGTGAACTGAAGCTATTAACAGACGTATGTTCTTGGCCCGTATGGAACGTTTAACTGTTGTCATCTCCACGGTTACACTCGGCGGTTTCCAGCAATGACCGTGATTGGTAACGTCATGTACCCCACCATACCTTCCAGCTACCCCGCCATCAACGATAACGACACCAGTGCTAAGTGGCAGTCCTATCACGGAAGCTGGAAGAGGTGAGAAGGAAGCTTATAGATATGCTGCGCGACCGTGCACGATAATCTGTCTGACGTTTGACTTCTGCTGTCCATAGCTGTCTACAATTCCATCCTCTGAACATATTCCAAACACAATGTCCTCGGGTGATGATTACCAAATCTATAAGCTTGGGAACTTCAAGCTCAAGTCTGGTGGAGAGATACCAGATGCGTTTATCGCCTACAAGACGCTAGGAGACCCATCGCTTCCGGCTGTCATATACCCAACATGGTATTCTGGGAGTATGTGCAGTTCAATTGGAGCTTAGTTGGAACGCTGCTGATTCCACCATATAGCGATATCCGACAATATCTGGCTTACAGGCTCGGACAAGACACTTAACCCTTCCCAGTACTACATCATCATGCCTGCATTGTTCGGCAATGGCCAGTCGTCGTCGCCATCAAATATGCCAGATCTCCGCCCATTTCCAGAAGTGCTATTTTACGACAACATACGAGCGCAGCATGAGCTTGTTACTAAACATCTGGGCGTGAAGCATGCTCGTGCTGTTCTTGGTTGGTCCATGGGCGCGGGACAGACGTATCAATGGGCGACGCAGTTTCCTGACTTCATGGATCTTGCAGTACCATTCTGTGGGAGCGCAAAAACGAGCCTGCATAACCAGGTTTTCCTAGAAGGTGTCAAGAGCGCCTTGTACGCCGCTCTAGGGACAAGCTCCGCAGGTGTCGCAAAGCCAGATCTACAAACTGCTCAGGGAAAGAACATGACTTTCTCATCCGAAACCCGAGAAGCTGGATTGAAGGCTCTTGGACGCGTGTACGCCGGCTGGGGCTTCTCTCAAGCATTCTATCGTGAGAAACTATACGAGACCGCACCTACGCTCGGGTTCAAGAATCTGGACGACTTTCTTGTCAACTTCTGGGAAGCTTGGGCGCTTTCCAAGGACCCAGAGAATATGCTAGTCATGGCGCATACATGGCAGGCTGCTGATTGCTCGCAACAAGAGCCGTACGATGGCGACTTTGAGAAAGCGATGAACGGTATCAAGGCGAAGACACTAGTCCTGCCAGCGAAGACGGATCTTTACTTCCCACCAGAAGATTCTGAGATTGAGGTCCAGAATATGAAGCCGGGCGTTGGAACACTGAAGATATTCCCCTCTATATGGGGCCACTGGTATGTCCCTTTCCCCAGAATGAACGCGTGCTTGGAGCTGACCATCGACACAGGGCTGGTGGGCCAGGTCAATCCACGGAAGATGCAAAATGGCTTGATGCGGAGATCAAAGACTTCTTTGCCAAGAACTAGTTCCGCGAACTACGCCACTTGATTGAAGGGCAGAATCGAACGCCCTTGAATGGCTGCCTAGTGGGAGGTGCTCGATTATTCCCTACAACGACGTGATACTACCTTTCGGCCAATTTGATAGCCTCAACTACCTTGAAACGATCTTTGCTGCCATGGCGTTCAATGACGTATACATACTCAACGTCCCAATTTAGAGCTATAGGTATGGCTTCTTCGAGGTGGGCAAACACTGGTTTCTCTAGTAACCCACTTGTGAGCAATGTGTGATCCATCACTGTTTTTGTGGTCAACATCTTGAGCTTTTCCACGCGAACCTGGCTCTTCGCTTGCCCCACAGAAAGGTGAGGCGTAAAAGGCCGTCGGTCTGCGTTTACTTCGGGGAATTCTTTCTGCAGGGCCGCGTGAAGCTGTTGGACACTCTGGGTGGTAGGACCCAACCAAACAGTTGTGCTATTGGGCCCGTGGTGAAAAACCCCTGGAGGATCCGCCTCGAGTGATATCTGGAATGGTCGTATGTCTTTGATGGCGCTTACAATACGTGCACGTATGTCGGGCTTGAGAGTTGACTGCGAGCCGTTGCCATGCCCACTAGGCTCAGAAGGCTCAGATAAAAATGGGTATAACAGATTGATGTGTGCAGGCCATCGCTTGAAATGCTTGTCGTATATACCTCGAACTCGATCGATTGGCGCAGCAATGCTAGATGGAGGTAGCAAGACCAGCGCAGTCTTGTAAGTGAGATGTGCCGGTAATGATGTTGCCATGTCTGATGGTGGATTAGTGAGGCGTGTTGAAGATACGCTGGGGACGCGTCAATGCTGGTGTTGAGCCACAGTGGCGCATTATTAGGGGCTTGGCAACGGGCTGCTCCCAAGACAGATGCATCCTCGACTTCTGATGTCGCATTCACTTTCCAGACTGCAACTCGGGAAAGATCGCGTCGCCATGTGGGAGCGCTGAATCTTTCATTACACTCATTTCCCAGCCGCCTCTCACGACAAACCTCCTCGACACGCGCATTGATTGCAACTTCCTTCGCGCCGCTCGCCGCAGCACCCCCGAAGTTGCGCGACTCTGCAGCCCCGACTCTCGACTTTCACCATGGACGGTCAGAAGAAGCCCACCCGGCAGTTTGGTGTCACCAGCGCCATCTCCGAGGCCGCGCCCACCGAACACGACATCAAGCTGAACGACAAGCTTATCGAAACACTTAAAGCTGAGAATGTCTTCGAGACTCCCGAAGGCAACCGCAGGAGGTAAGATAGCCGTTCGGCACACGATTGCGCCAAGCTAATCTTGTCAGGGAGGAGGTGATTGAGCACATCCAGAAAGTCGTCGAAGAGTTCGTCCGTCGCGTCGGCAAACAAAAGGGTGTTCAGCAGTCCGTCCTCGATGCTGCCGGCGGCAAGATCTTCACTTTTGGTAGTTACGCTCTCGGCGTCCACGGTCCCACGTCGGATATCGATACTCTCGTTGTCGCGCCCAAGTTCGTCACCATCGACGAATTCTTCAAAAACTTCCCTCCGACCTTCAAAGAAATGTCAAACACGGAAGACATCACCGAATTCGTGCCCGTCGAAGATGCCTTTGTGCCGATTATCAAGATGGAATATCGCGGTGTGAGCATAGATCTACTATTCACGTCTCTGCCCAAGAGGTCGTCGATACCCAGGACTATGGAGACGATTGAAAAGAAGGACCTGGAGGGTCTCAGCGAGTCAGCGACACGGAGCGTCAATGGCACACGAGTAACCAACGAGCTCCTGGACGCGGTGCCACAAAAGGTCAGCTTTCGACACGCGCTGAGGGCCATCAAACTCTGGTCGAACCGCCGCGGCATCTATGGAGCAGTCTTCGGATACCCTGGTGGTGTCGCGTGGGCTATCATGGTTGCGCGTATCTGTCAGCTATATCCCATGGCCAACGGCGCTACTATCGTTTCCAAGTTCTTCAGCTTGATGTACAAGTGGACCTGGCCGCGACCCGTTATGCTGAAACACATCGAAGAGGGCGACTTGGGTCTTCGTGTATGGAACCCCCAGGTCTACGGTGGTGACCGAGCTCACCTCATGCCTATAATTACACCTGCATTCCCTTCCATGTGCGCTACCCACACGGTGATGCCATCGACACTGCGCATCATGAAGGAAGAGTTCGGACGAGCGGACAAGATCTTACAACACATCTTCTCAGGTGCCAAGGACTGGGATTCCCTCTTTGAGCGACATTCCTTCTTTACCAAAGACCACAAGTACTACCTCAGTGTCGTGGCCGCGAGTCGCAGCAAGGAAGCTAACTCCACCTTCTCCGGACTCGTGCAATCGAAGATTCGTCACATTGTCAAGGGCATCGATGATGGACAGACGGGCATCGATACAGCGCGCCCTTACATCAAATACTTTGAACGGTACCATCGCTGCAAAGACGATCAATTTCATGAGGTCACGCAGGGTTCGCTTGACTATATGATACCAGCATCTGAAGTACCTGCTGAGGGGACGGAGCCAGCCAATGGCGACACCCACATTATCTACACGACTACTTTCTACATCGGTCTCACTCTACCTCCAGGTGAGTATACTTAGTTTGCCAAATCTCTCACCTATCTCTGACTGTTTGTGTAGATGCTACAAAGTCGCTCGATATCTCCTATCCAGTGAGTCAGTTCAGGAGCTATATCACTGACTCCGACCTCTACGACGACAAAACGATGTCGGTCAAGGTGGTTCATACCCGCAAGTAAGACCCCCACCTTCACTCATGCCCAGACCTCTGCTGACTTGCTAGCACTGCGCTTCCCGATGACGTTTTCGAGAAGGGAGAGACTCGACCGAAGAAGCCTAGCAAAGACAAGAAGAAGAAGGACGCGAAAAGTGCTAAGCGCCACTTCGCCGATACAGGCCTTGACGTGCGTGACTCCCACCTCCTCAAATCCTCTCGACGCTCGCCCGCGCCAGAGAGCAATCTTACGTTACCATGCTAACCATTGTGCTGATATAGGACAGCGAGCATTCAGCAGCAAAGCGTCGACAGTCCGAGCTTGCTACCAATGGAGTGCCTACTCCAACGGCAGCATAAGCTCCCTCTCAGCTAAGCTAGCACATGTTCGCTATTTCTCTTCTCTATCATTCACTTGATATCCCATGGGTTTTCTGACATTCTTCTTCATTTCAGTTCTGCCTGCACTACCGAAGGTGCGGCTCGTTAGCAACCTGCCTGCCTGATCACGCAGGTCCTCATCGACTAGAGACGCCTCCGGAGTTGCGACTCGACGCCGCATCAGGTGCGTATCAGTACATCCGAGGGCCTCTAACAAACAAAACCAGAAAAAAAGTAGGAAAAGACTGCACCCAAGCGAGTCACAAAAACACTACAAGAAGGTTTGATCACGCACACTTTACTTAATGCATCACCCCCGTTCTCTAGTTGACGTTGGCTGGCGTTCAAAATGCATCACATGGCGTTTGTGAATAGCGGGACAGGTGGTATTCGTCCACGCAATGGAGTCACAATCACCAAGGGGAGCGATCAATTTGCTTTACACCACACGAGGAAAGAAGGGTATTCGTGGCCGCGAATCGGGATTCTGTAACTAATACGCAAACTCTGTACACCAGAAATCTAAAACATTTGAAGCCTAGGGGCTTCGACAGATTCAAGAATGATGTCTTCGTGTATTCAGAAATGTGATGTAATAAATGTTATGCACAACATGATTCGATAAAGATACCACCACACATACTCAAGCCTGAAACAACCCACACCGGGGTATTCTGTACGCATGTCGCAATTACAAATCATGTAGCAATGTATGTCGCATCGTAATCATATCAGTCGTAACCATGTTTCCCCAACACTGAGTGATGACCACTCATGATGTGACAGCAACAGTACCGGCAGTACCACCCAGTCCAAGGATACCGTCCATTTCGCAAGTAACAGTACCGACATTCTGCCAGTAAGGCATGTCACGAATGTAAGGCACTTCGGCTCTCTTAGCACCGGTCAAGGCTGAAGCGGCACTGGCCCAGTTGAAGTACTTGTGGCAACCTACACAGAACTAGTCCGCTCCGTTAGCCAAAGATGATCTGAAACGAGAAAGATGAGAAGTGGACCTCACTCACCATACTATCACATCCCCCATCCTTTTCAATGACCAACTGACAGTTCGGACACCTCTTTCCATCCAACTTTTGCATATACTTGAGTGTGTCTTTTTCCTCTTCACTTATCTTCTCGTCGACATGCTTGGCCGCATACTCCGCACATGTAACATCTTTATGCCAAGCAACAAGGCACTGGGCGCAAGATCGGAACGCACACTCGTGACAAGTAACTTGCGGGTACCCCGCCGCTGCCGTGTCTGGTAGACCAATTGCATTGCACATCGGCGATGGACAAGTGAGTGGTGCTGGACTTGCAGTTTCTTTCCACACCTCCAGCATTTCCATGTTGAATTTCTCCAGTGGAGCGCCGGGCGGCATATAGCGTAAGACGAAGTCGTGGGACCAGGGTACTGAGCAACCAGGTTCTAGACAGCCGTTGTTGATTGTTCGTACGCCTAGTGTATCCATCTTGGCAGAGAGAAAGCGCCCAATGCATGTTTTACAGACGGGGTCGACTTTCCGTTTGCTGGGGTTACGGGCTAGATGGGCGACACAGGCGAATGGGACGTCTGTTGGTCGCCAGCGACCGCGCTTTGGAGGAACCCATCCTACGAATTGGTCTGTAGGTTTCTCCTCGATGCAAATGCGGCATGTGAAGTCGGTTGGCGGTGGTTTGCGTGGCTTGGGACTGGGGTTTGGCTTGCGCTTCTTCGCCCAGGGATCTGCACGCGGGCGACGTTTCTTGGTGACCTTCGTTGGGGCGGCTTTTGTAGCTGCTTGTCTGGTATGAGATCGTAGGACTCGGCTGCTCGTTAAGGGTGGTTTGACGGCTTTAGGCATTGTGTGACGTTGTGGTCAGTGACGTAGTGTTGCAATCTCAGTTGATCGTTATGGCTAAAGCGGCCGATCAGAGTAAGGAGTGTGACAGTGGAGGTTTAAAGACTGAGGATTGACTGACAAGGCTAGTTATACGAGGCTGAGGCTGCAGCTGACATCAGTATAGCGATGCCGGAAGGCGGCATGGGTGCCTGATTCTTCACTTGAATTGATAGGCAGTGACTCATGGGAGGTCTTCCGTTCGTTTGTAGGAAGTCAGTAGCCTGGAATTTCGAAGTATGAACCCGCACATGTTGCCAGCCTGACGCATGGTTGACTACTCAATAGATAGGTTATTGGATGAAGGTTAGCAGTTGCAGTGGCCACATAAGAGTAATTACAAGGCAAGCTACTCTACAACAGGGCGGCTTCAAATTATTGCGACATCCAGTATCGTGGAAAGGCGTGAGTCGTCAGTTGTCATTGGACCATGTTCGTTTGCCGCAAATGTCTCTGATCCAAGGATGCCTGATAGGCAGTCAACACGCTAGTCACGAGCTGCGCAGCTCCCGAGTTTAGACGATCTCTACACGAGAGCGGCCGCAGCAGGCGTAGTGTTCGCAACAAACGTGCTAACCAATTAGAAGGGTGCAAGTATCTTCACGACGCGGTATGGTATGGTGTTCGCTACAAGTTCGAGACCCACCTCCTCGTAGTGGTTGCGGCGACGCTGCTTAGCGCGACAGGGGTGCGCTGAGCACAGATCCCCCGAGCCCGAACTTTTTTTGCGACGCTTGTAAGTGCTGAACTTTCATAAACGTGACGATTCATATTGATATCACGCAATTATGGCACCAGATCTTGACGACGATTTCATCTTCACAATCTCCGACCACGACGATGTTTCCGACGACGGTGGCGCCGACGACGCCGCTGCGGCGACGGCCAAACTAGCTGGAGCCGGGAAGAAGAGGAAATACACCGAAGATCCAGACCTCAACGTGAAGCCCAAAGAGGTCGCGTCCAAGAAAGCAAAGAAGGATAAGAAGAAGGGAAAGAAGGGGAAACAAGCCGACGCCGAACCAGAGCTCGAAGAAGATGGTGATGCGATGCCAACACCAGGCGAAGACGTCGAACAGAACGACGACATTGCTAGCGACTTCGAGTTCGCAGTCGGCGACATAGACACTGGCTTTGTAGAGGAGTTCGATGGCTGGGGCAATGACAATGGCACAGTAGCGCAGGAGTCACAGAAGAAGGGCAATGCAGTCGACGTTGATGATATCATTGAGCGGAGACGGAATAAGAAGAGCGCACAAGCAGCCATAGACGCGGAGTCGCCAGAGGCCTCAGTCAACGGTGATTTTGAGGGTTTTGGCGACGATGATGAGCTCATGGCCGAGGACGGGTTTGGCATGGGCGCAGCAAGCGACTCTGAAGACGAGGAGGATCAAGATGAAGAAGCCTCAGGTGATGAGGGCAGTGGAGGCAATTCCCAAGAGGACGACTCGGACGACGAAGCAGAGGTACCCCACGTACCGCATCCCATGGACCTCGAGGGTGCCGAGACAGAAGACGAAGTGGAGAGTGAGCAAGAGGATGCTGTTGAGGCTAAGAAGGCAGCTGCTTTCTTCGCGCCAGAAGACAGCGTACCTATCAAGAAGAAGAAGGGCGCGAAAGGCAGCACAGGGTCCTTCCAAGCAATGTCACTCTCGCGACCCATCCTACGAGGTTTGGCATCTGTGGGTTTCACCGAGCCGACGCCTATTCAGAACAAAGCAGTTCCCATTGCGATGCAAGGCAAGGACGTCGTGGGAGGAGCCGAAACTGGTTCCGGTAAAACGGCCGCCTTCCTCATCCCTATCCTCGAGCGTCTTCTCTACCGCCCAAAGAAGGTTCCTACAACTCGTGTCGCTATCTTTATGCCTACGCGTGAGTTGGCGGTGCAATGTTTCAACGTCGCTACCAAGCTTGCGTCCTTCACCGACATCACTTTCGCACTAATGGCTGGTGGTTTCTCAACGCGCGACCAAGAAGCTGTCCTGAAGACACGACCAGACGTTGTTATTGCCACACCTGGTCGTTTCATTGATCACATGCACAACACAGCTGCTTTCCAGGTTGAGCATCTCGAGATTCTCGTCCTCGATGAGGCTGATCGTATGCTCGAAGAGGGTTTCGAAAGCCAACTGACTGAGATCCTGAACACCATTCCAAAATCGCGACAGACCATGCTCTTCTCTGCTACGATGACAAGTTCGGTTGACAAGCTGATTCAAATTGGTATGGACAAGCCGGTGCGTCTGATGGTCGATGCCAAGAAGCACACTGTAGCTGGTTTGACGCAAGAATTTGTGCGATTGAGGCAAGGCAAAGAAGACAAGAGACTTGCGTACCTGATGTACATCTGTGAAAAGATCTACACCGAGAAAGTCATTGTCTTCTTCAGGCAGAAGAAGGAGGCGCATAGGGTGCGAGTTGTCTTTGCTCTGTGTGGGCTTAAAGCCAGCGAGCTCCACGGTAACATGAGCCAAGAGCAGGTAAGAAATTGTAGAACGTCCGAGATATGACACAATACTAACAACAACAGCGTATCCAATCCGTAGAAGCCTTCCGTTCAGGCAAGTCGGCCTACCTACTGGCTACCGACGTTGCCTCACGTGGTCTTGATATCAAGAACGTCTCAACAGTCATCAACTACGAAGCACCGCAGAGCCACGAAATCTACCTGCATCGTGTCGGTCGTACCGCTCGTGCTGGACGAAGTGGTCGGGCCTGCACGCTTGCCGCAGAACCCGATCGCAAGGTTGTCAAGCAAGCTGTCAAGGCTTCTCGCGACCAGGGCGCCAAGGTAGTCAGTCGGCAAGTCCCTGTCGAAGAGACTGACAGGTGGATGAAGAAGATCAAGGACCTCGAGGGTGAGATTGAAGAGGTTCTCGCTGAAGAGAAGGAGGAGCGTGCCATGAGTATCACAGAGCGTGACCTCAAACGAGGTGAGAACTTGATACAGCACGAAGATGAGATCAAGGCCCGACCAAGACGCACATGGTTCGAGTCTGAGAAGGACAAGATGGCAGAGAGGGAAAGGGGTGCTGCCGCGCTCAACGGGCAGGCCGGAGGATCGGTCAAGGGCAAGGAGAAGAAGAAGAAGCTCAGCGGCAAGGACCGAAAGAAGCTTGAGATGAAGGATGTCCGAACAGAAGGCAAGCTGTTCAAGAAGGGCAAGGCTGATCGAGGCCTAAGTACCGGCAAAGCAAAGGAGAAGCAAGCTCACGCGAAGAGTAAGTCCAAGAAGATTGCGGCGAAGACTGGATCGTTCAAGGGCTTCAAAGACTAGATGTTTTGGTTGTTAGTTTCGTGGCTGAAAGTATATCCTAATGATACCACTTTGCATCAATATGCAGTAATCATTCATATCAAGTGAGGCTATTGCTGTACTGCCTGATGCCATCATCCAGCGATACTCGTTCCGAGAGACGTTTGTTCACTGAGGGAGGCAAGTAGTTTGGTCCGCTCGATGATGGGTCTGATGTCTGATTGATCTCATCTGCCAAGCAAGCCCCTTTTTGGTCTAGGCGGATAACCGGGAGCTGGCGGACGAACATGGCAGATTTATGGGCTACCTCAATTTCCAGGCACCACTTACTTTACTGCCACCTGTTTTTGACACGTACACTCCTTTCAACAAAACTCACATCACCTGCTTCTACCGTTCGGCCTTACTCTTTTGCAATCACACTTCCTACTTCTGCATTTGCGACAGGGTTCGTTATCAGCTCGGCTTATCGGCGGCTTATTCGACAACTTTCTAGTCTGGACCCGCTCAGCTTCAACAGCTATTGCAAGCTCGACTGTGTTTGCTAGCTTTTAGCACGCTCGCCTTCAACTACGCTGTAGTTTTATACTCAGCCTGCGAATACGTATCGTTCCACGTCATCCTCGGACGATTTCCTGCAGCCTAGTACTCCGAGCATAAGCAAGGCGCGCATACGAGCCTCGACTCCTTCGAATAAGCGCAGCGGGGCACACCTGTGTACAAAGACACGTCGTGATAGTGGACTCCGGCATCGCAGGCACTTGAGAAGACGGCGGGACAATCACAACCTTTACAACCATGGCATCAGTACAAACGCGAGTCAACGGCAATGGCACCGCAGTGCGGCCTGCACAGGCAGAGAAGGAGGGCGCAAAAGAGAACATCTTCCTCTTCATCCCAAATCTGATTGGTATGCGCGTCCTTTTCACGTTACGGCGACCTGACTAACAGACTCCTAGGATACTCGCGCGTCTTCCTCGCCTTGATTTCACTCTACTACATGCCCCTCCACCCGCGTACATGCACCCTCCTGTACAGCATATCCTGTCTGCTCGACGCGCTCGATGGATACGCGGCCCGAGCATATGAGCAGAGCACCAAGTTTGGTGCTGTGCTAGACATGGTAACGGACAGGTGTACAACAACCTGCTTGCTCGTCTTCTTGGCGCAGGCTTTCCCTCGCTTCAGCATCGTCTTCCAGGGCCTTATTTCGCTGGATCTGGCCAGTCACTACATGCACATGTACGCGACCCTGAGCATGGGTGGCAGCGGCCAGAGCCACAAGAACGTGGACGAGAGCAGGAGTTGGTTGATGAAACAATATTACTCTAACAACGTACGTCCTGCCGACCTTATATCTTGTGTGTAGCACAGGCCACAAAGCACATGCTAACAACCTTGACAGAAAGTTCTCTTCACCCTCTGCTTCATGAACGAAATGTTCTTCATCGCCCTCTACCTCCTCTCTTTCAGCTCCCCGCTCCTCTCACCCACCCTGTTCTCCGACCTCAACAACCCATCCTCCATCCAGCCCGGTTCGCCTGCCGCTCCTAAACCCTCCATGTTCTTCGCCAGTCCTTTCTCCGCCGCAGCCATGGAGATGGCTCGTGCCAACAAGATGGACTCGACGGTCCCGTGGATCTGCATGCTTACCTCGGCTCCCTTTATGGCTATCAAGCAATGGATCAATGTGGTACAGATGGTCAAGGCGAGTCAGTGGCTTGCTGAGGGTGACAGGAAGGCGCGGAGGAAGGCGGGTTTGCCTAGGAGGGGTTCCAAGAAGAGTCAATAGATGACTTGTGACATGTGACAAGGCATGAGACTGGCGAGTTACACGTATGGAGCCGGTAAAGGGGCTCACTGGTTGAGGAGACGCGCCGCGCGCCGAGTGGTATTTTGGCGGCTGCACCTGCAGACTTTCTGCGTGCACATTCGGCGCATTTCATTTTCACTTTTTCGTCCATCTACTCATATTGTAGTGATCTGCGACTTCACTTGTTTGTTTTACTCCTTCTTCATTCGCTTTCAGCTCAAACTTTTCTTGTACGATTGCATCTTTGCCTCTCAACAGAAGGGCCATACGGCGCGAGATGAACATGTACTCCATAGAGTTACATAATAATACGTTTGTTTTCACTGCATGAAAACTGTCCGAAGCTGAAATTGCGATTTTCATTGCGCTATGAATAGTCTGTGGTCCTCTAGTTCTTACTATACCGTCTGTTTCCGTCAATACAACAACAATACGCAACTCATGCAATCATGTCAAATCCGCTCCAGCCCGTTCTTCCGTTCAATAATCTCTTTCTGACGGGAGGAACACCGATGCTCACGTCACCTAACTTGATTTACTATTCTCTGACCTGACCCTCCTCAGGCTCCTCTGATTTGAGAAGCCTTTCTCTTTGCATATCCATAGTGATGCTAGCCGCGTGGACTGGACGAGTTTGAGGAATCCTATTTCCCCGAAACACGTCCCGCCCGTACTAAATCTTGGAATGCTGATTCCAGGGCTCGCTTCACTTCGCGGTAGCTGACTATCAGCACATTTTGCTCGTCACGGCTAACGAGCGGTATCTTCTCATCGGTTCCAGCGTCTAGCTTGTTCAAGCAATCCAAAACATGCGCAAGGTCTGTGACGGGGTGTCCGTTGGCGTCTACCTGGTGGAAGACGTAGTCGCGGAACAACTTGAGGTAGTAGCGCTCTCCCGTTTCTGCCCATACTGAAGATGGGTTTGGGCCGTTGTTGCCCGGCATACTCTGTGAGGCGTCTAACTCTGGTCGCTCATTAATCATGTTGAGCTTGACAAGCAGACGGACCAGTCTCGAAGATTCCAGCTCTTTCCCAAGATTGACTGTAAGTGTGTCCTGAGCGTGTAGCTCACTGTCAAAGACTGATGCGAATTGATCGGCAATGCCACCCAGGAAGGTGTCAATGTCTTTCTGCATTGGCGCTGGCGTAGTTGGAGAAGATGGTGTTCCTGGTGCTGGTTGGGGGTTGAGCAACCATTGCACGCATTCTTTAAGGCGGGCTGTATAACTTCTAGTGATATAGTCCATGGACTTTTGCATCTGCAAATGAGCTGTAGCGTTATTGTTGGCAATGCAAAGTATCAGCCGTCCCAGCTGCACCAGGTCGTCTGCTTGAAGTTCGGGCACAGGGCGAGCATTGTCAAATTGAACAATGTCCATGATACTGCATGCATTCAGTCGTATCCGGTTTTTCGAAGTCAGTAGTATCTTGGATGGTGTGATGAGGCGCGCTGCCAGACCCGAACCGTGTATGGCTTTGAGGGCTGACGCGATCTGAACGATATAGCCCCATAGGACTTGCTCTGGTACATGTGATGATGCTGGCTGCCTGCCATGGAATCGCTGCACTGGTTTGAAATGCTCATCAGCCAGTGACTTTGAGTTTGGATGATAATCTGTGACCAGAATCAAAGAGCTGTCACCGAAAGCTCGAGTGGTGAAGGCTTCGTGGATTGTAACCACGCTGCCATTCAAGACGCGTTTCCATGGCTGAGCGGAGCGAATCGCAGTCTCACTTGTAAGGCGGAAATTTTCGAGACGGCGTAACGCGTAGGTCTTGCCATCTTTGCTGGAAACAGCTTTGTAGATCCAGCTAGCGTACCCGAAAGGTGCAGTGTTTTTCTGTGGTGACATGTCCAGGCAGAATAAAGAGTGAAACTGCTCAATGACGGGTAAAGTACTGTTGGGTGCGACCTGGCGTGCAATATCCGCCTTCTTCTGCAGCTCTTCCCGTAGTGCGTCAGGGATGAAAAAGTCATGAGCAGTACGCTGGTATGCGAGTAGCCCTGTTGGCTGTGGTCCTACCGGCCAGTACAGATGGTAGGCAGGGGTCTGGAAGGCATTGGCATTTTGAAAATACGTCGTCGATGCATCTTGTGCATATGGATTAATGGTAGCAGCCTGGTGAGTTGCACCAGTGAGGGTAGAGATGCTGGACGGAGTACTGAATGGATCGTAGCCAAGGTTGGATTCGACCTAGGGCGTTGTAAGTTGAGAACAAGGTGCGAGAAGATGCTCTAATATCACGAAAAGATGACGAATATGTTCAAGTAAAGTCACGCACCATCTGCTGGCCCTCAAAAGACTGCGGGACGAACTCTTGAAAGTCTTGCGAATGCCAATCGATTGCGGGCTCTTTCGCGTGCATATGCGGGGTGGTGACGGCTGAGGTAATCAGCATGTGTAGAGAGACGGTACTGGCGATTGTTTAAGAACTCACTGGAGCGTTGCGATTTAGGGGTAAAGACGGCAGCGTTGGCAGCCTTGGGCGAGATGGTGGCGCTGCGAGAGGATGGAGTTACGGACCCATTGGTACTTGTCTGCAGCGGGGTAAAGGAAGGAGAGTCGACATTGAACCTCTTTTTTGCGTTTTCATTCTGGCCCAACTTGAGGTTGTCGTGGATGTAGGGACAGGCTAGACTCGGGTCACCAAAGCATTCGGCCGATGCAGCCACCAAGACTTACTGTTTTCATAGCGGCAGTGTCCGTAGATGGTGACGTTGCGACATAGGGTGTTCTTCGCTTCTGGGAGGGCCAGTCAGACTTGCCATGTAGTGTATATATATAGGTGTAACTGCGTCATACCGCGTCCCTTAGGGCGAGGAGAGACTACTCCCCGTCGCGAATCACCCGAAGGACCTCCAAAGGTTGTTGCCATGAATCGCGTTTGGCTCGGCAAAGCGCTGGTGGTAGCAAGAGAGGGTTGCTGGCGTGTCTTGGACGCAGTCTGGGGGGAGCGAGCGGCGCTCTGGGCGGACTCTACGGGCGTCGAGGTGGGCGGTTTGCGGTCGGAGCCGGTATCATCTGAAGAGGCGGGCGGCCTACTCCATCTGCCCACGGACTTGGTCGAGTGTTTCCGCCTGTTGTTGCGCGCCGGCTTCTGGGGCGTGGTAGGGCCGTTGCGCCCTGGGGGGTTGGGGAGGGAATCCCGTGACGACGACGACGTCAACTCGGAGATAGATTCAGTTGCTGAGGACCCAGAGCTGGCAATGGCAGTCGCATGTGCATGTGCCTTGGCTGCGGAATAGACGGCGGGTCGGTTGTTGGTGGGCGAAGCGTGCGGCGCGCCTTTGTTCGGCGGCGATGCAGGCTGAATGATGGGCAACCTGTTGCCGGTGTGGTGCGAAGTCCCTGCGAGCACATTAGAGAGCGAGCCCATCAACGGCGACAGGTCGTAGAGGGCCGACGCAGACGGCTCCTGGACATGTCCAGGGCCGCCGGGAGACATGGCGTGCGGGATGTTTCGCGATAGCGGACGGGTGGCATGGAGCGGGCGGGACAATTGGAGGAGTACCTTTCGGAATTGCGGGCTATGAGCCACCCCCAGCGAGTCCAGCGTCCTGTAGGAGCAGCAGCCGCGTCTCCATGAGCAGGCACAGTCCAAGAGTCGAGGCAGACTAGACGAGCAGGCGCGCTGGATGAGTGAGGTGTGATAGCTGAGACGTAGCCATCCTATCAGCATTCACCCGCCTTCCCTGCAGCTGCTGTTTGCCGTGTTTGCAGTCGGGTTCCGCTTAGTCATGCTGCTTCCCATCGGCATCTCGGCATCACACACTACGACTCCATCGTCCCCCAACTGAAGAATGGCGAGTTGGGAACAGCCAAGACGACGCCTGGGTCAACTGCTATGCTGAACCTCCCGCAAGCTGACCTAAAATAGTAAGCAGTGTCTGTGACGACTATGGCAACAACGACCGACTTGGTTCTGCCATTGCGACTTCCTCAATGGTTGTTGCAACAACGAGACTTAGGAAATGGCAATCTTTGGTGAGCTCAGGCCGTCTGCCCGAGGTTTCGATTTTCAATTCACTCTCACCTTCACCCCGCCGACCAATGAGTCTTTCCTCAGCGTTACAAATTCTCGCTGTCAGCTTTTTCAATATCCGCCCACCTCCCCTAAACTCTATCCGAGATGGAGTATAAGACCCCCGTTCCACCACAAGCCAGCTATGGGGAACCCGCGAGTAATCAGCAGGCCCAATTTGCGATCGAGCCTTGCGCTGCTATACTCCGCCATGATGGTAATGTCCGGTCAGGCATGTTTCATCTGTAAGTTCCACTGTGCCAAGTGGATGTGAAACATACACTGACTTTGTACGCCCTTGTTCAGACTCAAATGCGGCCATATCGTCGCTATTGATGGAGGGGATACACGCTGCGGCATCAATTGTCAAGAGACCGCCAACAGCGCCCAAAGCTCTACCTTGTATGCGCGTGACAGAACCTACATAGTCAAGTCGATCGCTCATCCATCCTCTCAGTCTGACGACCCGAGACCTCCTGTATTTGCCCGAGGTGCAGCGCCCTGATTTCCTTTACTGCGAGGTTTGTCAAGGCATACCTTGGGACAACTACAGAAGAATGCAACCACCTTCCGACGACCTCCCACGTAGTACCATACCCATGCCCCGGCGCTGTATCGGTCTTACACGTGGGGAGATAGTAGCGGCTATTCGAGTTCCGCACGTTGGCGTTGGGGCCTTGTTGGCTAGCCCATTCCCTAGTTCCAACTGCTACGCACACAATCTGTGCTGTGGCCACAGGGTCTGGTGCGCATATTCACGAAACTGTGCTCGCAATTGCAACGATGACTGGCCTTGTAACGAAGATGGCGTTCGACGCCTCTTGATGAAGCAGGCTGACATCATTTTTTGTGAGGAATGCGTCTTCAGAGCAGAACGGGTCCATGCGAAGTGGGAGGCGGCGGCGGCGGCGGCGATGGGAGCGTCGTTGGATCTCACGTTAGGTCATCAACCGCATGGTTGAGACGACTTGTAGCCTGAAGTTCTTACGGTAAAGTAAATTTTCATCACATTGCCCAGCGGCTCCCGAGCTTTCATGTCATGAATTTCTCCAGATTACGAGAGTTGGCCTGAGAGGTCTAAAAAAATATAACTTCTGATTGTCCATTACCTCTCTACCACGGGTGCGCATGACAAATCTCCTCGGATGATGTATCTGGCAAGGTTAAGCCCCTGCTCTCATTCCAAAAGGCCCAATCTCTTTCATTGTCGGGTTGCTATTCACCACATCGGCAGGCCTATACTGCTCTTTTTTCTCTTACCAGCTATTTGCGCATCCTATTGGTCCCCAGCCGCAACCTCACCGTGTTATCTACTGTAGCCTAGTATAGCTAGACTCATCCAGCGATCACCGCTCACATTCACTACAGCTCAGCGTAACAATGGACGAAGATCATTCTAAGAGTTTCATTCACGACAGAAGACCTTTAACTGTAACGCAACTACCACTGTATAAATCACAACCTAGTCTTGACTACAGCGACTCAGCTATATTCTTGCAGACTTACCCTACTTACACTACAGTCAACAACCTGATGGGAAAACAAAAGACCGTCGTATCGGATAAGAGGCCAAGACATCCTCGCGGCAGCACCAAAGGTGGTGGCGGTAGACGTGGTAGACCCAAAGGCAGGCCTTCGCAGTCAGCGACACCAACACCTGGGACGTCACAGAATGGAGCATCTCAGAAGTTGATGGTCAAAGTCAACATGGGACTAGATCCTCCAAGTCCGCATTCGCATGCGACCCTGCCGCATGATGGCCACAGAGACCAAGATGATGGATTTCCTCAGCAACTAGCACAGCCGGCGCCGGTCACGACTCGTACTGGACGGGCGATTCAAAAGCCACAGCAGTACGACGCTATACAGGGCAGCGACATTGATTTGTTCATTGATCAGAATTCAGAGGACCATGGAGATGACGACAGAATGTTTCTGACAAGTGACCCACGTAAGTACCAAACGTCACAGATCAAAGGAGCTTAGATCCGCTGACACCTACCTAGCTTACGTCTCACACAAAGCACAAGAGCACCTCCAGCAGCCGCCAAAAACAAGAGGTCGCCCGCCCAAGAATAACACTTCGTTCGGCGCTTCTGTGGTTAAAGTGAATGAAGAGAGCGCAGAATCTCCGTTCCTCCAAAACCTACCAGTACCATCTTTCCCTGCAGATCCTGCCCAATTTGTAGCCGATGCGGACGTATACGCCATTCTAGACGCCCTTTATAGCACCACAAGAACCTTTATCGACCTTCCCAGCTTCAGCAACGCCTCCGATCCTGATCACGCCCAACCCTACAGCGCCAAAGCCCTCACACAACTCTACGTTCTCTGCTACCGGAAACAGCGATGGAATCTCTGCGATATGATATCCGATACCTGGATACGCGCTTTTCATGACATGCGTAAGAAAGATCAGCAGAAGCCTCAAACCCAGACATGGCGTCCCAATCCCGCTCTCGACCGACGTAAGCGTAAAGCACAAGAGGCCTTGGCAAAGGGTCACTATATTCCCTCGGAATTCGATGCAGACCCAAAGAAATATGGTCTTGTTGTCACAGATCCGGAGCTCGAGAAAGATGTCACATGGATCAACACCGATCTTCTAAATCTCCTTTACAAGTTCACGTCTCCAGGGTGCGGCGCAAGGTTTCTCTGGGCCGATGCTTTAGCTTTGTTTGGTGATAAAGCTGAGGAAGTTATTGGAGAAATGACGAGGGAGGGATTTGAATTACACCCAGACCTTCTGTTCAACATTATGCAGACTAGTCTGCGTATGTGTCGGAGGAACCTTACACTGAAGATTGAAGAGAGCACGGAAGGTGCGTGGTGTAAGCGATATCACGAGCATGGCAAGAATGGACAGCGTTGTTACCGGGAGTTGGCGTCGAAGAACGGGGAAGCCGAGGGAGGTTTGCGAGACACGAGTTTGAATGTTAGAGAGATGCGAGGCTCTATAGATCAGGATTTGCTGGATCGGTTTGGGGAAGGATTGGAAGACGAGCAGGGTACTGCTGAGGCGATTCGAGGGGAAAAGAGAGGTCCTGTGGAGAGTGGCAACTTTGGTCTGAACAAGCGGACTACTTGGAATGGGGAAGAAGAGGATGCCGAGGGGGTCTCTGAAGACGAGTGAGCTCTCTATGAAAGTGGCCTGACAGCAGTATCGAATGGTTCATTTTCTGTGTCAATTCCCGGGTCGGCCTAGTCCGATCATATAGCCATCCTTCCGAAATGAGGCCATCGCTTGCCTATCTTAGCATGCAATGGATATTTGGTGAGGTAATACATGCCGTTGTGTTAACGATGTGAAAGTTGCGAACCCATCAAAAGCGTAGAGACGACACTGAACAGTATCAGTCTTCGAGCTTGTTGATTTGACCTTTCAATGTACATTGGCTTTACTACTACGACCCAATGAGTCAGATATGGCCTGGTGAGGTCCTCGCTTGATGATGGTGCATATCTCCTTATCTATCAACAAGTCATTGTGCCTTCCCCAGCGTAACTTCGGCTACACATTGTCAGAAGCAGGTAAGGTCTTTGTTTGTTCTCAGTCACTCGCACGATAAAAATTTTGCAGCGGGTTTGCTTTTACCATAGTGCGATGAGCGATTCGCCTTGCCCCTCGGTCGCGAGAAATCGCTTACACTTTCCTTGTCATAGGCTGTTCATATGCAATGCGGCAGCTCATTCGCTGCTATCACACCGACACTCCTATGATCCCACAGGTCTTCCATCTTCTAGCCTTCAATTGGGAGGCTAAGGTCCGAGTAACCGTGCAAGACCCTCAGGCGTCCAGTCTGAGTGATTCACCCACCTCGTACCCCGGAATCTATTACTCCGCACGGTTTGACTCAGTTGCCGTGTTTCCAAGACGTATAAATGGGGCCATCCCCAACATTGGCGTCTTGGTCAATATCCACTATGAGCTTGTCAGTGCGTGCTTTTCGCTCCAGATACGATTTGACGCCGCTAATCGACTGTGAAGCGTTTGTCAGCGTCAGTACCCACCCGATGCCGCGATACTACCGCTGCAGATACACCCACACGCAAGATGTCCGAACGTGTTGTACGAAGCAGCATCTGTTGAGTACGACCTAGCCGGCAATAGAAACTGGAAGATAAGATCGCATCCATATGCGCCTTGTTCACTTCGACCTCCGACACCCGGTTAATTATGGACTCTCACCAGCACCCATTTTTATACAGTATGCGTGGGCTGAAGGATTAGACCCACGGCCATCGCCGACCAGCCGATAAACCTTGCCCACTGTGGACCAAGTAGTAGACCGCATGACCCTCGGGGTTATCACGACGGTTATGCTAAGAGGATATGGTCCACCCGAAGTCACGAGAGTCGCATGGTAGCGAAAGATTTACTTTGCTGACGTCTTAGTCAAGCACTTTACAAGTTTTTGGCGTAACAGCTTACACTGTTTACAAGCACTTGGTTAAGGCATGGCGAGCTTAGTCCTGACGAACCATCCCACGCGCACTCTGTGTGTGTGTGGAGACAATCAGTCAAAGCGCCTACGTTCGCCCCGATAACACTCGGAGTCCCGACCGAGGCAGATGAACGTACCATGTCTTTAGCCCTGCGTATTCCTTTGCATCGCATGACAAGATGCACTACGAGTGCATAGCTCTGCGGAGAAAGATGCCCCGGCGGTCTGGGCTCTTGTCACGACAGTCCAGCCAGAGCGCTTGGAGATGTCAGGCTCGCTATTGTGGGTTTGACGAGTCAGCGTCTGCCGCTGCATGGAAGAACTCTCTGTCGGACTCTGGGGTTACGCAGCCAAGAGTCACATCATCGTGCTACACGATCATTAGAGGCACCGGCAACCAGGACTCGTATTGGCACCAGAGCGACCGAAGAAGCAGCGGACTCTACACTTGCGCATCATTAGCTTTACCAGAACTTCTGCATGTATTGTATCTACGTCTAAGAATGGGTTCGTTATTTCAAGAGCCTTTGCAGGACGGCATGCCGTTTGAGGAAGTTGGGAAACAGGCGCTAACAGAAGAGGCTGAAGGAGCTGGAGCCGCATCGGCTGTCGACACACCGCCGCGAGACGAGGTGTCGTCCATAAGAGATTAGTCGCAGAAGCCGAAATCCTGCTCCGACGTCTTTTTCTCCTCGGGGTTAATTCTACCGGCGAGGGTCTTCGTCGCGAGGCATCATCAGGATAGCGTAGCAATTTATCCTGGTTGCGAGATTTTCCCGCGGTGCGTCCAGCCAATTGCGTGGCATGTTTTACCGGCTTTTCTCCGGCCGCTACCATGAGCTTGACAAGCTTCTCTTCCTCGACCGACAGCTACTGTAGAAAATCCGGGACACGAGAGCGTTTGGGGGATAATGCGGGGTTCCCATCGTGTAGTGGCCAGGTTGTTGACTGGTGCTTAGCTCGGCCCCAAGCTCCACAAGACGCACGAACAAGGAAGCTTTCTCCACTCAAGCCTGCCAACCTTCCGCCCATTTGCTGGGCGGGGTGTAACCTTTGTGCAGATGGCGCTCTTGTGCTAGGCGTGAGAGGTGACGGCGTCGCCGCTTGATCGGTATTTGATCAGACGATCAGCGGTCCGCTTTCTGCGCAAGGCCTAGGTCCAACGCCTGCAATGCCGATGAGACGGGACGACCTATTGAACGTTGAGGAAACCACAGTTGGGATTGGGAAGGTCATCCGGCGCCTCTCTATTCGGAAGACCGACGCCGACCACTACTGGCGATGAACGAACGTGGAGTAGACGCCTCCGGGGTAGGCTCTGGGGTGTGTCATGGATGGGCATGCTTTGACAGTCCGCACCTAGGGTCTCCGCATATCACACCCCACCATCGCTTGCAAGATTCAGTATAAGAGGCGCGCATACCTTCGTAGAGATTCGAGCTTTACTGCCTTTCCTCCCTGTTTGACAGACGTAGGTGAAGCAGCTCAATCCCATCCTCAACTCGACCCATCACTGCAAATCTTGCCCATCATGGTCGTCTTAAACCCCTGGAAGGAGAATCTGAAGGATACTCCCAAGGAGAGCCTTAACTGGCGTCTCTGGTATGGTGTCTTTGGTAAGTAATTACATCACCCAACGCGCTCAACAACCTAACATCTATAGTCTTCGGACTCATGGGCGCTGCTCGTGGTATCGATGAAGGTCTCATTGGTACTACATCCGAACTCGACCCTTTCAGGCGCAAGTTTGGACTTGACGACGACAGCAAGAGCGAGCACGAGATTGCCGAGCTTCTATCAAACATCACATCCATGGTGCAGATGGGCTCCATCTTGGGTTCGCTGATTGCTTTCTTCATCACCGACAAAATCGGCCGCCTTTGGGCCACTCGACAACTGTGTCTTATCTGGGTCATTGGTATCGTCATCTTCCTCACCAGTTCTCTCACTGGTTCCGTCGGACAGATCTACGCCGGTCGATTTATTGCTGGTATTGGTATCGGACAGACCACCGTCGTTGCACCCACATACCTAGCTGAGACAGCACCAAGAGCCATTCGAGGTCTCTGTGTTTGCGCTTTCGCTGGTTCAGTCTACATCGGCATCATGCTTGCCTACTTCGCATCTTGGGGTTCTTCCATTCACATCTCGTCTGCCACTGACGCCCAATGGCTCGTTCCAAACAGCATGCACCTCATGTTCGCTGGTATCATCTTCACACTCTCCTGGTTCGCTAAGGAGAGCTCTCGTTGGTTGATCAAGGTCGGCCGCCACGAGGAGGCTCTTGACAACCTTGCGGTCCTCCGCAACCTTCCCGCTGACCACCCTTACGTTACCTCGGAGATCATGGACATCAACGACCAGCTCAACCGTGAGCGCGAAGCTACCATGGGCACTACCTGGCTCGGACCAGTCCGTGAACTTTTCTCTAGCAAGGCCAACCTTTACCGCATCCAGCTTTCGGTCATGTCACAGCTGCTAGCACAGTGGTCTGGCGCGAACAGTATGTTCTCCCACTAGCGTAAACATTCGACACACACTGACTCTAAGCGAACAGGCATCACCATTTACGCTCCCCAGTACTTCGCTATGATGGGCACGACAGGTCAGAACGAGAAGCTCTTCGCGACAGCTATCTTCGGTGTCGTCAAGTTCGTCAGCTCAATGCTTTGCGCATTCTTCCTCATCGACTTCCTCGGCCGCAAACGTTCTCTCGCTACCGGTATCACACTACAACTCGTATCCATGCTCTACATGGCCATCTTCCTACTCATCGATACTGGTGTTTCTGACGGTGAGCCTCAAAGCTCCAGTCAGAAACACGCGGCCATGGGCGCAATCGTCATGGTCTACTTCTCTGGTTTCGGTTGGGCCCTAGGATGGAACTCAATTCAGTACCTCATCAACTCCGAGATCTACCCACTCCGTCTGCGTGCGCTTGGTGGTTCCATCGCTATGACGTTCCACTTCGTCAACCAGTACGGTAACTCAAAGGCGGTACCTCTCATGTTCATCTCCATGACCCACGGTGGTACTATGCTGTTTTTCTCTTGCGTTACTGCCATTGGTCTTTTCTGGGTTTACTTCTTCCTTCCCGAGACTTCTGGAAAGTCGCTCGAGTCGCTCGACGAGATGTTCAACCTGCCTTGGCACCTTATCGGTCGCAAGGGTGCAGAACTCACAAGGGGATCTGGTGGTATGGCTGATATCTTGGACAGCGCAGGCGAGAAGGCTGTCACATACGAGATGGAGAATGCTGGTGGTGCTGAGACACAGAACCACCGGGTTGAGCAGAAAGTCTAAACCTTGCACGTGTTTGTGAGATGGGACAGTCTATAGCATCGCACACAAACTGTGTTGCTAGATGAATATCAATGAAGTTATGAACGCAAACCACACATCCATCTTCCTAGTGCCATCACACTGACATGTGTCCATTATACACATACCACTGGTTTTACTTGAAATTTTGGATTAGGATTTTGAATATCAACATTGAATCTATGGTCAATTTTCCTGTATTCTATAGCTTCATCGTCACAGGTAGCACCACACTCTCAAGATACCTAGACAAATACTCACAGTAGGGAGCGATAGGCCAACTCAAACCTGACTCCAGGCGAGTCAAAGCCCATAAACTCAACCGATGTGGAAGCCTTGCTTCGATACCGAGTGGTAATGGCAGTACTATGGTAATGAGCAATAGCGGAAAAAGGTTTCGCAAATACCAAACAATCAAGAACTGCATCCTAAATGGCGGATGCCTAACACTCGACCCCGATCATGAATATTGATGTGACTTATGCGATAATTTGTCTGAACGCGCTGAGTTTAGAAGCATGCTGGGAGTGCAGACCCTGATGACTGCCGTCATCCCGAGACGATTCCGCAAGCCATAAAGCAAGGTCCAGCTTAGAAGATACCAATTCATTCTTGGCCGCCTCTTCGAAGGTCTTCATGACCTTGCCAATGAGAGTGATGTCATTGTCATCGAAGTCGAGTTGATGAAGGAAGCCATAGAGTGAAGTGCCGCCTAGTTTGATCTTGCGCTGAATCTTGACAGATTCCAGACTGGCAATGGGACAACCAGCAAGGGAAGCAAAGGCCTTGCAGACGTCATCTTTGGTGGTCGTTCCGTCGCAACGCTCGAAGTCGAGTATATTCACGAACATCTCTAAAGAGGTTTTCCCAAGGAAGGTGGTGCGCGCTTTTTCAGCCTTGCGGCGAATAGAATCAACGGCAGGCACCAAGGAGGAGCGACGGGAAGTCTTGGTTGACTTTGGGTAGTCTGAGCCAGAGGAGGAGAAGTCGAGATCAGATGTGGGAGGGGTTACTGGGGTAGTGTCATCAGGAATGACTTGCTTCTCGATGGTGTCTGTAACCCGAACGTCGATCTGCTGCAGATTGTCCTTAGCTTTATTGATGGGGAAAGGGTTAATTTGGGAGACGCTGCCGATGAGAGTTCCCTTGTCGTGTATGGAATTTTCGGCTTTCAAATTAGCAACATTGGATGCGTAATCGCCAACAATAAGCTCTGTGTCGTCTGCTGATGCGTCGACAGCAACAGGTCCATGGATAAACTTCGCGACAGGGGTATCAACAGACTTCGTCCTTTTAGTCTTCTTTTGCCCATGAGCAGAAAACGGAAGCTTGTATGATGGGACGTGCATTTGGACAAGATGGTTGTGAAGATCGTGAACCTTTTTCCTCTCGCCTGGGCCGTTGGGCTTGGAGAGAAGAGAAGCGACAAAATCGGAGTCGTCCGTCTCACACGAGACTATTTTCTTTCCACCAACCTTGACTACCTTTTGGTTGGCTTTTAGGGTCTTATCTTGCTTTGGTGCAGTGACTGGCAATGCGAAAGGGGTGATGTGCATCGCAACTTGCTTCTCATGAAGGTTACGAGATTTTCTAGTTACGCCAGGGCCATTTGGCATTTTCAGAAGCGCCGTCACATATCCATCGTCCGCTAGAGTGGTGGGGTCGGCAATCCCAGTAGCGGTCCTTGCGGTGTCGAGCTTGAGCTGCTTCTGAGGTACTTCTAAATCGACCATAGCCACCTCTTTTAGAAGGTCAGAAGCCTTTGCATCCTTCTCCTTGGCCTTGTTAGGCTTTTGATCCTTGAATGCAGTAACGGGAAGCTCGACTGGAGCAGCGGCCAGTGCTGCCTCCTTCGCAAAGCTGAGAAGCAGCGCCTCATTGTCGACATCGGTCATCGAGACATCGTCATAGACGTGGGATGATGCGGTGGCGCTGGCAGCCTTGACAGAGCTAGATCTTTCCAAAAGTGAATCCGTACTTTGGTGGGCAGTAGAAGACTCTTGTACCAGTTTGGGAACGTGTTCTTCTGTATCGTTGTCAGACTCAGCAGCCGAATCTGAGTCAGTGTCGATATTAGAGGCGGCAGCTTGAGGCGTATCGGCAGACTCAGGAATACGCTCAGCGACGTTGTTGACTACGCGCTGCTCGACAATATCTACGTAGCTGTAGATAGGAAGTGTCTTGTTCACCACAGATGTGTGTTGGGAGTTGTCAGGCTGGGTAATGCGCTCAACGACGCCGTTGACCACGCGTTGCTCGATAATCCTGTCGTAGTTAAGACTCGGACGAGAAGTTGATAAAATGGCGAGCTGCCTTTTCTCCTTGATAGTAGCTTTGATATCCACTGCAGCTGTTCGGGTGTCGTGCTCCTTATTGCTAGGTGGGGAAAGCGGCTTGCGATTTTTCCTCGTGGGTCGATGTGTAGGTCGAGTAGGCTTGTCCTTGAGAACTAGTGCCTTGCCATTGGATGAAAGCTTCTCATTGAGCTTCTTCTCAACCATTTCAAGCTTTCTATTTTGAGTCGCGACATTCGCAACATGCTTCGCCTCTGCCTCGGCCGCTATCTTGTGGAAGGATTCGTCTTCGCTAAGCGTAGCAGAAGCGTTGACTTTGTTGGCAGGCGTGTTGGAACCGGTTGTAGTGGCCGTTGAAGCAGACATCTTGTTTGCTACGTAGACAACTAAATGAAGTTCTTAAGTAGCCTTTTCACGGAAGGTAGAGTTGAGACCGGAATTTCCGTTCGACAAGACTGTAGAAGAACGTATCTGAGACGAGTTGTCAGTTGTTTCGGAACACATGCTTGGCGATGAGACAAACCTTTAGCCTATGGAAGTAAAAATGAGTGAAATCTCCAGGTCGTTCGTAAGGTGCACAATGGTATTTCTGGTCTTGAAGGGCAAGGGAGTGCAAGTCTACTGTGACTGGAAGTTGAGAAGAGTCCCGATAATTTGAGCAGTTGTTACTAGAGAAGGGGTCCTTATGTACTGACAAGCGTACGAAGCTCCTGTAGAAGCTCAGACCAGGTGTGAATAAAGCTCGTGCTCGATCTGCTGACAGGGCGCTGCTTAGCAAACCAGGCGTGCCTTGAGCCAACGGAAGTGTTCAAAGGCTTTTCGCATTCGCTTGAAAAGAGATGTGAGGGTTTCGAGACGTCGGATCGGTATGCAATTTCTGCAAGCATCTGGTAAGGCTGAAGGTCCAGAACTTTCCGTGTCGTTATATACTAGAGAAACAGGAGCAGTCTCTCAAGTCTGGGATCATTTTGTAAGGAGGTTCGCCGCTTTGAGCAGGATGCAGAGATGAGGCAGGACGTACCTCCACGGAAAGACTGAGCATAGCTGACAAAGCCTGAGACATATAGTGAAGCGATGAATGACGTTCTCACGTATTTGCGTGATGCAGCAGTCGCAGTATACCCGATATCCAGGGCGTTCTGCCTATCATTGGCAAAGACACGAGATTACAGGATATTCATAGCGATAGAGGTGAGAATGTGAGCGACGTGGAACTGCGTGGCAACAATGACAGACTGGGCGAGACTTCACAGTGGTACTCATTCGAGAGCGCGGTTCTGAAATCGAAAGCAAGGCCATGTATGGTCCCTGTCCTCGTTTGGAAGATCGGGAAATACAGTAACTTTGAGCATGTGATCCTGATGCAGTTTTGGTGGCTGTGAATCCGTCTAACTAGAACTAATCCGTTGGCCGAGCAGCTAAAAGGTTCGTGAGCAGCCTTGCAGGTACTTTCCAGATCCGCGCCTGATCTATCACGACATTGGTTCGCTGTAACCTCTTCGTTCATGGTTTTCATATTTCTCACATCGACCAATGTTGAAGATAGTACATGTACGACATATTGTCGAAACCATAGGCATCGCACGCATACTTGTGCGCGACGAGAGCTTGTCGGAAATGTGCGGATGAAGGTCGTAGTTCCATGTACGAACACTATAACAGCAGCCTTTCTTACGTCTTGATGTTGACTATGCCAGCGCTGAGTGATTTTCCTGCACCCAAGTTCCTAACTCTTTCTAGTCCGTCACTGGGATGCCGATGGAGAAGTCCCAGAAAGGTGCTGCAAGCAGGTACTGATTTCGGCAAGAACGCCGTATCTGAGCACGGAACTGCTGGAAAGGCGTTAATCCAACATCGCACGATCCCTTCTTCCGCTGAAGTGCCAGGCAGGTGCGGGTCGAGTCGTACAACAGCTTTCAGCTGTATTGTGATGTACAAAAAACACCCAGATACATCAGCGCGTGGTTCGCTTTCCTAGGGGCTGTCGAATGGGTTTTGTTCGTCGCAGGCACTACGAAATTGCGGAATGCAGCCACTATATGTCGTGCTTTTAGCTGCATTAATATCTATGGCCCAGAGTCGTCAGGAAAATAGACCCAAGGCTGCGTAAAAATACCATCCAACGATATGGCGCGTGAGGCGCAAACAGCACTGAAAGGGGGAAGGAGTTGACGACGGTCCGTCGGCACCTCGGGCTTGCTAGTGAGGGGCACAGCGCACCCCACCAACCTTGGAAGACACGCTCCGTCCACAAGTCCCGCTAGTGACATCATGCGTGCTCGATGAAAACACCTCATGAACACATCTCGGCCAGCTCCAGCCCTGCATCGAATCGGGGCAATCGCATTGCCTGCATCTCCCTCACGCTACGATTGCGGCTGTGGTTGCCGGCCGCATGGCACCTCTACCCGACCCTCTGATTGAAGTTGCCAACACTGCATAGTCAGGTCCACTAGTACCTGTTAACCCGTGTTGCCGGTAGGGATTGCTGCTCAACGAACAGCAATTGTGGGTTCCATCTCACAATGATTGATCGGCGGCAGATTCTGTTTGGGGCTCAGGTATAAGAGTCTGCTAGTGCCCCATTTACTTTTCGCGGTAGGTGCTCGCTGTTCAGCTTGAAATATATCTGGACTTCTTCACCAACTCTACCGACTGAAAATATCAGTCACTCCCTCCCAGGATACTTGGAAAATAGATCCTACCAGAGTCGACAAGCCGCGATTATGACGAGCAAGCCCATCTTTGTGGCTACTCATCCGAGGGCCTGCTCGACGGCCTTTGAGCGGGTATGCTTGGTTCCGCCGTGTCTCGCCCAAGTTCGGGTTCTTACCATCATCTAGGTCTTCATGACCCGCTACGACACGCTCCAGTGTGTTCACGAGCCTTTCGGCGACGCCTACTACTTCGGTCCCGAGCGCCTCGCTGAGCGTTATGAGAATGACGCGAAAGCCAGGAAAGAGTCTGGCTATGAGGAGAGCACATACAAGACCATTTTTGATCGCATCGCGAGAGAAAACTCGGAGGTTCGTTCACTAATACTTTCCATGTTTCTGCAATATTACCGTTTTCCTGCTGTTTCCTCTCAGTCCGTCATCTTTTCACACCCAATCAAGATCTTATTTTCGCAATCTCGTCAACTTCGTCGCAATTGCGTGTTGTGTGCTCCCAGCCAACCACCCGACAGCTAGATCTCTGTCTACCCCACCTTAATCACGACCATCTCATACTTTCCTAAATTCAACTTGCGCGATATGTAAGCGCTTCGACTGGAGCGCAACAAATTCACCAAAGTCCTTGGTCTCTACAAGCGGACAATTCAAAAACCGCCGTCCTCCATTTCCCCGAATTGTCGCCGAGCCATTACGATCTGCCCAGCTCCCTACCATCTTGACTCCCGCATTATGACATCCCGTACGATGAAGATTTCAATGGCGCATAATGTAGCCTTACGAAAGATAGCATACTCACCTTTAACAGGGCAAGCGCGCTTTCATCAAGGACATGGCCCAATACTGGATTCCCCCCGCAGGCAAGCCCGCTACCATCGCCCCGTCTCTATCCAACTATCGACGCGGCGTAGGAACAGACACCACGCAGCTTTCGCCTGTCACTACTCGTAATGAACATCTCGGACCTCCTTACCCATACGACACTCAAGGCGAACCCAACAACCCCACGGTTATTCCTGCGGATCTGTTGGCAACCTACCACTTCACATTTCTGATCCGTCACCCCAAATTCTCCATTCCATCGTACTACCGCTGCACCATTCCTCCGCTGGACAAGATGACAGGCTTTTACAACTTCCGTCCTGACGAAGCTGGCTACGAAGAGCTCCGTCGCCTGTTCGACTACCTGCGGTCTGAGGGCCAGATCGGTCCCAAGTTCGCGGGTCAGAAGCAGCACGACTCCAATGAGCAGACAAACGGCCACACTGGCGGTGTTGAGATCTGCGTCATCGATGCAGACGATTTGCTGGACAACCCATCTGGCATGGTTGAAGCATTCTGCAAAACCACGGGAATCGAATGGGACCCAGACATGCTCGTATGGGACACAGAGAAGGACCAAGGTATTGCCAAGGAGGCGTTTGAGAAATGGAAGGGTTTCCATGAGGATGCTTTGGACAGTGATCGCTTGAGGGCGCGGACACATGTAAGTGAATATCCTAATTATGTGGGCAGAGTTGTGGACTGACGACCTGGCCAGAAGAAGGAACCTAAGTCAGACGAGCAGCTTTTCGCTGAGTGGAAGGAGAAGTACGGTGAAGAGGGCGCGAAGCAAATCCGGGACACCGTTGCTGCTAATGTTGAGCATTACGAGTACCTCAAGCAGTTTGCTATCAAGCTGTAGATATTTTTTCAAAGTCAGGAGTTGAGTACGACTGTTACATGTGTTCGATCACTACCAAAAAGAGATGGCAGATGGCAGATGGCAGAGCAGACAGCATGCAATATGCTAGAGGAGCAACAACGAATTTTCTTAGCATATTTAATTTGAAAATGATATGAATGTGTCATCTGTCCAATGAGACACACCTCATTATCATTCCTCTACTGCAATTACTAGACCGCCCCATGTTACAGCGATTGTCATTTGCTTATGTTCGGGTCATCAGCTGGCCCGCCGAACCTGCATGCGGTATGCGTGCTTACGCTTACAGTGCGCGTCTGGAACATTGAATTTTTTTAAACGTTGAGAAAAATGACATGATTGCGGTCTGAACAGCGTCTGTCGTAAGCTTTGTGCACTTGAGCGGGCTAGTCCGTGTCAATGTATTGAGCAAGTAGAAGGCTGGGTGGTGGATGGCGGAGTATTCTCCTGATGGTTACAGAAGCGGCCGCCTTGAGAGTGTGGCGAGGTTTCCAGAGCATCTCCTCATGGTTGCAGAAGTGGTCGCCCCATGGTGCTGGAGTTGGGCGATGACAAAGGACGTGTTTCGGATTGATGCGTCTCCGCGTGTTACCAAGCCCGAGGCACCGGACCATGGTGGTGTGGCGATGAAGCCTAGGGCACATCAGTAGGTAGCAGTTTTTGACAACTTTCAGAACATGGAAAGAATGACCAGACACGGAAGTAACAGTGATTGCAGATGTGATGATTTGGTATTTGACTCGATAGGCGATAGCAACACAGAGACCAAAATCTAGCCTGCCAAAATATGCCAAACAACTCCGTAACACATACATCGTTACAGTACAGCTTCCGAAATTCAAAGCGATGGATGAGCAAACATACAAAGGTATCAACCGCGGACCACGCAAAAACGCCAAGCCCAGAACACCGACGCTATCCATGTGCGTAGAGAATGCGTAGTTTTGTGTAAACAAGGTAGAAGATGTGCAGACTCGGTGAGAAGGTCATGTGCGCTGCAGTTGACCAAGCTCAATCTCTCTCCTCCGCTCCTCGCGGCTGACATTTCTCGAGTGGTTACTGATTCTTCCATCCGCACTCGACGGCCGATTTGTACTTCTTCCGCGGCCCTGCCATTGCTGCCATGCCTGGTGTTCACTCAGACTGTCAGGTCTACTGTCGGATCGATCGCGGTTCCAGTCGACATGTGTTTGTGCAGGCGTACCGACCAACTCCTGACTGCGCAGATGTCTTTCTTGCTGTTCCCGGTCTTCTGGCAGGTCTATTCTGAAGGTGCTGTTGGCATCGGGACTGGGTCGTGGGTCGCCTTTTGCGAGGAGCAGCGCCATTTGCTGGTTGACACGATCGTCTTCTGTGTACACGGCGTCGGGTGGTGGGTTAGAGGGCGAGCGCATGGCGGTGGGGTACATGTTGGGGATGAAGTTGCTGTAGTATGATTGCTCGGACCAGAGGTTTGCGCGCGTGTCTGTCTGGCGTTTGGACTTTACTATTCGGCGGTATGTCCAGAGGAGGAGAGAGCTGTAGAGGAGGGTGCCAGCGGCGCTGGTTACGGTGCCGCTGATGGCGGCATTGCCCCAGTGATAGTTGTGGGATGAGAGGAAGTTGTAGGCTATGGAAATCAGGCCGAGGGCGGAGGAGGTGAGTGCGGGGCTATGCATGTGTTAGTATTGCGCTGGTGGTGCAGGCGTAGAGGTCTTACAGAAAGACAGCTTCAGCTTGGAAGCGCTCATTGCGACAAGCGAAGCAGAGCAGCGCCGTGAATGAATAGCCGGCAGTGAGGAGTGCGACAACAAAGACAGACAGAACTGCTTCGCTGAACCTAAGCTTGGGATCGTTCGCGTAGAGGCCGGGCAGGATGAGGTAGCTGCGATGTGTTAGCCTGCTCTCATCTGAAGTGCCTCGAGAGGCATGACGGGCACCCACCCTCCCAATATCATCCATGACGCCGCCAGGGCTATGAGGCGCCAGTACCACGGCGTGCCCTCTCTCCTCTCGCTGCCCGCGTCGTTGATGTTGACATAGCTCTTGTTGCTAGAGCGCATTGAGTCGGTGGTTCGCGCCTTCCGCAGCGGGGTGGTGCCTTGTTCGCGATTCAGGTGGTGGTGCCTGGCCGAGAAGCCGTCGATTCTCGCGCAGTGCCAGCGAGCGATTCAAGAGACGTCGGCATACAGAGCAGAGGAGCGTGATTAAACGAGTGACTGCGACAAGCGTCTCTGCCGTCGAGATTTAGATCGGGATATGAGCCTCACTTGCAGCTGGCTGGCTGTCTGCTATTCAGCCTGACGCGGTGCAGATCGCTTCGGTCCGTCGAGTGCAGTGGAGCCGAGGCGAGGCGGCTGGTGCACGGCGCAATGGTTTCCAGAGAGGGGAACAGCAACAACAACGAGCGACGAGAACAAGATGCAGTTTGGGTCGAATATGAAGCAGGCGAGGTGAACAGTAGAAAGTCGAGAGACACGGGCTGAACGGGCGGTGGAAGAAGAGGGCGCCAACGTGCTCGTACTTCGCTGAGGCGGAGGACGCCTGCATACTCGCTCAGCCACTCGACGTCCTGCTGAGCATTGCTGCCACCCCTGCGACATGCTCCCTGTTGATCAACATGGCCGTGAGCATCTCCAACGCGTCTTGTCGAGCATCGCGATTGCAGTCACATACTGATCAGCAATTTCGGGCTTCCATGACCAACATCGTGCATCATCCCACGCCTTCTGCCATCACCATGAAGCATCGTATCCACGATGCTGTCCCGCATCCCTTTGTCTCTCTGGTCTGCCCAGGGCGACCCCGGATTCCAGAACGCGTCACCACCAATTCCAGGCCAAGCCTTTTGCCCATGTCTGCTCAATCTCGCTGACCGCGCCGCACCTTGGGTGGTGCAGCTTACTCTGAGAGCCACCGCTCCCATCCCCTCTGCCAATGTCTATCATTCACTCTCCCGTCGTAGCGCTATCGACTTCGTGTTCTCGGTAGACGCAGTTGCCGGTCAGACATGACGTCGTAGCCACCATTGACCTCTTGAATGCACTGCCTGGCGTACGTAGGACCTAGCGCTACATCGCGGCATGGCACAGCATCACAAGCCACGAAAACGTTATTCTACGCCGATAGGGTATGGTATGAACCGGCCGTTCAGCCTCATCCGAATTCTAAATCATCGCGACCAACTGATGCAACTGGGCGTAAACACTACTTTTCTTAGCAAACACCTTGTGCGCGCTCACGGCTGTCGAGGTTTGCGCTCGTCCATCGATGCCATGTTGCGACAAGAGGTCTGCGTTTTCAACTCTGACGTTTTCAGACACATGGACCGCGCATTTTCTGATCAGCGACCTCTCTCGCCATACAAGCATATGTACGGACGACATAGCGGTGTCTGTCAACAATGCGATCCGCGCGCCTGGTTCACGTTGCAGGGAATGCTTCCAGTGCCTCGCACATGTGTGTCATCCGCACAACCACACCGCATCTTACTTTACACACCCGCCGCCATCATCTTTCACCCTGCGACCTTGCTTCTTAGAAATTCGGTGTCGCCTTCTCCGGAGTGTCTCTGATGAAGTTCGTTGGCGCGATCCATCCAGGGTACGACACAGATACTTTGTCGGGTATACCGAGACTTTCCCAGTACGAGAACCAGAACACCGAATGAAGCTGTCGCCGAACTTGTGGCCGTTGCTTCAAGCGCTCACCTCGTGTACTATGCTGAGTGTCCTAAGTGTTCGCAGACGCCGAGAGTTGATGGCTAAAGATGCCGGCGCCACCGGTTCGATCTATGCCCCACCAACAACCGAGCCCGAGATTCGCTTCCAACACTGATGACCGTTTGAATAAGCACTACCACTGTTTGCAGCAACACGGCTATGGATACATTCCAACTAATTTTCCATTTCTACATCGATCAGCTACTCAGCCTTCTAGGTTGGTCAATCTTCAGTAGTATAGTGGTCAGTATTTCCGCTTGTCACCATCACTGGCAACTCGCGGGAGACCGGGGTTCAATTCCCCGCTGGAGAGTTTCCTTTTGCCAATCTTTTTGTCTGTTTCCATCATTGTTTTGTTCTGCAGATTTTTTTGACTTCGATAGTGGACGCTCCGATTCACAGGTCACAGCGGCGGTCTCATTGGCCAGAGTGATGAGGTAATCACCCGTTACGTACTAGTGTTCCACCAGCAAGGGTCTGCGGGACCGTGCATGGAACATCAAAATCTCGAGGGACGCCTCTAACAAAGTCGCAGAGCAGGGCGTCTCGATAATGCTAGGAATCATTTCAGATTTTAGACGCCATACGGAACGCGACGACGCTTTAGTTTTTGAGTGCTGTTTTCGAGTGAACCTGGAACATCCTCACACTCTATCAATGCTTGTGATTGTAATTACGCACGCCGTACAAAGGGTAGCAGGGCGACGATACGACTTGCATCCTACGATCTAGACATAAAATGACCCGGCGAAACACACAACCGAATACACAAACACTATCGCAGTCACATGGTCGGTAGGTCTTCCCATATTCGTCCTCTGTGGGCGGGAGTATTCCTCCTTCGGGTATCGTACGCCACGTTTCTCATCCAGTTGCAATGCCTCGTCGGCGGTGACTTCGTTCGGTGGCCAGATCAGGTAATGTACCGGAATCCAACAGCTGGCCAGCTGTCCGAGCCACCACACCGGCGGCCATCCGATCCTGGTAAGCAGAAATACCCATCGATCATGGCCTGAGAGAACGACCTCAGCCGCCGAGTATGCAGTGCTGATTTGATCTGCCGGGTCGAAGCAACGTACAATGTTAAGTACCACACCGAGGATGCAAGCCAGAATGAAGCAGACGTGTATCCAGACCATCTGTTGGAAGAGTATCGCACGTAAGCGGCTGAAAAAGCCCGAAGGCCTCGGCCCACGTTCTTTGATCTCCAGAGAGAGGCTTCCACTCGGCGTGAATCCAGGCTTTGTCCCACCGAAGCGTGTCGGAAGTACCATACCGCGAACAAGAGAAAGCGTATAGTACGGAATAAGCCAAACGTCGGCTTGATCCCAGCGCATCGCGTCCCGATACCCAACAAACAACGCCAGACTCATCTTGTGCGCCGTATCAGCAAAAATCCAAATGCAGACGAGTCGCAGAAGCCAAGCGAGTTGCCAGCGCTCGTAGTAGACTACGAAAGGATAGCCAGCTAGTAGTGCAAGTGGAAGACCGATGTAACCCAGCCAGTTAAGTGCGCTGTTCACCACAGATCCTGCACCAAAAACGTAGCCGGCGAGGCGTTGGCGGGCGTTACAGAAGGGGACAGTCGGGCCCCAAAGGCGAAAGTTGATCTCGAAACGGTCAGCCTTTATTGCAAGGTATCGAGAAAGAGTATTACCTTGAACGCTGTTTGAACATTCCCAATGGTCCATCTCGTCCGCTGTTTGATATGACCAGACAGAGTATCCGGCATCTCACCGCATTGCAAATACTCATCGATATAAGCTACTGACCAGCCTTTCCCGAGGAGCATGGAGCTACAAGCAGTGTCCTCACTGATCGAGTATGTAGGAAAGCCACCAATGTCCTCTATTGCTTCCCTGCGCGCCAGATACCCGGACCCAACGCAATCGCCTGCGCCGAGCCCATCATGGATAAGCTCCGTCATGGCATAGAAGTAATCGAGATCCTGTCGCACTGGATCGTCGAGCGGAATGTTCCAAAAGTACTGTGGCGGGCATGCCATCCCCATCTTGGGATCGTTGAGAAGATGTGGCATCATGGCGCGTAGCCAATTTGGTTGGACTATCATGTCGACGTCCAAGCCTGCGACGAATGGCGAGGGGAAGTCTGTGAGCTTTGCGCTAAACTTCAGCCCGTTATTGAGATTGCCCGCTTTCTGGTTCTCAAGTAAGCAAAAGTGTCTATTAGAAGAGGTAGTCAACGTACATAATCCGGCACCTCTGGCTTCTCACGACTCGTATAGTGTGCGTGTGGATACTGCCGCGATACATGTAACATCCTTTCTTCCAGATCCCTCGACCGACCATCATCACACAAGATGACATTGAGGCGATTCAATGGCCAATTTGTCTCGCATGCAGCCCTGACAACATTGAGAATGGTGTCGTTATCCTCCCCACACGCGGTAATGAGTACAGCTACCGCTGGGACATCATCGCCTTCAAGATGAAGCTTTTGTCTTCTGGGTCGCCGCAAGACAAAAACACGGTTGAAATAAAGTAGAATGGTAGGAAGGTATTGGAACAACTCAACGACAATGAAGAACCAGGCTAAACCTAGCTGGTATTTTCCAACTACTTGCGTGTAAGCAAGACAATAAACCCGAAAACAGATGTAGGCCAGCAAGCAAAATGGCGCTAGGAGGCCTGTAGCAGACACAAGGGGCCAGAGGGAATCTGGCGCGACAGCCATGTTATGAGTTGGAGTGAAGGACGATACGACAAGAAAGGCGTGAGTAATATCTTATAGCTGACGACGCGACTTCTAGCATCTCTTTGAGCCTACATCACGTCGGAGATAGCAGCGATGTAACCATCTTTTGCACTAATTGGTGGGATGCGCTGTGGTTACCGGGTACCTTTCCATCGAGCGTCGCAGTAAAAGAGACGGGAAGATCGCCGGCGCGCATCGCATCTTCAATCATGGCGGGAAGCAGATCCACCACGTGGTGAGCTTGCACGGCAGGGCAAAGCCGTAACAAGCGGGCACAGCACGTGCAAAACCACTGCAAAAAGAATACACGCTTGCATCTATCATACGCCAGCTACTCATGATTTCCAAGAAGCCGAACACCAGTATTCGCTACGTACGAATAAGAGGACACAAACCTCTATCAGAAATTTTATTGCTTCTTCCAAGAACCACACTTTTCCTACAACCGCTTTTGCTTTTAGGCTTGTAACAAAATCTCCTTTGACGTACTTATCTGACGTATCCAGCCAGCATCTCACTAACACTTGCCTAATGGGGCAGCTATACATCAACAGCCAACCGCATTTTCAACAAATCCCCCTTAATAATCTCCCCTTTCTTCTTTTCCAACTCCTCCATGTCCCAGCACGCACTAACATACCTTCCACTCAACCACTCCCTTCTCTCACTTCCTAACCAAGCCAATGTGTCCGCTCCCAATTCTGGTGTATCAACAAGCCATTCATGCATATGCCCCGGCATTTTCAAAGCAAGTTCTGTTTGCACGCCGCCAGGATGCACAGCAATAGCTACCATGCCGTCTTTCCCCTCACCATGGTCCTGGGCAATGAACTCTGTGAGGCGCAAAGAAGCTAGTTTCGCTGGTCCGTAGGATGAACTTTGCGGAACGATCATGAGAGCGCCGATGGATGTAAGGTTTATGATGATTTTGGAGCCAGCGAGGAGTAGAGACCAACATGCGCGGGTCACGAGATAAGGGCCTTTAACACTGACCTCGTAGTCGCTCCACCAGGCTTCCGGGTCAGATTCTGGAATGCCGGCGAAGGGCGTGAGACTTCCTGCATTGTTGATAAGAACATCAAGTCTTCCATCAAACTTCTCGGCCACTTCTTTCACTGCAGCATCTACGCTGTCTTTACTGGTGACATCGAGGCTCAAGGCCAAGACATGTGGTTGCGAATGACCTGCGTCTTTGGCTGCAGATTGAACTTCCAAGACGACGTCGGATAGCGAGGATCGCGCGCCGAGGGCTATGCAGGATGCACCTGCTCTTGCGTAGCTGATGGCCGTGGCGCGGCCGACGCCTTTGGAAGCACCAGTGATGAGAACATGTTTTCCCGAAAGGTTGGAATTGGTAGGGTTGATGTAAGAGTATGTGTCGTGACGCTCAGTCGGCGTGAATTTCATGCCTGGTGCCTCTTGGTAAGTTTGTTCGTAGAGAAGTACGGTGGGATTGAAGTACCATTCGAGGCGTGCTTTTCGCCAGAGTCATTAGACATGATGGTGCTTTGTTTTTGAGGGACAGAGTACAAGCCCTTGCAGATATCTGAGTAATAAATTCAATGATGGGGAAATAGCATTTGCAAAGGCGTGGTTGGTAATGTGAGGCGGGCCGTGGCATGACGTAACGCGGATCCACATCCGGTATGGTAAACGTCCGGTACTAGGATCACGGCAGTATACAAGTGGCCTATCGAAAATATATGTTCGGCAATGGCAACACAACGTGAGATTCATAGCTCCAATATGGGTGGGAAATCGTGAACTGAATTGAAATTACTCTTATATACCATGCGCTTACTTGCCCAACGCTAATATCCTCTCCACTGCTCTCTCTGCCGCAATCATAACACCCATGACCGGGTTGGTAGTAAGAGGCGGCACAATACTTGCATCGATCACGAACAGGTTCTGCATACCAATCACCTTCGTGTTCGCATCAACACATGATTCCATCCTGCAACTGCTGCTCCAATGCTGCACATTGCCACGAGTATAAGCACTTGGCGTGGTCAACCAGGTTGAAATCTGCTCAAGCGTGGAGTTTTTCGCAATGTTGAGTGGTGTGAGGGTATGAGGAAGAGCTTGGAAGATGTTGTGAACGAATGTGGCGATTGCTGCTGCGTCGCGGGGGTCGGAGTAGAAATTTGAGTTCGGAAGGGCGATACCCCTGGCGTCCAAGTTCACTCGACCGACAGATCGGAGACCAGAGGTACCGTAGACGTTGAGTGTGATGGTACCGTTTTCCAAAAGGTCCATCGCACCAGCAGAGTCAATAGTGCCTTGGCAACCCACTACATCATCGCCCTGCTCGATGTAATCCCAAAACGCGCTCGTTTGAGAAGCAAATGTATAGGGTCCTGAGCGGTTGTTGAGATACAGCTCAACGTCAGACGGCGGTGGGTTTGAGTAGCTATAGCTGTATGACGCGATTTCGTCGGAATACAGCTCGATAAAGGTGTTTGGGTTGTCGAAGACGCCATTGCCGACAGCGGTATTGTTGATCCACTCTTGAGAAGGAACGGTGACGTGACCATTTTTAGAGAGGTTCTTCAAAGTCTCTGCTTCGCCTATACCCGACCACATCAACAGTTGAGGACTGAGAAGTGCGCCGGCGGAAGAGATGACCATTCCGCCCTTCTTGATGCAGATACTGTGTGAACTGGATGCACCATTGGTCTGAACGTCGACACCGGTTGCTACACCGCCATCTCGACGGACGCGCAACACCTTGGTGCCAGTCTGGAAAGAGAAGTTCGTTCTGTTCAGCGCAGATTGAAGATACGTCTTCACTGGCCCGCTCCTTTGGCCATTCTCATAGTACCAGATGGGATGTCCGAACACCTTCGTCTTGTTATGGTTCTCGATACCGTCATTCAGGCCAACATCCGCATACCCTGCGCCATCAACAAGCCATCGCTTCGCAGCCTCGTAGCCGCTCTGCAGATACCGCTTGCCGTCCTGCGATGGGCTGTCTGTACTCGGCTGTTTTGTCCTGACCTTTTTAATCGCGGATTGCATGTCGGCGTCCTTCCAGCCATCTGGGAAATAGCGGTTCCAATCACTCGCGGGCGGCTGGAAGAACAGTCCAGCGTTGATTGCGGAGTTACCACCGACAGTGCATCCTTGGAAAGCGTTGACCACATCTGATGCGCAGGTCAGGTTGCCCTCACCCGAGTTCGAGAAGATTGATTTGTACAGTCCCGGCACATCAACTCGGCTGAGTTCAGTCCCGTTCAACCATTCCGGGCGAGCACGACCGCCGGTTACGTAGTACGATGGGCCACCTTGCTCTAGGAGTAGAGTCTTCTTGCCAGCTTCGCTCATACGGTCTGCTGTGACGATACCTGCTGGACCAGAACCTGGAGATATTAACCTTGGAGTCGGGCCGTGGATGCAGATGCGAACTTACCGACGACAATGACGTCCCATTCACCACCAGCACAAGTCTCTGCCGCAGCATAGCTGGTGAGAACAGCCACTGGCAACAAAGTCTTCAACATATAAGATGCTACCATGATGCCGTTCGGAATCTGGGGATTAGAGGTGCTTTGGTCACAGTTCGAGAGGCTGTGGCTCCTGACCGCTAGCAGGCTGAAGGGCTTGCTTTAAGCACCTCATCTCACCTCGATCATCTAGCATGTACGCTTACTTTAGCCGCCAATTCTAAAGCACGGTGATGTACAAGTACCACCATACTAAGCAAATTTGCATGTTGAAGCTGGAAGCCGACATCACCGAACACGAAGAGGTATGACGCCGCTTACGAGATGGTACGTGCGTGGTGCTAGCCCATCGCCCAGACGCGGGCACTTTCCCTCATCGCACGCGCTACAGGGGCTTGGATCGTACGCCGGTCGATACCAGTGGGGAATTTGAAAATCGGAGCGTTGGTGCTGCGGCTGCGTGGCGGTCGTTGCATGGTTATTTTGGGATTTAGGGCGAGCTGGAGATGTGGCGATGAGGGGTCGGGTACCAAACCTAAGCGGAAGGCGCGGCTGAAGTTGCGACTTTGCGTCAGTCACCCAGTTCTCAACCAGAGTACTTTGTTTTTAGATTCCTCCTAGGCTTCACAGCAAAGATGACGGAGTTATGTGGGAAAGCTTGAGAAGCTTGTTGCGCGATGTTACGGAACTTGCCCGCTCGGGCCGCCTGGGAGCACCGGTAGTGGACTCTTCGTATGAGGCAAGGGTTTTGAAGTGGCACGCGCACGGCGTCGCCACATGAACTGGAACACTGGAGGCTCAAGAATAGTACCGACACATTACCGGTACCGTTTTTCTCTTCTGGCTTGATCATCGTCAAGACCAGTCACTGTGGCATTAAGCTGTTCAACAATAAGTTTACAACGTACCTCGCAGGTTCGCCAGACACCTAGCTTCGTTAAACACTCTACTAAGGCCTGTTGTGAAGGCTATCCTTAGACGACCTAGGGATTGTTTCTCGAGAACGAGTGAATGTGATGGACATGAGTGTTGTACTAACGCGATTGGTACGTCGATGTAATAGCACGGGGTTTTGAGAATCAAGTACTAATCCTTAGATTGAACACAAAGTTGAGTACAGTGAGCTATAGGAGCTCATTGCCTAACACTACATACTAATGAGTACCTTCCTAATCAGTGCTGCTTGTTTGTGCCAAGAGCACTGAGCACTAGGTAGTCATACAGTTTGCTCGGTGTTGCTCAATCATGCCAGCATTGGGCGATCACCTGACTGTTGACAGCCACCGGGTCAATGTCTTTGGACACCCCGATGACTCGCGAACCTCATGGTTTCGGATTTCTCCGTCTGATTGCGACAGGTCGCTAGTGCAACAGGCGATACGGTACGCAACTTGATAATAGAAAGCATTTAGTGAGACAAGACGAAAAGATTTGGCGTGGCAAAAGACGAAGTATCATATCACTACCTCGAAGAGAGAAACTGAACATCTCTTTAGAGCAAAGCACTTATACCTACTACAATAAAGCCTGCTAAGACCTTCTTAGACATAGATAAGGAATCTAGAAGTCTACAATACTATTAATCTTTCTAGAATTTCTTCTTAGAAGCTAAGGTAGGCGGTAAGCTAGGGCATGTTGTTCCATACTCGTTTGATTTTTCTATTGTATACGGTGATATCTTCATACTCAGCCTTTTCTTAGATGTTCTTATCCCACTAGCTTAACAGTAAAACTTCTAAGGCTTCCAGCTGCTATATAAGCTTCTATCCTCTCTTGGAAGTCCACAGGTCCAGAGCCCCATGGTGCGTTCTTCGCAACAAAAGTCTTGTCATCCATCGATTCCGTCTGCAAAGCAGCGCCCTCGAGAGTGTACCAACCCGGCGTGCACTGCAGTAGCGCACCAAAAAATGCTGCTCTCTTCGCGACCTCGTTGCTCCATTCTTCTGCTCCCTCTTCTGAAGCCTCAACAACCACCTTTTGTCCTGGTTCTGCTTGCTCATAGGCTTTCTTGATGACGTGCGCAATCAATTTCGCATCGACCTCAAGCATGGATGTGAAGTTGTATGAGGAACCACTTCCTCGCCCGAGGCGACCCAGGAGATTCGGAAACTTAGGCATCGCCACGCCAAACAAAACATTGCTGTCTTCTTCTTTCCAGTAGTCGGATACAGATACGCCGTTTCGCCCCAGTAGAAGGCCATCTATCTTCTCAGCAGGATCTAAAAAGTTGGTGACTACGAAGCCGGTTGCCAAGACGACGACATCGATTTCGTACTCATTACCCTCGAATATGATGCCGTTCTCTGAGAATTCGTCGAGACCTCTTCCATTGGTATCGATTAGTGTCACGTTTGGTTTATTGAAGGACTGAAGATAGTCGTCGTTGAACGCTGGACGTTTGCACCAACTGCCGTACCAAGGCTTCAACTTCTCTGCGACTTCCTTGTTCTCGACTTCTTTTTCCACGTGTTTCCGCAAGAATTCGGTGCGAGGGTAGTCTATCTCATGAAGCGCTTTGATATGGTCCAGCATCTGATCGGAAGTGACAGTCATATCTCGCGATCCAAGGAATCCGCAAAGGGCCGGGGCCTGAGTCCAACCATCCTGGATCAAATCGGGTCCTTGTCCACTCGTGCTGTTCGACATGTATGCGTTCAGATTGGTCCTGCGCTTATGCTGCCACCCCTTCTCACCTGCAACGTTTTCCCATTCCTTCTCCACAGTCGATTTTTGGTTGCGTGGTCCAACGTACGTTGGCGTTCTCTGAATGACGTACACATGAGCAGCCCATTCGGCTAACTCAGGAACAACCTGGACAGCTGTTGCGCCAATTCCCACAACAGCAACACGCTTTCCCTTTAGATTTGTTAGGTCTGGCTTCGACTGAGACCCGCCTGTGTAGTTGTAGTCCCAACGGGATGTATGGAATGCATGTTTATGCTCGCTAAACACCTTCCAACCAGGAAGCTTTGGGATCTTGGGAAAAGCAAGAAATCCTGCGGCAACGAAAACGAAGTCGGCGTATACAGTAAGGCTTTCTGACTCTGGGGTTTTTCCTGTAGTACGCGTCATCCTTACGGTCCAGTGTTTCAGGTCGTCATCCCAAACTTGAGAGTCGACCTTTGTACAAAATTGACCTGACATTCCGTAATGGGACGCAGCTCGCTCGATCTGATTCCTTATCTCAGCACCATAGGAGTATTTATGCTTCGGCATATACCCTGTTTCTTCGAGAAAGGGGAGATAACAGTAGCCTTCAACATCGCACATCAGTCCTGGATAGCGATTCCAGTACCTTCCATGATCAACGTTTGAATAAGCCTAAACGGAGAGAATGTGACCTACCAAGTACCACCAAATCTCCCGGCGACGTCAACGAGGACAATGTCTTTGCTGCTGAATCCCGCCTCAATCAATCGGCCTGCGTAATGGAGACCGTTCAGACCAGCGCCGGTGATAAGAAACTTGATACTATCGCCATCTTTAAGCGGAGGGTTTGTAATGCGAGGATCATTTTAATCCACCCATGGATCTTTAGCAAGATTGCGCAACTCCTGTTCTCGAAAATTGGCATACTGTGCCAAGCCATCTTTCTTGAGACGCTTGTCACGTTCTTTCTCGTATCATTCAAACAACGCCTGTCCGGCCGCCATCTGTTCGTTACCTGCTGAGACGTGTGATTGGGTCATTTCGGCACGGCCTGATCGACGAACACAACCAGTTACTTGCGTGGATGGTTAAGATAAAGATCTATGGTGTAGCTTTTGGATGTTTCGTTTGTGAAGGAGAATAACCTAATGTCGGACAACGCTCCAACTTTATATAGATTATATAACAAGAAATTATAGTGCTATTCTCTAGGCATCCCAAAGATCGGCCCGAGCCGTGAGCAATGCATGTTTGCAATGCCTTGCTTATTGGAGCTGATTAGATATTGGGAGAACTACATTCTGGTTGTTTGTACATAGATTAATAAGCCAACCGGACGGTTTATTCGTGACAGTAGATACAACTCAGTTTGAGCTGACGAACGAAGCTTTATTTTGATTATGACTAGGTTGACAAAAATCTAGTTATGAGTCTCATCCATCAGTTCGACTGTTGCCTTGTGAAATAAAGCGCACATCTTAACGTATCTCTTCAAGACTATACCTTCATCTAGCTAGTCCAATGTATTTCGCCTACTGAATTCGTAGATGGATATCATGACTGCCTCGTTGGCGCACTTGTAGTTAGAGGCAAGTGGAAACGAAACAAAAGCATAGATATTACAGCTTGGCATAAGTAACGGCCGTAAGCTAGTCCAATTACTGTAGAGAATGTCTCTAGGTTTTGACGGACGAAAACTCTGGATTACTCAACAGCATATGTAAGCGGAAGTATGGAATGAATTGGCAGGATACCTGGACGAATAACGTTTGCATTCTGAAGACACTTGAGTTAAGTGTAGTAGTAATTTTCGCACCAGAATAGTAATAAGTTTCTTGCCAATTTTTACTTCGCACTAATGGTTCTATCCACCATGTATTCTTAGTTAATGTCACGGTGTTCCAAAGCTATAGGCGGGTGGGCTACCAAAGTCCCTCTAGGCTCCTGTTGGATTGAATTGGCTACGATTACGTGCTATAGATATATCATCCTTACCAGACTCTTGATAGTACCTCAGGAGTCATCTTAATAAGAGTTAATACTAAAATGTCAGTGCCTGCCCAAATACTCTTCACATGCAATCATTAAGAATAGGCTGTAGCGAGCAGTCTTGCTCTTCACACGCGTCTACATACTCAAGAATGAATATTATCCATGAAGGCTAAAGAGTCTCTTATGTCTTTTTATCTTTAAGGTCTATCTATTATGCACATGAGAAGCTAGCCCAGTGCGATTCACCAACCACACTCTACTACCTTGAAGCTGTGTCCTGAGCTCTATCTGCTGATCCAGAAAGCTCTTAATTGTATCCTGCATGTTTCTGAACTTGAGGCCCATAATTTCCTGTGCTCTCTGCGTGTGCATCTTGGGTGGCTGGTCGAACGGCCTTTCCGGCTTAATACCAAGAGCTGAATAAGTATGCCTAGCAAAGTTCGCAACACTACCCCATGTCCATCAGTCTTCCGGGCTACCACTAGGATAAACTTCTCGACTTCGCTAGTGGGCCCGGCTTTGGCATCCAGAGCTTTGAGATGTGCGCAAGCAACATTGCGGACGTCAACTACGACCATGCATATGAGGGGCCTGGGCTAACGCAGGTGATTTAAATAACGGCAACAAAGAACGTATGAACATGAAAACCCATTGTCGGCGGCAGGAAATACGATATGATGAATTGCAAGAAGAGGGTAAAAGAGTTGGAGACATTCAAGGCCAAGCACGCCGAGCATTGTCAGGCAGTGACGTTGAAGCTAGGTCTATGTGCTTGAGGTTATGGGTAGGATGCAATGGAGTGAGAGAAATCACCCTGTATGAATATCAGGGGCTAAGCTGACAGATCTGCATTGATGTTTTTTTTTGACGAGAAAGACTTAATCAGAATCCACCGAGACCATCGTCGCTGTCTTCGTAATCATAAGACCAGTCACGATCCGCGCCTCTCTCCTCCCGCTTCTGTGATATCCCCGCCAAAGCCCTCCATTCTTGTTCTTCCACCACTTTACCTAATCCTATGGAGAGCTGTAAATCATCCGCCTCGTCATCGTCAATTAAATGGTAGCTCCAAATGTAGTCCACATCCGAAATACAATGCGGCTCATTGACAGCACCTACACGGCACCTAACTTTCAGCAGCTGTACCGCGAGGATTGTCTCCGAAGGTTCTGATTTGGTAGGCGAAGAAGGTGAGGCCATGTTAGATGCCGAATCTACCCGTCGAAATGGAAGGTGGAGTTGTGGTTGCGGGGTTGAAGCTGCCTCGGTTATGGGTCCGTGTGGCATAGCCGCACGCTTATGACAAGGAGATTTGGATGTTTGAAGTCCGGTGACGAAGTAAATTGGCTTCTGTTGTTGTGACATCTTGCGGAGGAAGGCTTGTGTTGTGGGCTCATGACGCAGGTTGTCGAAAACCTGCGATGGTTCATCGATAGTAACATGGGTTGTGGCGTGAGCGTCTTCGTCTTTCGACTGGGTTGATAATTGTCGTGAATCAGGGGATTTGTGGAGCTTCAGAGAGCTGGAAGAAGGATTCAGAGGATTGGTGAGGAGTTGTCCGAGCGTGACGGACTCTGATGGCAAAGGTGCTGGGAGGCTGAGTAGACGAGACATGTTCGATGTTGATCTGTGTTTAGATGGGAAGCAGTCTTTGCAACGATATAAAACTTCAGGAAACGGTACTCAAGACAAAGGTGAGGGAATAAAAATGGTCAAGGATGACGACTGGGTCGGCCCGGCTGCGAAGATATATCTTGAAGTTGTGGACTTAGCTCACCGTTTACCAATTACGCAATAGCAAGCATGATGATGCTGGTGCGTTGGCCGACCATACCTCTGCTTGATGCTGGGTTTATGTGACGATTGTCATTCGTTGTTAGACTGTCGGTCATACGGGAGGTGATGATCGGCCTCGTTGCGAGCATATAGCTCGGTTACCAAAGGGTTATGAGACCTGGAGCTCGCTCCACAAAGGGTTTTGTTACTTAATTGGCTGATAAAGCCCGCAGACTCGCGAATGCGTTACTAAAGGTGCGACCGGATTTGTGGTCTGATGGGGATCGGCTGACTTGTTCCTGAGCTGTTCGCAAACCCTGATCCGACCTCGGGAGGTTAGGCGATATGCATCAACGGGAAGACGCGGAGCCGCATGGCAAACTCTTGTCTACTTCTTCAGAGACTGCTGTGCAAGTACACCACCCTGCTCAGATGCCTTGAATGAAGAGGGACATGTTGAGGAGAGCTAGGTGCATCCCGGGCGTCGGTTCAAGCGCTGAATTCTCGATGCGACGTGGAGTCGGCCAGCACCGGACAAAGGGATGCTAGCTAGCACGTTGGGAGTGCGTTATCAACATGCGAGAGATAACATACGACTGAGATTGAGATTGCAGACAATGTATCGTGGGAGCCGCTGCCTCGGGACAAGGCACACGATCAGGAGGGGTATGTTGTCATGTGAAGTGGCGTCGTGGCGGCGTGGCGCGTGTCGCGTGGCTGGGCAAACAAGATCGACGCCCTTTGACGTGACGTTGGTCATTGTCATTAAGAGCGTCGCGCTTGCCGTCATTACACCGTTGCGACTACACTTGACCGTCTCTCGTCCGTTGGAGATGATGGAGAAATGAAGCTGGGCCGCGTAGGTGGGATGGATAGGCATGGCTGTCGCTGCTTCCGGCAGCGGGCGGAAAGCTGACACTGCCACACTACGGAGCAGCAAGTACCGCAGACATGGCAGGCCAACCTCGGGGCCACTTTTGCAGCCCATACACCTATCTTCTATTATTACAGCCAGATTGCCATGGCAGAGACGTCTGCAGCCTCTACTACACATGCACGTCGCCAGAGTGCCCTTGCCGACATCCAATTCGCATCTATCGTTGACGATGACCTCACACCGTCCGAGGACGAATCGCCCGAGGAAAGGGCGTTCGAGCTCGAGACAGCACAGTCAGCAATTGGAGTCAGCATAGGAAGGCAGCAGACGCGTCTGACTTCGCCCAAAACGCCGGCAGCGGAAAAGGCTGCAGCCCTCGATGAGACCGAAGATGGCGCCTTTTTCGACGGCTGGCAAGAAGCTACCGATTCGACGCCGGAACTGAAAAAAGCGATACCAGCCACCGAGCCCACCGGACATGTACAAACGGCTGATGTGAGGCCGAAACCGACGCAAACATCGAGCAATGACGACCGCGAGCGACAATCCGACCCTCGAACGAGACTGCCCTCGCCCTGGCGAGCAGGCCCCAAGACATTTCAGAAGGACAAGGCAGGCGACCACCGATCCATACTCCGCGATCACCTACAGAGCGGGCGGCGACGGGCATCGTCAAGTGGCTCCATGGGGGATACGATGCGCAAATTCATGCCCTTCAGCCTTCCCACGTCCATCACCAAGACCTACAAGGACCTCCACTTTTCCCTCCCGAGTTTGTCAGCATTGTCGCTCGATTCTGAGAAGCCGCGCACCTTTGACCGACGGAGGAGAGACACGTTTGCTAGCGGTGTATCACCTCGGGACATACCACAGCGAGACGGCGCCAATCACTCCACACCGGGAGAGTCCAGGAGCGCATCAAGGAATCTCGTTGAGGTGCCACAACAACCCAGTACCGCCCCAATTCCTCAGCGCGAGTTTAGCGACGACAGCACTTCCACCATCGCCCCATCGCCCCAGATATTGAGCGAACGACCGACGCCCAAGTTACGGCGGTCCAATTCCGAGGGTTCCTTGCTCGTATACCGCACACGATCTTTTGCATCTTCTCTCGGCGACGACACGCGCTTCGAAAGTGTCCAAGAGCAGGTCAACAGTAGGCTGAAGGCCCTTCGAGACAGCTGGGCAGACTCCAATTTCAAACTGCCTAGCCCCTCATTTCCAAACTTCAACTTAGCGTCTAGTACCGAAATGTTCAGGAACCGCAACGCCAGTACCACATCCAAACCACGCGAGACCGACGATATTGCCTCGCAAAAAGCCAACCCCCGCACAAGCGTGCCTGCACCGGGCTCGCGTCGCGACTCGATAAGGAGGAAGCGTTTACCATCAAAGGGTGGAGACGCCGACACTGAGTCGCATCCGTACTTCACACAAGCTCTGCAGGAGCTCGAGGGTGACTTGGTCATCCTGGGAGGTTATCGGGGGTCCGTCCTGCGCTCGGCAGAACCGCCCCATCGGCAGCTTTGGGTGCCTATAAAAGTCGGACTGAACCTACGTAAAGTAGACTTGGAGGTGCCTCTAGATCCAGATGCGGACGAGCGCATGGAGGAGAGCATCATACCAAGTGGCATGCTGACCCATATTGGCCCTGTCGACATCGCCAAGCGTCTTTTCAAGCGTCTGAATGCCTGTGACAACGTAAGAGACGGTAAGCTTAGGGTCCACAACTACGGTTATGACTGGCGGCTCTCCCCGCACTTCCTGAGCCGGCGTATGATACAGTTTCTAGAGTCACTACCCTGCAATCAGCCAGGTGTTCCTCTTGAGAAGCGAGGTGCCATCGTTGTCGCGCACTCACTGGGAGGCTTGATCACACGTCATGTTATCAATCAGCGTCCGGATCTAGTAGCTGGTGTCGTATATGCTGGTGTGCCTCAACGCTGCGTGAATATCCTTGGCCCATTCCGTAATGGCGACGACGTCCTCTTTTCTTCACGCGTGCTCACAGCACAAGTAAACTTCAGTATCAGAACGTCTTTCGCTCTTCTGCCTCTAGACGGAAAGTGCTTCATCAACAAGCGCACCAAGGAAGAGTACCCTGTAGACTTTTTTGACGTTAATACATGGAAAGAACACCGCCTTTCTCCGTGCATAGCAGCGCCCTTGCCTCGCCCTGAGCAACCTAAAGATAGCAACTTCAGCGTTAGTGGCCTGATGAATGCTGTCTCCTCAGCACTGCCCACCTTTCCCGCTCGCAAAAGTAGTACTGCGAGGGATGCCGCCGACGTAGCTCGTAACGCCGCCAACAACGTTACAGAAGGAAGCGTGGAGCAAGCAGGCATGGGCCCGCAAATGGGCCATGAACATAACATCGAGACATCCAAAGAACCGAACCCCGCAACCGACGTCACAATTCCTTACGACAAAGCAATACATTATCTTACAAGAACACTCGCCGAAATCAAGGCTTTCAAACAGGAACTCGACCACCGACCCGAACACACATCATCAAACTCGTATCCACCCATCGCGCTCATCTACGGCAAGTCCACGCCGACAGTCTACGGCGCGAAGGTAGAGAGTCGGGAAGCTATCAAACGCGCGGATGTATATGATGAGCTTGCATTTGCGAGTGGTGACGGTGTTGTACTCGCTCGTGCAGCCATGGTGCCTAAGGGGTACAGTGTCGTTAGAGGCGGTGTCGTATCTAGCGACCGTGGGCACGTTACGCTTTTGGGGGATTTAGAAGCTGTAGGGCGGTGTCTTCATGCTGTTATTTTGGCGAGGCGGAGCGGGGTCGGACTAGGACCTGGAGCGCGATGAGAATCTGTGGACGTCTCCATATTTTACCTACAATTCACAAGCTTCGATCAACCCAGCTGTGCGCTATTCATCGTTCTTTTCTAGGCTACAAAGTTTCACAATTTCCGGCTATTTCATCACTTTGGGGGCATCAGACTAATCAAAGTGAATTGTGAAGCGGGTCAGCCACAACATAACTGTTTCGATATTGTGGCGACAAAGTGTTCCTGAGCGTCCGTAGACAGATCTGAGTGACCTGGAAATCCTACATGAGCTAGAAGCTGTACGGAAATAATTGCACGGACTCAGGTGCAGCAAAGAACGCAATCGGAATAGCGTTTGTTCTGTTGTGCTTCCATCGGCCCTTCTCTCGGTATTATTCACCCGGTTATGGAGATTCGTGTTGTCATCGGTCAGCGTACGTGAGGCCGGAGCGGCTATAGGCGACGAATCGGTACGGGCCATAGTGGCATTCGGAGGTTGAGTTCGATCGAAGTCGTATTTCGATGATAGGCATGTGCCACCGTGTGGGCACCTATCCCTATCTGGCCAACCGTTTATGGAACATCGTCTCGCGTCTTTCCCATTTGAACCCTGGGTCAACTTCAACACTGAAGCTTTGAGATGGCCCTAAATTGGCGAAGGTCTGTGATAATCTTGCTCTGCTGTTGGCTACTACAGAAGTCTGAAGCGACTGCAACTTGACTTTATTTGTAGACTGGGTACAGATTACGTTGGAAGGTATCGCTATGAACACATCTATAGATTAGTGCTCGATATCGTTTTCTCCTGTATAAATGAGAAGCGTCGAATATACTTCCTAGGTTCAGATGATCTTGGTGTTGGGTACATTCGATTGCACAATATTTGTCGTGAGTACTCTGAGGAGTGATGAACGTAGGATCAAGTTTGAAGCAACGAACGGATCATTCTCGCAACGACGAGAACCGACTACAAGAGATGGCGGCGCCTTGCCGTGAGTGCTTATGCTCATGCCCATGACATAGAGTGGTAATATTGGTGATGACGCTCCAGGGGAGGCATTGTTGAGCCACGATTTCCATTATGTCTGTGTAACTACAAACCCACGGAATAGCAAGAATCTATTGTCAAGAAGCAGCTGTTTTCCTACGAGAGGGCATAAAAGAGGTGTCATTTGAGCGTGCCCTCTCGCCACAGATTTACACAGTCTGGTCCGGACATCGTGCCATGCATGCATGGAAACGCTACGGAACTCCGTAGCGTCCTGAGGCGTGGATGCTATGTGACGAGACGTGAACAGGAGTGCACATCAGCCGGTGGGATTGACCTCCATGTGCCCAGCTGGTTTGTGGCGTCGAAAGAAGTCCTTCCAATTGTGGGTTAGTAGCCTTGGCGTGGTCAGCCTAGCTGGTACCGTACCCTGGTACTCCGCTAATCTCGTTGGGAACCTCCGTTTCCTCCATCGTCTTCGATCATGTCGCCAATCGCTCCATCTACTCCATCTGGTTCCAAGTAGCAGCAGCAGCCCTAACTGAGATCAT